TTTTTTTTTTTTTTTTTTTTTTTTTTTTTTTTTTTTTTTTTTTTTTTTTTTTTTTGGAAAAGTTATCGAGGGACTTCCAGGTTGGTGTGCCGCTTTTCCATATCGGTTATTGCGCGGGGGTCAACTACCTATAGAAGGCCGGCCAAGATCCTGCCGCAGGACCGGTGCCTACCCGATTGTCCTGCAGTATACCCTTCGAACATCACTGTAGACCTCTGCTATGCAACACACCGCTCAATCCACCCACGAAACTCACCGGCGACCCAACCCGCGAGCAGTCGTAGCACCTCGAGCAGGCGGTATGAGTCGTCGACGGTCACAGTGCTCCCGATATCAAGGGGCCCGCATACCTCAAATTCGCCGTCCCTGTCGAACGCAAAGTACAGCTCCCACTTCTCGCACATGACGAGCAGGATCGGGAGGAAGGGCAAGTTCGTTGATGTGTCTGGATCAGCCGAGTGCAGCGGCGCGAACCTGGCCACACGGCCGTACCACGACGCTAGCCATATCCCTAACTGGGCCTTCCCCTCGGCACACCGTCGGGCTTCAACCTTGGTCTCGATCAACACGCCCGTTGGCTCGTAACACAACACGCCGTGCGTCGATTGGTTGAAGGTTCGTGGTCCCTCGAAGCCGTCCACGAAGTCGGCGATGCGGAGAGCGAGGGGTTTCTCGGGCCGGAGAAGCAGTGCATAGTCAATCATTTTGCCTTTCAGTGTCTCGAGCTCCCCTCGTGCGGCCGGGACGAAGGCTTTGGAAATGGCGGCCTGCGTGATGTTCTCTGCGCCAACGTGCGGTATACCTGACACGGCAAGGCGCAAGATTGGACCGTGAATCCGGTCGTTCCATGTCGCTTCGGAGCGGGGTGTATTGATGAACTGTGTAGTAGTAGCAGCGATGTCCCGGACAGTGTTGAGCTCGTGATAGAGAGAGAGAAGGCCGAGCGTCTGGCCTTCGTCGGCGCTAAGTGACGGGAAGAGCTGACGGGCATCGCCCCTCTCTTGCGGACTCGTCACCGTAACCCTATCGATTGGCGCAAAGCGTGCATCGTTAACCATCAGCTCCTCCTTCAAAATCCCCTTCAACTCCCGCGGTAAGTATCCCTCTCCTTGCATTACCCTCCAAACCTTGTCAAAGAGTTGTAGCGCCTGGGCACTCCCTGTCGCCTTTACCGTCTCCCGCAGCGTGCGCGGATCTGGAGTTACCCAGCTCACAGGCTTTTCGAGTTTAAGAAGGTCATCACTTGCACCAGAGCCGCGTTTCGTGAGCCTAGTGTGGAGTGTCTGTCGCTTGCGCGAAGCTTAGCGGTATAGGACATTGGCGCCGGAAATACAGGAAGGTTCTCAGAAAGCACTTTACGTGGGCGTGCTGTACTTTGCAGATCTGATCCTTGTAGGACCCTACTGGCTTCGGCATCGGCGGATACGAACTGTTCTTGAGGGTCTAATACGCCCTGGTCCGAAATCCAGGCCGCAACGGCTTCAGGGTCCATTTAACACTCGTACGGGTAACACTCTGAACTGGTAAACAGGAAGATAAAAAGAGAAAGAAGGAAAAAGGATAGAGAAAAAAGAAAACGGAGCGTTGAGGTGTGAAAAGAGATGAAGAGGGAGACTTGAAAATAGTAACGCTGCTGACCATTGTGCGACCGACCTAGCGTTGAGTTATATGTCGGTGACGGCTGTGTTGTCGTTGTGGAGTGAGAGGTTGTTTGTTTCTACGGGGGCTTGGTCGTCGGTGGTCGAGCTTGTACTTCGTACTTGTTATTCGCGCTATGTCCACTAAACACAAACAAATGCCCCACTTTTTCAGGTTGCCGCTGCAGACGCCAGCTTGCCTTACCTAAGCTTAAACGAACCGCGAGAGCTGAGCCGGTTGGCAAGGCGAGCTCCCCTCGCTAGCCTTAGCAGCAACGAACATCCCACATCCGCCACCAAACCCACCTCCAACCATACCCAACGACTACCTTCTTCCTCCACAACGAACGAAACCGACCACCCGAACCCAACAATCTGAGCGCATAAAACAAACCGAACCCCTCTCCCCGCGACCCCCACAAACAACTTCGTCCACGATGGGTCTCGAGGCGGTCATGATCGTGGTGGACAACAGCGAAAGCAGCAGGAACGGCGACTACACACCGACCCGGTACGATGCGCAGAGCGACGCCGTCAATATCCTCTTCCAGAACGTCGTGCAGGCCAACCCGGAGTCATCCGTCGGCCTGATGAGCATGGGCGGGAAGGGCCCCGAGGTGCTGGCCACCCTCACAACCGACCAGGGCCGTATCCTCGAGGGTCTGCATCAGACTAAGAAGAAGATCCGCGGGAACGCTCATGTGTCGACCGGTATCCAAATAGCTAGCGTGCGTAATTACATCGCCAAACTCTCCTACCGGACTCTCTTACCAGACTCTGAGTTGGGTTGAATTGGAAAAGAAAGCTACCTAGGCCACACTGAACTAACCAGTTTCTTTACGATCTCTAGCTCGCACTCAAGCACCGCCAAAACAAGTCCCAACGCGCGCGCATCGTCGTCTTCGTCTGCTCCCCCATCGAAGAGGGCGAGCGCGAACTAGTCGTTCTAGCCAAGAAAATGAAGAAGTTCTCCATCAGCGTCGACTTCGTTCTCTTCGGCGACATCGACGAAGACAACCAAGCCAAGCTGGAGGCCTTCAACCGCGAGATCAAAGGCACCACCGAGTCGTCCCACCTGGTCGTCATCCCCCCCAGCTCCAAACTCCTCAGCGACCAGCTCATCTCCACACCCATCATGCTCGGCGAGGGCGCGGCCGGTGCCGGCGGCGGTGCTGGTGGGCTAGGCGGCGATGCCGGTGGTGCGGGTGGTGGTGGTGCTGGGGCTGGTGGTGGCGCGAGCGAGGACTTCCCGTTCGGTGTTGATCCGACACAGGACCCGGAGCTGGCACTAGCGCTGCGTATGAGTATGGAGGAGGAGAAGGCGCGGCAGGAGAAGCGAGCGCGTGAGGAGGCTGAGGCGTCGGGCAAGTCGGGGCTGGAGAGCGTGCAGGAGGAGGGGGGCGAGTCGGCTGCGCTGCTGGATAAGGACGGGCAGCCGGGCGGTAGCAAGAAGGATGATGATAAGATGGACACGTCGTAGGGTAGATACCTATACACTAGCGGAGTTCCAGTGGGGGTTGTGAATGAGGAAATAAACCGTTGGGGCTGTTTAATAACTCGGCGGCGTGGTCTCCTCTTCAAGGGTCTGTAGAAAATAAACATTTTGCTCTCCGGGCACAAAACAATGACCTATACAATCGACCGCCCTCTACGCTTCCCCTTCCCATTCCCACGACTTCCGTCCTCTTCAACAACCACCCACTCATCCCCTCCCAACCACTCAGCCCCGCCCACCAACAGATTCTACCTGTTATTAATCTCCCGAATATACGACCCCAACTTCCTCTCAAACATATCACACCGCACCGGCATCTCCAACTGATAAAACGGATTCTTCATCACATAGTCCGCATACATATCATACACCCGCCGCATCGTCAGATCCACATTCGCCTGCGTCGTGTCGGTGAACAGCAGGAATTTGGTGCCCGTCAGCGTGGTGAAGCATTGCATGCGGAAGTTTTCGGTCTCGAGCACTTCGAGGCCTGCTGGGGGGTCGGGGCGGGTGAGGTAGCTGCCGCCGCTGGTGGAGGGGACCGAGGGGACCGAGGAGTTGGGTGTTGCGGATGGGTTGGGGGTGCCTGTGTTGGGGTTGGGGGTGGAGGAGGGGAAGGTGGATGTGGTGGAGGTGCGGTTGGGGTTGGTGATGGGCTTGAGAGGGTTGAGGCGGGCGGTGATGGCGTGGACACTGGGTGGGGGGTTAGTATTCGTTGTGGTAGGTTTGGAGATTGGAATGGGAAGATGGAGGAGGGGTTATGAGGCTCACCCGTGAAAGGTTCCCGCGAGAACGAGGTAGTCGTTGGTGCTGATCTTGTTGAGACCGCCCTCGTGGAAGGTCCGGTTGTAGATCAGGCCGCCCGCCTTGTTGATGATGATGAGGGCGAAGACAGTCCTAGTGGGGTGGTTCCTGGTGTAAGTATACTACCCCTTGAATCAAGAGTGAGAGAAGATGCGCACATGATGATAATGGCAATTTCATTTCGTTTTATTGTCGGCGAAGATGGGAACTGGACGTTTTGAACTATAAATCGCCGTATTGTATCGGTGAATGAATGTAAACGTCGCCGGCGACAAATGCGGTTGCACGATATGACGGTCGCGTGGTTGACATTTCCGATGATGTTGCTTTGAAGTGAACTGTGCGGTTGGAGCTGGCGATCAGGCCGAACCATCGCTGCGTAGTTAAGGGTTAGGGTTGCTTGAGTTGAATGTACTGAGACTTCCAAGGTTGTTCTTCTGCCAATGTTTTCTTTCTCTTGGGTAACTCCGAGACAAGACTGGATTGACCAAGCCAGGGGAATAAGCGCTTGCATAGACTCTTGTAGATCAACTTTATTGTTAAATCTTGACTTTGCTCAACTACTTTTCAATATTTCCTCTCACCAGAGAGGAACGTTTTTTCCTTGAGCCAAGCCGGACAGCAAGCAGGGTCGTTCTCCATCCATATCAAAAAGACGGGCTGGTACACTCGAGTGAGCACTGAGCTTTTCGTTTCAACTAAACCTTTGGCACGTACCTAAACCGAACCCTATGCTCATTAAACATATCATTAGCTCTTTGATTGAAGAGCTCAACTCTTCGAGATCATGAACCCAGACTTTCGCGATTCATCTGGGAAGCCGAATCAGATCTGTCCCGTTTCCAAGCGCCTAGATCTGAGCACGCAGGTCCAACCACGGCAGTTGCACCCCACTGGGAATTTCCTTTCCAGGTCCACCGGGCGAATGATGCGAGTTTTCATCGGGAACTTTACCGATTCCCATCCCGATTTAGCAGTTCGCACGGGGCGCCAACCCGGTTTTGCACCGGCAAATGTCCAGAACCAGTGAACGACTGAAATAACGTTAACGCTACTTCATACGGAGTATCCGTACTGGGAACTCCCGACCATACACCAGGTACCATTCTTCCCGCCCGATCCGGCTGGCCCATTTCTCACTGCTTCCCGCTCTTCCGCCCCTGGTCTGCGACAGTCTTCTTCAAGGCTGCTGCCGTGAGCGCTGCTGTTACAGTGGAGCTTTCTTTGGGCCTCCACTTCATCTCCACCACCCGCCCCTGCTTGTGGCCACATCGAAGCCTCCACGGAAGGTTCGACGAATGAAGGTCAAGGTAACGTCGCCCGCGGAGTCATTCTGCAACCAGCCGGGCACACCTTTCGGGGTTAAAAGAATGACAGGAAGAAAAGAGGCGGGTGAGAAAGAAAGAAGCCTGGGCTGGGGATGCAGAAGATGCACGGGCTCATCCGCGGGGCGTGCCACGGGTTTGAATCTAATATGAATACCACTTAAGGGAGGGGTTGGCGCTGCTTCTTGTTCTTCTCTGCTTGGTCGCCCGGTCGCTCACTTTCTTGTCTTGTCGTGCCTGGCCTTGTTTCGGGCTTTGCTCGTGCGACCTGTTTACTTTGAACTCTGACGGAAACTACTTCGTATTTTGCTTCGCGCCGGCCTCTTCCCGGGACCCAGGGATTGTTGCCCAACAGGAGCAGCATTCTAACTCTCTCTCTTTTCCTTTGGCCGCCAAAACACGAACCCGGACGATCAGCGCCCACGGCAACCGGCCACCTAGAACGATCTCTGCTTTTGGAATTCCATCTGTTCCGAGAAACCGAGTTTCGCCCAGCCCACGGCAAAGACTGGGTACTCGATCCTTTCGCCTAGGTTGTCCCGCAGCAGCAAACAGCCACACAAGCACCACAGACAGCGGAAAAGCTCCGACTCCAAACTCTTGGCTCGGCCCGGCCCTTTAGAAGGCTCCCTGACACTTTTTTTTTCATGCGCGTGTAGCAAGCTGTCAGCAAGGGGAGAAGTGAGGAGAGCAGAACCCAAAAAAAATACGCGGCCCCCGCGCCACAGACCCCCCTCCAAAACCCCTGGCCATGACGGCTCGTCGGCGCCCGGCGCTGCACAAACATCAGCAGACGCCGCCCAACCTCCACAGCGCCAACAGCAACGCCGGCAACCACCACCACAACAACAGCGGCAAGGACCGCGGCGACAACAAGGCGTATGCCATGTCGGCCCCGTCGCCCCGCGTCATCAATGCCGCGCCGTCGCTGGAAAAGGCCGAGATGTACGGCATCGACGACGACCGGCCCGTCTTCAGCCGCGCCATGGCGCTCACCGGCCGCATGTTCATCGAGACGATCCCCCAGTGGCTGGCCGTGGGCGCCATGCTGTCGCTGATCTTTGGCGGGTGTTGCTCGAATGTGTTTGCGCTTGAGTCGATTATTAAGGTTGAGCCGGCTAGTGGTACGTTTTGCTTGTTTAATTTATTTGCTTGCGCGCGCGCGCAAGCGCATGGACAGCGCAACGCTTTGATTGCTAGCTAGCTAGCTAACAACCACTTTTTACCACCCGCAGGAACCCTCTTGACGTTCGTCCAGTTCCTTTTCGTCGCGACGATTGGACTCCCCTCGCAGTTCGACCCCAAGCGCCCGCCGTTCTTCCTGAAGCCGAACAAGGTTCCGATCCGCCGCTGGCTCATCAACATCGTTCTCTTCTTCAGCATCAACGTGCTCAACAACCATGCGTTCAGCTACGACATCTCGGTGCCCGTGCACATCATCTTGCGGTCCGGCGGGAGTATCACGACGATGTTGGCGGGGAGTTTGTACGGGAAGAAATACTCGCGCATTCAGGTGACGGCGGTGTTGTTGCTGACTGTGGGCGTCATTACCGCGGCGTGGTCCGATGCGCAGACTAAGGTACGGCTAAGATCTGTCTGGGCTTCCATACCTAAGCTTCGCAGGAAAGCGTCATGAATGCAGTAGGGGAAAAATGGAACGGGAAGAAATCGAAACTGACGAGTAACAATAGGGCTCCTCGGACAAAACAGTCGCGCAAAGCACCAACTTCGGCACCGGCCTCACCATCCTCTTCGTCGCCCAGGTCCTGTCAGCGATCATGGGCCTCTACACCGAAGAGACCTACCGCATCTACGGCCCGCAATGGAAGGAGAACCTCTTCTACTCCCACCTCCTCTCGATCCCGCTCTTCCTACCTTTCCTCCCCTCCCTGATCAAACAATTCATGAAACTCGCCAACAGCGCCCCGCTCGCCCTCCCGCTCGCCACCCTCGAGGACTACCCGAACCTGTCGCCCAACCTGCACCAAGGCCTCGCGCGCGTCCAGATCCCCAGCCAGCTGTTCTATCTCGTCCTCAACGTGCTGACGCAGTATGCGTGTATCCGCGGCGTGAACCTGCTGGCGGCCGCGTCGTCGGCGCTGACGGTCACGATTGTGCTGAATATTCGCAAGCTGATCAGCTTGTTGTTGAGTATTTGGCTGTTTGGGAATCGGCTGGCGTCAGGGACGTTGGCCGGGGCGTTTATTGTGTTTTTTGCGGGCGGGTTGTATTCCCTGGATGGGAAACGGAAGGCTCCTGTTAGGAGGGCCGCTGCGGCTGCTGCGAAGTCCTGAGGGGGGGTGTTTTCTTTTTATCCATCATGTGTAATCCTTAGAGCAGACTTGTGTCTGTACATGACTATTTTATGCTCAGAAATGACGAATGTCGCAGACCCGATATGACATCTTTGATTGCGTCGTTCCAATGTGTCTTTTGCTTGCATAGCGGTTATGCACATGAAACCCGGACGTCCATACATCACCGGTGCTTCACTGCAAGCCCCGAGACGCTGGAATAGAGCGCGTTCTAGCGGCCTTGGCTGCGCCCCTAGCGGGCAATCATCGGCTGTCATTCACCCCACCTCTGCACCAGCGGCACCCTCCGACTGCGCAGGCCGCCACTGATTGGACGGCTGTCAGCGGGGACAAGCGGCCTGTCAAGCCACGCCCGCCCAGGCACCCCTCAGTCCCTCCACTATCTCGCCGTTTCGGGCAAGTTTTTTGTTGGGCCGTGAGGTGACTCTTACGGCAGAACCTTAGAGACGAAGGTCACGAGCAAGAATAAGTATAAAAGCCGGCCCGACCCCGGACCACCTGAAATATTTTGAACGCCGGTGGGGTTGGGAGAGGGGAACAAAAAAGGTCAGCTGCAGGAAGTTGGCAACACAAGATCGTTGACAACTTGCCCTCGATTCGCTTATCGGAACCGGCCCAACTGCTTCTTTTCAGGAATCAATCGATTGATCTGAGACCTTCATCGTATCATGGCTGGTGAGTGTTTATCATGAGGACTCTGTCCCACTCCCCGCACAAAAGCCACTCCCAATTCCCAATTCCGAACCCCCGACGACCCTACCTCCTTACCAACCACAATTCCCAAATCACCTTGCACAAAGACAGATATTTGGGGTATCTGGGGAAGCACAACAGCACAGCACCTATCCCGCCGGCTTATATACCCCCTGATCGTTCTGTTTCTGTCGTGAGTGGCGGGACACGGCTTGTTGACTTGTTGGCTCCCTTGTCACCACTCTCCTCTAGAACACTCCCACTCGTCTTATCTGCCTGACGCCGGGTCCAATTCGACCTCGCCCAGGATCTCGGCCACCCAAATGCCCGACCCCGACTCGGATCATGAGTATAGCATCCATGAGCAGCACCACGAGGAGCACCAGCGGGACCATGATGATGATGTGGAGGACGAGGAAGAAGGGGAGGAGCTAGCGGGTCTGGGGATGAGAGCCGGACGTCATGGTTTATCTGCCTCCCACAAGGAGGACACCTCGCATAATATCGAGGCCAGCCCGGATGAGCATGGGCACGAACACGACCCTTTCATGGAGGAGGGCATGCTCCCGCGTGACCGTCCCCGCAAGACGGCCATCTTCGACCCCGTTGACGAGCGCCAGATGAGCCAGGCCGACGCCAAGATGTTTTACCAGCGGAGCCAGGCTGAGAGCCGGACTCAGCTCAGCCAGCTTGCTCAGTTGTCCCCTCAGAGCAGCCCGATGTTGTCTGCCGGAGGTGGTGGGCTGGCTTCGTCGTATGCGGACCTGGCATCGATTGGGCAGAGTTTGAGTCATTTGAAGTTGTCGGAGCTGGATTCGCCTGCGATGCCGGAGCAGGCGTTCGATCCGTCTGTGAGAAAGGAGCCGAGTTATTTTGGAGGGGATAACTTGCCGAGTCGGGGTAGTTATGCCCAGCTCCCCAGCGCCGGAGTGGGAGCCGGGAATCCGACACCAGGTCAGCTTGATCCGAGTCTTCAGCAGCAGATGATGCTGGGTGGTGGTGTCCCGGGGCTTGGAAGCAACAGCTACCTGGACGCAGACCCCCAGATCAACGCGGAGCTGGGAACGATCTTCAAGGATATCCAAAAGATCATTGATATCCGGACCAAGTACATTCGGCTTTCGCTCCAGGGACCCAACGACAACCCCAAGGATGACCCCGCCTGGAACATCTACCCGGCCCCGCCCGAGCCGGCATGGACGGAAGACCGGGAGAAGGCCGCACGGGGCGGAGCGAGTGCCGGGAACAGCATGGCTAACAGCCTGGTGTTGAACGCGCACGACAGACAGCAGTCGTCCCACCACAAGTCGAACGCCAAGAAGCGCAAGCCGGGGCAGGATATTGGCGAGGACTTTGACATGGAGGATCTGTTGCCGCTGCCTGAGGCCAGCGAGATGACCTACCGCTTGGATGATATGGGCGTGTATCAGGTGTATGAGAACGGGGCGTCCGAGGCGGCGGACACGCCGATTGTCAATGTCCCGACCATCAAGGAGTATTATCTTGACTTGGAGGAGATTTTGAATGTCTCGTCCGACGGTCCCAGCAAGAGCTTTGCCTTCCGCCGGCTGCAGTACTTGGAGGGCAAGTTCAACCTCTACATTCTGCTCAACGAGTATCAGGAGACAGCGGACAGCAAGAAGGTGCCTCACCGTGACTTTTACAACGTCCGGAAAGTCGACACCCACGTGCACCACTCGGCGTGCATGAACCAGAAGCACCTGCTCCGCTTCATCAAGAGCAAGATGAAGAAGTACCCGGATGAGATCGTGCTGTTCCGCGACGGCAAACACTTGACGCTAGCGGAGGTTTTTAAGAGCATCAATCTCACGGCATACGACCTCAGTATCGACACGCTGGACATGCACGCGCACAAGGACTCGTTCCACCGGTTCGACAAGTTCAATCTCAAGTACAACCCGATTGGCGAGTCGCGGTTGCGCACCATCTTCCTCAAGACGGACAACTTCATCAAGGGCCGGTACCTGGCCGAGATCACCAAGGAGGTCATTGCCGATCTCGAGTCGAGCAAGTACCAGATGGTGGAGTGGCGCATCTCGATCTACGGCAGGTCGCTCGACGAGTGGGACAAGCTGGCCAAATGGGTCATCAACAACAAGCTGTTCTCGCACAATGTCCGCTGGCTCATCCAGATCCCGCGGCTGTACGATGTGTACAAGGGCAGCGGCCTGGTGAACTCGTTTGAGCAAATCATCAAGAACATCTTCCAGCCGCTGTTTGAGGTGACGCAGAATCCGGCTACCCGCCCGGAGCTACACATCTTCTTGCAGCGCGTCATCGGCATCGACAGCGTCGACGACGAGAGCAAGATCGAACGCCGGCTATTCCGCAAGTTCCCCGTGCCGACGGCCTGGGACTCGAAGCAGAACCCGCCCTACACCTACTGGATCTATTACCTGTTCGCCAACCTTGCCTCGCTCAACCACTTCCGCAAGCAGCGCGGATTCAACACCTTTTTACTACGCCCGCACTGCGGCGAGGCCGGCGATAGCGAACACTTGGCCGTAGCCACGCTGTGCTGCCATAGCATCAGCCACGGCCTGCTGCTACGCAAAGTGCCGCTGCTGCAGTACGTCTTTTACCTTGAGCAAATCGGTATCGCCATGTCGCCGCTAAGTAACAACGCGCTGTTCCTGGCGTACGAACGCAACCCCTTCTTCCAGTACTTCAAGCGTGGGCTCAACGTCTCGCTGTCGACGGACGACCCGCTGCAGTTTGCCTTCACCAAGGAGCCGCTGATCGAGGAGTATGCCGTGGCAGCGCAGATTTACAAGCTGAGCCCGGTGGATATGTGCGAGTTGGCCAAGAACTCGGTCAAGCAGAGCGGGTATGAGTTTTCGGTCAAACAGCAGTGGCTGGGGCACAACTTCCATCTGCCGGGCCGCAGGGGGAATACCCAGGTCAAGACGAATGTGCCGGATCGGAGAGAGGAGTTTCGGTATCACACGCTCATGGAAGAGCGCAGACTGTATGTGCCCTTCGATTCCAGCTTTGAGATTTAAGTATGAATTAGCTAACCATTCACAGTGTCGAGAGATACACCTCCCTTCCCACCGAAGCACCCTCCGTGGTAGCAGACCCCACCCCAGCCACGGCCGCCAACCTCCCTCCCCGCTCACCGGCCCTGTCCACTTACACAAACCTGACCACGGGAGCCACAGGCCCTTCGCTGCCCGAACTCCGACATAAATTCCACCAGCCGCAGCAGCCCCATCAAGCACCCACATCCGTCCCCCCCGAACTCGACACCCACTCCTCCACCTTCGCAAGCAGCCCGGCCCCTTTCAGCAGCCCGAACCGGAATCAGATCCCGGCTCAGAACCAAAACCAGACCCAAACCCAGCAGAACCACGGCCCCGCGCCGCCGTTCTCGCTCGGCACGAGCCCCATCATCGCAACCACCCCCGTCGCACCCACGTCCGCTCCTTCTGCATCGGGCGCGTCTACGGCTGCGTCTGTGGCGACAACGGCGACGGCGGGTGCGGATTCTACTGCTGGAAATGGAGTGCATTTGTCGGGTCATGAGCCGCGGTATTTTCCGGGGGTGGTGTCGAGGCGGGGAGGGGTCAGGAGGGAGTCCGGGCATGAGAGTGATCGTTAGGGGTGTTACCTATGACGCGTGAGGGAGAAAGAGGGGGTTAAAGGTTGTCAAGGGGAAAGGAGGGATTTTGGGTCGGCGGAGTGTCTGGGACACAAGAGAGGCCGCATGAAAGGGATTACTGACTAGATTGTGTAAAGGATGGTTAGGTGGTGGGATATATAGTTTCATGATCTTCTCTTGAGCATCATTAGCATCTTTACTGGCGCAGGTGAGTGGCAGGAGCATGTTTATGGAGGGTTCGAGTTAAACATACTTTTCCTCTCTCCGGCAAGGAGATACTGAAATAAATTAAAACTTGTGGCATTACGGGCCTATCGGTAGTAGTGTTCAACGTTCGTTGATTGTAGCCGGTGGTCTATAGAGCACACAACAGAGGAGCCGTCTACTCTGCTTCGTTACTCGGGATTCTGGCCCAGCTACAGTGATATATGTCTCGTGGACTTACAGCTTCACGATGTATAGAATAGATTCTCCCGCTAAAAAGGAGCTATTCTTAGTTGCTCATGTATTCCCGTCGGATAGAAATTATCACCATCTAGGATCATGTTAAGCACAAAGGCGTCCCGCTTGAGGTCTTGAAGATATTTCGAGGTAGAAACCTCATCACACAGTCCTACACGTGTCTGCTGCTGCCGCGTTTCCAAGGCCACCACCGTCTTAGCTGCGGTGCCTTATAACTTACAGCACCAGAGCTGACTTGTTTTCTGACATGTATAATGCTTGTGATCAGTCCCTTGGAAATAAAATAAATTTAGTAGTGCGGTATCTGGAATAAAAAGCCAAAAAGCCAAAAGCTCACCGCCAAGCCCTATTCCCATCCGGAGGAATAGAGGTTGGTGGTTACGAAAAACCGGTGTTTTTCTTCGCTGACCTGGGAATCGAACCCAGAGCCATTTCGATTTACGACGGAATTGGCGGGACCAGCGCCCCTCCCAATACCGCTGCGCCAAACATGCTGCTTGGCGAATTGGGAGGAGATGGTGACTGGAGCAGTGGGAAGGGGAGTTATATCCTTGAGGTGGAGGGAAGGTGCGGGAAGTTTGGTTGTTAGTGCTTGGGGATAGAGTTGTTGAGTTGGCACTGTGGTGATAATTCAGGACATAGTACGCCCTAGGCCAAATAATCTGTACCGCCAGAGCTAACTTGTTTTCTAACAATGTGTGGTCCTCGTGATCAGTTCCTCAGAAATGCAATCCAGCGCAAACCATTCCGACACACTGCTTTGTCGCGAATCAACACCGAGGTACAGCCGCACATCTGGTGTCGAGAGAAAGATGCAGCCTGTAACCGGGTCTTCCCAAGCAGGAAGATTCACAATCTTTTCACTGGACTCAATCTCTAGGGTTGTCGGCCGTAGTGACTGTGAACTGATTTGTGCGATGAAGACCCCCTTGCAACCTCTCTCGAGATGAAATCGAGCGCGTTCCTTAGCGTCGGCTGTTATTGTATGAGGATAGATCAGAATGGGGCACGTATGTTTCGAGAAACCAACGCTACCTAGCTCCCTCACCTTTGTTGTCGAAGACGGAGATGAAGGGGCTGTATTCTGCTTCGACCCTGCTCTTCCAGTCAAGATGTTGGTGGAATTTCTTCGCATTGACCCAGTGGTGATAATTCATCACATAGTGGGCTTTGGACTCAAATCTTCCATCGTCATACTCCGTGAAGGACTGATCGTGTTGAACTCGATAAAAGTTGGGTGGAGGGCGAGGAGATGTCATCTTCCCTTTGTAAAGTGCGGATTTCGATTCTCAGGTAGCTATCAAAGGTATGGAATTGACGAAAAACAAACAAATACACAGGCAATGTGACCCAAAGATTGTTAAACTTGAAGCATAACTTTGCGTTTTGCTTTCTTAGGTAGCCATGCATGATATGCCATGCTCACCACGTGCCTCTCCCGTCTGAGACAGCCGGGACGGCTGGCCGTTTCGGGGGTATTTATGCAGGTGAAACTGTGCAAGATGTTGCGATATGTGAATATGCCCCTGTCCCCCAGTTGACCGAGACCCCGATAGTTGAGCTCCCCTGCACAGCTGCGCCGCTTCGATGGTCTGGACCCACCTAGTGTTGATTGATGACCCGCTCGCTGGGCTTTCCCCCTCAGGCCCGATCCCGACCGCCCGACCTTGCATGCTCAATGTGCGAGTTCCTCCTATTGCTTCGATTGGAACCCTTTTACCAGGGAAGAAACTAGCCAGCTAACCAACCGTCCCGTTGGGAGTCGGACGGGAAACCTTGGATGCTTTCTTTTCTTCACTTTGTTTAATCTTACTTTTTTTTCCTCTTCCCCTCCGGTTACTCCATCTCGAAGGGGGGTTTCCGAACCTCGGGACATCGGCCGCTCTCTCTGTTCTTCCTTGGAAGAGGGTCGAACAAGCAACCAAGAACAGACAAGCTTGCCTTGCTGACTGTGCTGTCCACCTCCACTGCTGCGCTAGGTTCTCGGAATTGGGACCTCTCAACTCAAACCCCGCGACGACAACACCGCACTGCAGTGCACCTTACTGCATCACGCAGTCAACGACACCACCCACGACATTCATAGACATCGTAACCCCTCACATCGGCCGTCCGATTTGCATAGCCATAGGCACGACTCGCGTGCGAGCGAGCGAGCTGCCCGGTCGCACAGAACCAACAATTCCCGATGCGGTCTGCAGTGGTTGCAGACCTCCTTTTTCTGCGACCACAATAGCCCGCCCGGTTGATTCCAAATCTTTCATTTCGAACCCAAAACCCCGAGTCTCCCACAACGAGCGATAAACAGCGTCACCATTTAATTTTTTCTCGACAGCGCCCGCTGCAACCGCCGTCATGGGCTTCGTCGGCGTGTACAAGGCCATCTACGACTACGCCCCCCAGGGCGAGGGCGAGCTGCAGATCACCGAGGGGGATCTGCTGTATGTGTTGGAGAAGAGCACAGATGACGACTGGTGGAAGGCAAAGAAGAAGGCAACCGGCGAGGATGATGACGAGCCAGTGGGGTTGATCCCGAATAATTACGTCGAGGAGGTATGTTGCTGCTGGAGTATTCGCGCTTGCTTCCCCGTTGGGGTTGGATGATAAAAAGGGGTGAGTGGTGACATGGGGGATGTGTTGGCTAATACTAGGTGCTTCTTTTGCTGCTGTTCCCGCTGCAATAGGTCCAACCCGAGTCCCAAGCCCGCGCTCTTTACGAGTACACGAGACAGACCGACGAGGAGCTGTCGTTCCCCGAGGACGCGCAGCTCGACGTTTTCGATGCCTCTGACCCAGACTGGATTCTCGTCGGGCACGAGGGAGACTATGGCTTTGTACCTGCGAACTATATCGAGCTGGGAGAAGGCGCCGGTGCTCAGGCGGCAGAAGCAGAGGAAACGGCTGCTGCACCAGCGGCCGCACCTGTTCCTGCACCGCCGCCGCTCCCTGCGCGCACTCCTAGTAGTGAGGTTGCCAGCCCGCCTCTTCCAGCCCGACCGCCCTCGGAGCCGAGCTCGCCTCCTGCGGCCCCGCCTGCCGCGCCCAACCCGGCTAACATGATTGCTGGTATGATGGCGGCCCGCGCGAATTCGGCCCAGCCAGCGCCTGCGCCGCTTGATCTCCCGGCCCGTAACCAGTACGCCTCTGAGGGATCGGATACCGAAGTCAAGTCTCCCCCGCTTCCGGCTCGTCCACGCGGCGATTCGCAGCTCTCGGTGGAAGAACCGCGTCGGGCCTCTCCACCGGTGCAACAGCAGCAGCATCAGCAACGCCAGCCGCAACGGAGCCGTAACGATCATGGCAGCCGCTTGGACTATCCCCGCGAGGATATTGATTCGCCGCGAACTCCTCGAACTGCCCCCCTTACGCCAGGCGACTTCCACATGTACAACATTAACGAGATGGTGTCCATCATGGGCAAGAAGAAGAAGATGCCGACGACGTTGGGCATCAACCTACGCACGGGTATGATCATGATCGCGCCTGAGCATGCGCAGGACGGCCCATCGCTGGAGTGGACCGCTGATCTCATGACGCACTACTCACGTGAGGGCAAACATGTGTTCATGGAACTGGTCAAGCCGAGCAAGAGCATCGACTTCCACGCTGGGGCTAAGGATACCGCGGAAGAGATTGTTTCGATGCTCGGCGAGCTGGCGGGCGCCGTGAAGGCCGAGGGCCTGCGCGAGGTGATTATGGCGGCCACAGGGCCCAAGGCGATACAGCAGAAGAAGGGCGAGGTTATGTACGACTTCATGGCACAGGGAGACGACGAGGTAACGGTTGGCATCGGAGATGAGGTCATCATCCTGGACGACACCAAGAGCGACGAGTGGTGGATGGTGCGGCGCGTCAAGAACCAGCGCGAAGGCGTCGTGCCCAGCAGCTACATCGAGGTCACCGGCATGCTGGAGATTGTGCACCCTTCGAGCAGCGCGTCGGGCCTGAACGCGGGCAAGTCGACGATCGAACAGAACCGGCTGGAGGAGGCGCGCTTGACTAAGGAGGCCATCAAGGCGGGACAGCGCGAGGACCAGCGCGAGAGGGACAAGTCGCGAACCGAGGTAGGCCCTGGATTGCTTTTGCCCGACCGCGTTAGTAGCCTGTCGGCAACAAAGGGTAACACTGTGTCGCAACAGCGGAGCAGCAAGCGCGAGAACGGCCGCGCCGAGGCCGCGGGGTCGTCCCGGGCGAGCGCCAAGTCGAGTAGGTCTCCCTTGAATTTGAAGAAAATGTTCAGTAAGACAGAAAAACAGAATTAACGGGCAAATCGCAGAACCCGACCCGTCCAAGGTACGCACCTGGACGGACCGCTCCAAGTCCTTCACCGTCGACGCCCAGTTCCTCGGCATCAAGGACGGCAAGCTCAACCTGCACAAGCTCAACGGCGTCCGCATCGCCGTGCCCGTCGCCAAGATGTCGCTCGAGGATCTCGAGTACGTCGAGCGCGTCACCGGCATCTCCCTCGACGAGGACAAGCCGCTGTCCGATCTCAAAAAGCGCGCCAGCAGCACCAACGAGACCGCCCGCAGCAAGCCGCCGTCGGCTAAGGTCGGTGCGTCGCTGGAGTCTACCAAGTCCGACTACGACTGGTTCCAGTTCTTCCTGAACTGCGAGGTCCAGCCGGGCCTGTGCGAGCGCTATGCTCAGGCCTTTGCGAGGGAGTCGATGGAGGAGAGTGTGCTGTCGGGCGTCGATGCGTCGGTGCTGCGGAACTTGGGTTTCCGTGAAGGTGATATCATCAAGGTGATGCGATACCTCGATACCAAGTATTACCGCGGGAAGGGCGACGAGGGTGCTGGTGGGCTGTTTTCCGGGCCGGGTGGTGCCCTACGGAATAACACTGCGAGGGGACGGCCGGCGCCCCCGGTCGAGACGAACAACACGGTCGACCCCAAGGCTTTCTCGGGAGATAAGGAGTCGGCTCCTGCAGAGGCCGCTGCCAAGCCGGCAGCTTCTACCGCTGCGGCCCCGTCGTCGGGTTCAAAGCCGGCTGGTGGATTCGACGACGATGCCTGGGATGTCAAGCCGTCCAAGACTCCCGAGCCTGCTCCCCAGAAAGCGCCAACTCTGCCGGCCGCTGCTCCGGCCCCGGCACCCGCTGCGGCGCCTGCTGCAGCAGCAGCTCCTGCTACGGCCAAGCTTACCGGCTCACTGCAGGATCTGTCGTTGCTAACCCAGCCACTGACACCGGAAAAGGCCCAGCCCGCGGCTCCTCCACTCGCCCTGACCTTAGCCCCTGCACCAGCTCCCGTGCCGGCGCCCGCGCAAGTCCCTCAGCCTACGGGCGCCACGCCCGGTTTCTTCAGCGGCATGCAGCCCCCGACCGTCAACGGCCAGCCCCAACAACAGCCGTCCCAATACGCCCAGCAACTCCCGCAAAACATCGCCCGCCAACGGCCCGTAGCACCGCAATACACCCAAGGCCAAGGCGGCCTCATGCCTCCACCCCCGCCCTCTCGTCCGCTCTCTGCCCCGCAACAGACCGGCCAAGCTAGCGCTTTCGGCCCGCCGCCCCCTCTCCAGCCCCATATGACCGGGTACGTGCCGTCAGCCGCCGCAGGCCAGGTCGCACCGCCCGGTCAGAGCTTGAACGATATCACGCAGCAGCGCCTGCAGCAGCAGTATACCCAGCAAATGCAGCAGCAGCAACAACAACAGCCGATGATGCCCATGATGACGGGTCTCCCGCCTCAGCAGGGCCCTTTCCTTCCGCAGCAACCGACGGGGATGGTGATCGGGGGTATTCCCCAGCAACAAGGGCCTTTTATCCCGCAGCAGACTGGGTTCGGCCAGTTCCCGCAGCAGCAACAGCCGCAGATGACGGGGATGGCGGGGATGAACACTGGGGTTGGGATGTCTTCGATTCCGGCGATTCCCCCGATGCCGCCGATGCCGACTGGGTTTGGTGGAGGAACAGGGCCGACGACAACACAACCGCTGGTGCCGCAGCAGACGGGCCCGGCGCCGGCGGTAAGGTTTGGTGTGCCGGAGGGCGGGGCGAAGAAATTGGCGCCGCAGGCTACGGGGAGGAGGGCGAATTTGGCTGCTGCTAGTGAGTTTTTTCCTTCTTTCTCCTTCATCAAACTCCTGTCTTTAAAGACCGGCCCGTTTCGGTCTGTAATCAGTTGGCAGAGGTATTTTTGCAGCTGTCGGCGGATCGATTCAGCTCGATTTGCAGAGACACAGGAACCCTAGCAAAGCGATTATATTATGTATTGTCTCAAGAAGTACTGACTAACCGTGCGCAACAGCTCCGGACAATCCGTTTGGGTTCTGATCTATCTATCTGTCCGACCTACCGAGAACAAGTCATAAGGATATCTTGGCCCACTCGCTTGGGAAGTGCCAGACAATGGGCTGCGACGTCAGGGTGTATGCTACAAGGCCAATGCTACACGAATCGATTTTGATCTCCTACTTGACACCCTCCCTCCCTTAACCTGCTGACTTAGATTGGACATTGGTCTTGGCTATGTGTGCCGTTGGAGTGAGTGGGCTGGCTTGGAGAGCCCAGGGAGGGTTGACTATCGGTTCTGCAGCGGTGACTTGACTGGGGTATGGATGCAGCAGGCGGCATGGGCTTGAATGGAAGGTGTGAGGTCTACGCGGAGATTCGTCTTCGGTCAAGGGGATGTTGTTTTGGAAATGGGAGTGTCTCTTCTGGACAGGGGGTATAGAGAGGAAGTCGAAAGCGGATGGGGGATGGAGAGACAGGAGATGGGGAAAATAGGAAGGAAAAGGAATCCAATGCAATCAGGACGGAAAGGTGAATGGGGGAATAGGAGAGGGAACTGGGAAATTGCACAGGGAAGGGAAGAATGGGCGGCCTTTTGATACTGCTTCTGCTTGCGACTTGTTGCGTGCTGTTATCTCGTTGGGATGCATGAGCGCTGCGGGTCGTTGTTTTCTCTCTTTCTCTATCTCTTTCTCTATCTCTTTCCGTTCTCTTTTCTTACCTATCCTGGGTTGTCCACCTCCCTTATTTTAATCTCCCTTTCTCTCTCTCTTCTCCTTTTTCTTGGGTTGGTTGTCTTGGTTTTTTTGGTTTTGGTTTGCTGTAGTTGTTTTTCTTGTCTGTCGTGTTGGTTTTGTCGTTCTCGTATACACTTACTCGTCTTGCCCACTCGACCTTACCCTACGTTGTCCTATAAATCATAGCCGTCGCTTTCCCCTATATATATATTATCAAGAGGTCCCGTCTACCTGCTCTGTTTCATCGTTACGTAGCTTGGGTATTTTGAAGTCCTCTTTGCTTGTATGTCCCTAGGGAGTTAGCAGTTGCTTAGATAGAGCATTGCTTATTGGGTATTACCTTTCTGAATGGCATTTGCCTATGTTATCCTTTGCGTTTCGTCGGTCGTACCCAGGGATTGAGATCATGTGCGCGCGAGTCACCTTCTAAGAAGGAGGCATTTAGACCTAGATATGTATGTACATGAGATTTCTGTCTAGCCAGTATCTTTGAACGTTTTGCCTGCCAAAACTCCGGCTCCCCATTTTGCCCACAATGTATTCGCTCACTCTACTACAAAATGTAGTCCATTGAGGAGTACCGTGCCTCCATACTGTGGAGAATCTAGTACCTGGACGTCACCCGTTCGTCCCATGTGAAAGGTGCCAACCCGCCTGGGTTTAACCCGGTGCTCTCCTCGTCTCCTTCCCTTTAACTACGCTGTCGAGCCCGCAGTTCCTTCCTTTTTGCCAACATCAGTTAGCTGTGAAAAAGTTTTCGCATCCCATGCTCAACTCTCTTCCCTCTTAGATAGTACAAATCCATTTTCTCCCTCGTACAAATTCACCTTCTTCCACCACCATCGTTAGACAACATCCTCCCAATCCTCCGGCCTACTCCGACTGGCTTCCCCCGCTAAGTGGGCACGCAGCGGACGTCGCCCTCGCAATCGTCCGCGAGGATAAACGAGTCCCGATCTCCCGGCTGAAGTTTTCGCTCGGACCCCCTGTTCTGGTATGGCATAGCCACTTTCTGTTGCTAGCTTGAGCTTCTTTGTCTTGCTTTTGCTGCGTGACTTTTCTCGTTTCGATACTGGTGTTTCTGGTACTGTGACGGCCGAAATCACGTCTGGGGGGGAAAGGTTGCGCCAGCTTAAGAGTAACACCCCAAGCTGCCCAAACCAGTGCAGCAGTACGGCAGTTATACCGAGCCATATTGCCCCGTTTCCATTGATGTTTTTCGGGGGTTGATCCCTTATTTTCCCCACCCTTACTCTTTGTCGCTCGCCCTTCGGGTTTAGGAGGGTGTTTGTCTTTTCTGCTTCCCCCTTTTCTGTTCTTCTTTGAGTGTCCGGACTGGGTGTAATGCTCCTCCGGCGGCGGCTGCTGCTAGTGCTTCTACCTCCCTCTCGAATGCTCACTGCTGAGTTTACTAGGGTGACAGTGCTTGGAGGCCCTACATCGAGCAGCTCTTCTGCGTTAGCTTCCAAGGGCTGTGGGGCTGGGATGGTTGGGGGTTGTGAAGTCGAAATGCCCGGAGGCCGGCCAGGAGGCCGTACCGTGGGCAGTGGTTGTTGTGGTGAGGCAGTTCCAGCCACATCCAGATCTTCTAATACGAGCCCGGGCAGGTTCTGCATCGGACCCCCTACAGCTGGCACGGTTTCGGTAACGCCCATGTGCATCGAGGACTCGAGTGCGCTGGAAGTGAGCCACGGATTATGACCCAGTGGTGGTAGAGGTGGTCGAACAGTTTGGGGCAAGTTGCTTAGTAGTGGTTGGTTTTGATGATGGTGCTGGGCTGGCTCGGTGGTTGGAACTGGATTCGTCGTGATGGCGGGATGGTAGTTCGCATTCATTGCGCCGGGGATCTCGGCAGGAACAATGGCCATGTTTGCGTACTCCATCGCCACGCGCAAGCCCTCGGCTGTCTTATCCAAGCGGCGTGGGCACGAATACCCGTCTGCCCACTCGATTTTCGTCACAATTTCCTGGTCTCGGCCTCCCTTGTCCCCAAACTTGAGGTTTTTTAGTTTGTTTGAGAACTTGTCGGAGAACTTGGCCAGTTTTCCGCTGACATGGACTGTCATATAAAACCTCTCCGCATCATGCTGGAGGGCGAAGGCAGTGTGGAAGAGATGGTTGTGGGTTGGCGCCCACTCGAGTGAGTTTGGCGCAAGTTTCCATTGGAGGCAGTTGTACCATCTGTCGTCCTTGGTGGCCGGGCCGATATGGCCGGAGAAATCCCAGCGCGCGTGAGTCTGGACAACCCGCTCCTTGTCGACCCCAAGGCCACCGCCTCCATACCCAAACATCTGCACTTCCGGAGTGCGGTGTTTGACCTTTTTAGTCTGCACCCATGATTCCTGGCCGCGGACGCACTTCGGGCCGTAGTGATCGGTGAATTGGATCGGATAGACGGACGTTGACGGGTTGCCGTCTGGGTGGTCAGGTTCGTCTCTGTCGGCCTTCATCAAGGTCACCGTAATCGTCGCTGACGCCAATTTGCAATCTGCCGGCTGGTTGAAGTCCAGGTCCAAGTAGATGATCCCGCCCGGGGCCGATCCAGCGCCAATGACCCCCCACTGCGATTTGGTGAACATGAACCGGCAGTCGACCTCGACCTTGCCAATACTCCCATGACCCGCTCGCATATGTGTCGAGGCGAGGTGGTCGAATCGGTGGTAGCCGTCGCATCGGCCATACTTGTTGCGGACGCCAGACGACAGTTGAGGGCGCGTGCCGTGTATGTCCATTGTGGCCCACGACGAAGCAATTGAGGCCTGAGAATCCCGAGCAGCGCTTCGCCAGTCAACCGCGGCCGCTCACGGGAAATACTAAGTATTTGGGCTCCAGAGGCTGGGGCCGAAAAGGCGGCCGGACAGCCCCTTGTCTTGGCTGCAGCTCGCATACACACAGCAGTCCTACATGAACCCCACGGCCCGAGGCCGCCAGCACTGCCCATCTGCAGCATGTAAAATGCCGCTGTTTTGATTCGCCATTACACAGGCCCCTCCGGCTCAACGCCACACAAGGCTCTCGCGACGACGGTTGCGAATGGGCATATCGTCGCAATGTGCTATCCCCAAAAGAGAGCTGCCAGGCCCCACCTTTGCAGTTTAATCATTCTGAATTATCACCGAGTTTCCCGTCGCGGGGTGAAGTGAGGGGAACATATTGATTTTTACACCCGTTTTCTGTTTATGATTATTTTTCTCTTCCTGGCTTGTGCCGCTAACAACAATGCCACTGACAAGACGTACAAATGTCTCGTTCACATCCTCCAGCAGCGAGGCCTTCTCTCCCTCATTATCGGATGACGGCGATGATGAACCCGGTGACGGGGAAGGTAGTTCACACTCACACGCACCCGATAACGGTATCTATCGCATTCGTAGACGCGGATCACGAAGGGAGGGGGGGTCGCCCGCGGCTCACGATCATGGCCATCGGACGACACCATGGACGACGCGGGCTCAGAGCAGCCAGCGGTCTCAGAGCAGACCGCGGTCTCGGAGTAGGCAACGGGCTCGGGCATCACCTGGACCACCGTGGGCGCGCCAACGACAGCCACACTTTTGGGAATGGATGGATCCATGGGGTCGCGGGCCCGGTGAGCAGTCCGGGCAATCACTTATTCCATCACGACACCGACCACCTCCGCCTCACAACTCTAGTTACCCAGGTCGCCAAAATCCCAGGATGCTCGAAGGCCACGGCGATAGGGCTTATATTCCGCCGTCATCACAGCATTTGAACTCTTCTGGCTGGGCCGAAACTATCGCCTCTGAAAAACGAGCTGGACAAGCTGAAACTCCTCACGGGTACCCTCCATCGATGGCGCCACCGTCGTTGACTACCGGGACCAGGCAATTTGAACAACGCACGTTCAAAACACGCTCTCCGGATAATGAGCTGCCCCAAGGCGCGCAAGGGGTCTTGGAAGGGAATGGGCCGAAGTCTGGTCCCGAGTCGATACATTTTGACTTTGTTTACGACCCCTCTTCGAAGGCACACAAGGACGTGTCCGCCCGCCTGCAGTTGGACATCGAACCTGACTGGGAGGGCGATCTGGAAGAGTTTTGCCGGCTCAAGAGGTTGGGGCTTATAAACCAGGCCAAGAAACATTTCTGGTCTGCTCTCGGGCATGTCAGCACGCTGCCCTACGTCCGAGTACAGTACGCCGAGATGCTCCAGGCATGTGGCGACTACAAGGGGTTCCAGGCCCTCCCTTTCCCGAGTGACTGGTATTTCCCGCTGGTGGATGGTACCCCAGCCGACCGCAACATGGGAAAGCTGGTCGCCAACTATGCGCTATTGGATCTCCTCTCACAGCGCCACTCTGGCGACTACCTCCAGAGGGCATGGCAAGTTGTCCGCCATACATTCAAGGCACTCGCCCATGAGCTGTCTATGGGTTCGACAGAGGTATGTTCTGGCAAGGATCTCTTCTTTTCTCTTTTATCGCCCTCATCCTGCTTAGATTCGGACCCTTTCCCTCTCGCATTTACTAACAGATATTCCCGCCCACTAGATTCAGCTTGCGGTCTTGTGTTTGCGTGTCTTGACACACCTAGAAAGATGTACCCATAGCGGCGTCGTGGAACCAGCCATCAATTATGCAAGGTCCGTGCTCGACTGGCGGAGACTCTACCACGACCTCTTGGGCGATAAATGCATCTGGGACTTCCGGGACCTCTTTTTGGCAACTGTTACCCTTTTTAGCTGGCCCGAAACACTGACGATGCTTCTCGGCACCACCCACCTACCCGAAGCTGTGAACACCATCATAAAAGACTGGAGTTGTTTACCGGCGTTTGATGAAGCCCCCGTGCTGGGCCTGCTCGACCTGTTTACATCCCTGATTCTCCAGGACCACAGCCCGGGGATGAAGATCCGCAACGAGTTGCTGTGCCGCCACGCTGTCACAATGGTAGACTCTATACGACAGCATGGCCGGGAGCTTATGAGGACTCGACCGTACGTTCAGTGGTTGTTAGCCAAGACCATTTGCGAGCCCGTGCCTGCCTCTGAAGACCTGGTCGGCGTCCGTGCCGCGGACTTGAACGGAGTGACGATCCACCATGGCGATGGTGTCGATTTACCAATCTATATACCACGTCGGCGTTCTGGGAGCCCCACATGGGATATGTTCCTCGTTCACTCTACCCCGATGCAGCAGTGGACTTTGGAGATTGCTGCTAAAGCGGCAGAGGAGATGGGTGACGGGAACTTGCTCACGCAGACCCTGAAACTCCTCATTCTTCGGGCCCGGGATCCTAAGCCTTGGGTGCAGACTCTGACAAAGCTGCAGGCGGAGATCCAGGGAGATAAGGAAGGGCATCTCGCCACCTGTTTGTCTACATATATCATGGCCGCTGCCGACCCGATCCAGGAATCCGCCTTGCTGAGAGCACTCCAGAAGCCCGGGAACGGCAGCCAAGGCGCCCTTCACTTCGAGGATTGTCAAAACGCATCCTTGAAATGGGCTTGGGCTATGCTCCGCGCTCTACTGAAGTCAGAAAACAAAGCCGACGGCCCCCTTCTCGGGGCACGTTCGTCCTTCTTACCCCAAGGCTTTTCGCTGGACGGCTCAAAACTCCCTCCTTACCTGGCAGACTTTTCCCGAGAAAAACTGCAAGCTTCAGTTTCCCAGCCCATGAGCCCACTGCCAGTAGATGCGGACGAAGAAGTGAACCCCAGTAAGAAAGAAGAACCTGGGGCAAAGGAGCAACATGCAGGAGCCCGTGCGCCCAACCCAAACCCCAATTTTTCTGAACACGTTGAAGTTCCTCCCAGAGAAGAGACACATACTGCTCGGAGTTGGGATCCCTGGCGCTATGAGGGTTACCGCCCTCCCAACCCTTTCACACCGCACCCGACCCCTTGGGACCATCCCGACGGCCTCGGGAACGATCCACAAGCCGAAACTGGGGATCCGTATACAAAAGTAAATGACTGGATGGGGGGCAGCCCCCAGCAGGGTCCAGAAAACCACCACAACCCAAGCGGGAGAAGGAGTCAGGCTGGATCCAACGCAGCAGCGAACGGCTCGGACTTTTTAAACGGGGATCCGAATGGTTATTCGCATGGGTATTCAGATGAGTATGATTCCGGGGCCGAATGGGAGGACTATGATTCGCTTGTTTCCTTGGAGCATTGGGAAAGCGAGCACGGAGAACAACCCTCGGCTCCATATAGACCATATCCTAACGACTATCCATTCTCTAACGACGACTGGAACAATGGTGGACCACCTGAGTATGTGCCGCAGACGCGCACGAAGGTGCGGTTCGACAATAACCCGCCATCGACCCGACAACACCAGAGGGAGGAGCCCAGGAGAGTAGAGACGGTCCGGAAAGGCGACAGGGTCTACGCCACCATTCCGAAGGCTAGCAATAAACTTCAGCGGGAGTCTCAACGTCGCAGGTCACCGTCTAGAGAGGATCAACAGGCCCGGAACGACGCTCACCACCGCGACTTTTTGATCTCCTTCCTGAAATTTCTCCGGGAGAGCGAGCGCGATGGTGCCAATGTCAGTCAGGAAACATGGTTAACGACGGCCGAGGAATTGGTCGATACGCTGGGAGAAAGCGAGTATCCCAACCCTGATAAGAAGTATCCCGAGCCTGATGAAAGGCGCCCCGTCGACCCCTCTCATGAGCAATCCTCCGCGAACAAAGCGAAAGCTGCTGAGCCGTCGTCCGCCTCTCACCCGACGAAACCTACAAAGGGGATCCTGCGCACTCCTGGTGACCGAGCTTCGAAAAAGAACAACACGCAGAAGAAACCAGATATCGCATATCATTACGCGCGGGGAACCAAAGCGGGCGACGGTGCATATGACGGCGACGAGAGTTCATGGGAAGTCGTACCATCTTTGTCGGGATCGGAAACTGTGGGGGAGGAGGAAGGGGAGCGGAAGCTCACGGCCCATGAGAAGTTGGAGATGCATCGGAAGATACTGGTGAAGATGCAGCAGGGTGTCCAGCGGAAGATAGAGGAGGAACTCGAGCGAGAGCGAGTGCGCGCGAAAGTTGAAGGGAAATCTTCCTCTTTTTCTTCTGGCCCTAACCGTCGATCAACGAGCAAGAAGGATCCAGGGCCGTCGGGGTGGACTAAAGACAGCGCGGCATCTAAACCGGTGAAAGGACCCACGCCGGCCCAAACCCAGCCCGGAACCGATGCCGCGGAAACAAAAACAGCAACGACCACAGCGCCACAGCGTGTGCCGGCGTCGCGAGCACGGCCCGATAGCGCGCCAACGTCCATGCCGAAAGCACCCATGCCGCCTCAGCCAGACGAAGCAAGCGCGAATCAAGCCCCTGAACTGATTAGTGTCGACGACCTATGGAATATGGTTTTCCAAGCCACCAGGAAGAGACAGGGGAAGGACAACCCGATTCCCGCCGAGCAAAAGGGAGTGCCTCCCGTTGTGTCCCCGATCCCGGATCCTGCTGTACAGGTACCACCGGCCGTGGCAAGCGGATCTGGCGAGGGTGGTGAGAAGGAGCCACAGAAGACGGCCGAGAAACTGGACCTAAGGGCTACAGTAACGGATGACCATGAATCAGAGTCTCCGCTAGACTCCAAGCTCAAGCAGGTAGAAGCTGAACCCGGCATCGAAGAACCGGAACCTGCACCCGATCTGGGCGCCAACGACTTAACGACCCCGGCACAAGGAGAAACATTGATGGGCGAACCGTCGACTGCTGAGTATCAAGTCCGAGCCGAGGATGCCAGCGACGACAAGAGCAAGAACGACGTACCACTCGGCGCACGGTGGACTAAGATCAGCTGTAAGCTCGTGCACCCGGACGTGTTAAAAATTGGCAAGGAGCGTTTCAAGGTCCGCGATGACTTTATCGTTGTTCTGCGTGTACTCAGCAAGCAGGAGATCCAGGCCTACATAGATGCGACGGTGACGTTGAGAGGTATGTTCTCGTAATGGGACCGGTATACGGGGACGTATATGGCTAAGCTAATACGATTTAATATAGAACGCCGAAAGAAAGAGATGGAGCGTGAGATATGGGAAGCGGTTGGGTATAACGAAAAGCGTGACCGTAGTGGCGACGACGACGACAGGCACTCGAAGTACAGGGAAAAGGATCACGAGAGGGAGAAAGATAGGCACCGCCGTCCCGATGGCGACGGCAAAAACTGGGATGATCAACAACAACATGAACAGATCAACGATGGCCCACATCAGCATGAACAAATCGATGAGGGACAAAACCAACATAAAGAAATCGATGATGGGGCGACAGCCCTCTTTTCTCCCCGACCTAACTCGACGCCATCCTGGCTGAATATCATTTCTATAGAGGAGTTGGATGAAACAGAGTCGAAACCGGAGGCGAAAGCAGAGGCTAGGGAAGAAGGCGAGGCTGAGGTCGAAGGGAAAGGGAAAGGCAAAGACGAGACTAAAAGCGAAAACAATGAGTTGATGTCCCTGATCTGGGTTGGTGACCAAGGGAAAACTGGGGAGGATAACAACAAGAACAAAGAAAATGACGGCAAGGATAACGACAAGGATAACGACGTCGAGGATATCGACTACAAGAAGGCCACGTACAAGGACGACGACAGTGTGAGCATAGGTAGTGCGATCGAGTTTGGTAGCAACAGGTTGCGTCGGCGTGCAGCAACCATAGGGGTTGCTGGAACGATGTCGTCGCAAGACCCGGAAAACAAGATAAAGAAGAAGCACGATTATGCGACGGAGTATATACGACAAGCACGGGGCTCATTTTCAAGTGGTGGGAAGAACTAGGGAAGGGAGCGGGTTGGGTCTTGAAAGGTGTTCCGGTGTTGGGGTTTGGGAGGGATGTTTTTGGATTAAGAGAAAGGTCTGGTTAGGAGGGGTTTCTTCATTCCCGACGTCGATGACATGTGTTTGTCGTTACTTGGGTAATTGTTACATTTTTTTGAGTTGATATACTGCGTATTTCTTATGTCAATTTCGATGCCGTGTTTCATTCACTACTTGTTGTTAGAGAACAGTTCTAGCTGTATAATATCGCATTCTGGTTCCCTTGCCGAATATAAACATCCTTACAACGTCCCCCTCTCTTCGCCTGTTCTTTGTTCAACTAATTAGTGTATGTTGGTGGAGAGTTCTAAGTCTGTTGGGAAACTCTAGGGGAAGAACAACTCCTGGCATGTGACAGGCAGCCCCATGTCAGCGGATCAGGACCACGATGGCCCAAGCGCCCCGCTCCAATCCAGGCGCTCCAAAGGCCAGACACACGCGACGCCAGGCGGCTGACCCCGCACCTCTTGGAGTCCCCTGCGCGCTAAAGCGCTGGCGAGCAGCTGACAGCTTGAGAGCGGGCCCACCTTGACAGCCCGTCAACTGTCAAGCCGCTTCTCAAGGTGCCCTCGGTCCCCAACAAAAGCACGCGACACCAGCTACATTGCTGCGACTGCTTGCCCAGACTCTCGTGCTTCTTTTCCTTTTAAGCAACGCACGAATGACGAGGCCGCACATGGCGCAGTGACCCAGATCGAGCACTGTTGCCGAATAAGGTGCAAGCTGACTGTCTGTGTTGGATTGATCAATCGGGTTCTTTGTTCTGCGGTTCCCGTTTCATTCCAGTTGGTTGGAATCCATCTCCTGACCGGGGAGCTCCGTAACTGCCTGGCGAAACAACAGCAGCGGCCCGTTCTCTTGTGTCTGTCTGACGTCTCACGCGCCGCAACTAGTTGTTCTTTTTCTTCTGCAGTGGTCTCTGCCTTAACTTATTATATATATTGCCTGCCCGGGACTCCCGTCCCCCTCGTGACCGCCTGCAGCTTACGGACTAGACTGCCTGCCTGCCCACGCCGGGGCCTTTGTTATCCGCCCTCTGAACAAAAGGGACATACTCCCTTTCCACTTCCTTTCTTCGCCGATTTCCCAACTTCGTCCGTCCGATCTCCACAACCACCATCGACGACAACCACAATCCAAACCATGCGCGACCCCTTCCCGATCCCGCCGATTCCGGCGTTAAGCCGGGCAGTCGAGCCCCTATCCGAGTACTTCAACATGCAGACGCTCCCACTGCACATCCACGAAGTCGTCGGCGCGGCACTCTTCTACACCGCCATCCAGGTCGTCGTCTCCCCCGTGCTCTCGTCCTGGCTGTTCCCACAGCACTACCCGCGACACAACCGCGCCAAGAAGGCCAACTGGGACACCCATGTGGTCTCGCTCGTCCAGAGCCTCATCATCAACGCCCTGGCGCTGTACGTCATGTTTGCGGATGAGGAGCGGAATGTGATGGATTTTGAGCAGCGGGTGTGGGGGTATACAGGAGCGTGTGGGTTGGTGCAGGCGCTGGCGGTGGGGTATTTTGTGTGGGATTTGGGGATTACGCTGTTGAATTTGGATATCTTTGGGTTTGGGCTGCTTGCTCACGCCCTCAGTGCCTTGGCGGTGTATACCTTTGGTTTCGTACGTCTCTACTTACTCCCGCCCTCTTACTCTGGTCGAATATCTCACTAACCCTCCATGTTACACAGCGCCCTTACCTCAACTACTACTCCCCCGTCTTCATCCTCTACGAGCTCTCCACCCCCTTCCTCAACTTCCACTGGTTCTTCGACAAACTCAACATGACCGGCTCCACCCCGCAACTCATCAACGGCATCCTCCTCCTCTCCACCTTCTTCCTCTGCCGTCTCGTCTGGGGCACCTACCAATCCGCCGTCGTCTACACCGACATGTACCACTCCATCTTCAGCCCCCCGCCCTCCCCAGCATACCTCACTTCTGCCTTTGCCGACCCGCTGACTGCCTCGAACCCGGATACCAACCCGCTCTTTTTCGCCCGGGACCCGGCGACGCTGCATGCTGCTGAGGGACCTGCGGCGCTGCAGGTGCCGATTTGGTTGACGCTCGTGTATCTGGTCAGTAATCTGACGCTGAACGCGCTCAACTGGCATTGGTTCCACAAGATGATTGCTGCGATGCGCAAGAGGTTTGAGCCGGCTAAGGATGGGAAGAAGGAGGAGCCTGTTGCTGCGGCGGTTGTGTCTGCTGCGAAGGAGAAGGCGGCTAGGGCGACGGCGGTGGAGGGAATTACGGCGCGGCCGCGGAGGTCGAAGTCGATTGTGGAGGACGTGGTGCCGGATAGTGAGGAGTTGAGGGAGGGGACTATTCAGTGAGGGTTTTCTGGAGGGGTTTGATATTTGACGGATACAGGGGGCGGATGAGAAGAAGATGGATTGTAAGCTTGATAGATTTGTGTGTGTGCGTCTAGGGGAGAGAACTGCAGAAAGGTCCTCCAGTGGCGTTGTCAGGCGAATAGAAGATGAGGTTGAAATGGGAATGTGATATGGATGGTAATAATCACCTGGCTGGCTGACAACACGACTGACCACTGGAGGCGTCCCGAAAGAACGGGCCTAAGGGGGTGTACTTTACTGTACTAATGTACTGAGTATGACGATGATTTATTGGTACCATTTTGCATTGAACATTGAAGGTCTTTCGGGGTGATAAGTATTTGGCCGGCTGATGAATCGTCATTTTGACTCCCACTCCGTAAAAAGTGTGGGCAAGAGCCGTTTCACCGTGTGGTAGCAATAGTCTTAGTCTAAAAGGATTCGGATTTCTGCTATTTACCATCTTTTTTAGCTGCGTTTATTGGGAAGGATCATGTCTGTCCGTATCTTGTCGGCTGATGATATGGGCTTAGAAGATGAGAACGATGGGAGTTGATAGGACATATCCGTACTACACACGGGGTAGAATGTAACGTCGATGTAATAATTAAGTGGTCCCGGATGCTTTGGTGGGGACTCGTATAAGTGAAGGCTTCTCGTTGCTACTTCACGACATCTTGACTTCCCTTTTCTCATAAGACTGGTCCAACACCAATAACTCCAACTCCCTGTGGCCGTCCAGTTTCAATGTTTAAGATGTTCATGTTCCTCACCCGTTTGAGGTCTCATTAGAACGGGCTTCCCATCATTATCATCAAAATCGTCACCGCATCCCATGATCTGGCAACGAAGCAACCCAACGAAAATTACCATCCACGAAAGTCGCAAAACAAAATCAAAACCTTTGCCCATGATGTTGTAGTTTTCTACCACTCCACCAGCATGCAACCTAATAACCGAGAAAAACAAAAACGCCGAACCTGACAAACCATGTTTCAACTCCGCCCGTCCAATACCATGATTTATCCTCCTACAACCGCCGCGTTCTTTGGCCGTGAGGCCGCCAGCGGAGAAACACTTCATCCCGATGCTCTACGTAGCCCCAGGATCCCAGGTACAGGTCTAGTTTGAACGCCTTATCACTGCGACGCCTCGACACTGCTCGTTGTACCACCTGTACCTGCTCCAGTTGGCAGATCAGCCAGCTCCTGTGTGGATGTGTCGCCACTACTCTTTGTATCTGTTTATAGATTAGCTAAATCCCGTCTGCCGTGGTTTCTAATGGGGGCCTTACCCTGGTCGTCTATCGGCACCGGGCGGGATCTTTTCCCTAAGCCTTCGGCCTTTTTAAGCGCTTTAATTCGCGGCCTAACGTCATCTCGAAGCTCGAGCCACAAGGTCTTCACCTCCTGGACAACGGTCACCGTCGTCCGGTAGACATTGGTGATGAGACTAAGCCGTGCCTCGAGATAGGCCTGCCTCGCTACGAGCGCCTTGTACTCGTCCGAGGGCATGGCGACGGATGTGTGTGTGTGTGTGACGAGAAGAGTGATAGATTTGCTCGCGTTTCGCTTGTGAGTGGTCGGCCGTTTGGTGAATGGACAGTGGGCGGGTGGGTTAGTTACGTTTTCAGAGAGCGGAGAGGTCGGGGATGCCTCCCAAGCAGCAGAAAGCCAGAAAGCAAGGGTCCAATTTGAAGGCGAGGCTTTGTTTGCACACACCCGTCACGTGAGTGAGTCCCAACTGCATCATCTGAGTTGGGGGCCTGCGGGGTGTACAGTACGGCTGAGTCTTCCTTTATTAAAACGAGGTTGAAATGGGAAAGTGGAAGGGAAGGACCAAACAACGAGTTAGTTTGTTGGATGCCAAGCATCATGGTTCCGGCCTTGGATGACATAGGCCGTAGCTGTTCAACCTACATAATGGCACGTACACCTAAAATTACCACCCACGAAACTCACCTCACTGAGGCCGAAAAAAAGTGGCAGACCAAGCCCCTGGATGCCCTACTTTCCTATAGAAGCGAAAAGACAAAAAAGACTAAATCAAAAGGTGAAAGAAGACAGAGAAGAATAACTCAAAAAAGTAAAAGATAGAAAAGAATAAATCAAGCCGTCGGGAGTTTAAAATAAGATTTGAATAGGAGTATTACAATTATACATCAAACCTCTCGTCCGTTATCCTAGTAATAATTGTTTACATCTACTTAGATTTGATCGAATGTTGACGGATTGGACTCAAGCTATCTATTTTCGTTTGCCGCTTTTTTTGGCCACAGCGAGATTTATATAACAAAACAAAACAGCCGCCCATGCTAGTGTAGCTAGCCTCCGCCTCGCCAATAACCCCTCTCCATCAACAGGAGCCTCCTTCCGCATCCTCACCTTCCACATCCTCATCTTCCATATCCTCATCTTCCATATCCTCATCTTCCTCCCCTGAATCTTCTTCCCCTGAATCTTCCTCCTCTGAATCTTCCTCCCCTGAATCTTCTTCCCTTGAATCTTTTCCCCTTAAATCTTCCACCGGCGTGTTCGACACAGGCTGTTCTACGTATTCCATGATAGGGTCATACAGGGCCAACCCCTCAAGATTATACTCAGACCGTGTGCCCGAGTAGGTGTTTAGGAAGGCATAGATCATGTCAACGTCAAGCCCGGTTTCGTTGTCACCGTAGTCGGTGTCTCTCAGGTTGTTTCTATTCAGGGGTTCACTGTAGTGTTGAGCGGGTGTATTCCCCCATGTCTACGAGGCGGCCCGTTTAGACTTGGCTGTTGGTGGCTGTGGGCGGATGCGGAGGAATTCGCTAGCATGAGCCTCAAGTATTGGGTGATTCTTTTAGACATAGGGCTCGTCCTCTAAAGATTCCTTGTCCAGAGGTGATACGTGGGCTCCGAGCTCATCGCGGGAAAATTCTACGAGCGCCATTTCGAGGTTGGATCCGTCGAGAGATAATCCTCGTGAGCAAAGCGTTGCGGCGGGTCCTCCTTGTCCTGCTTGTGTACCGGTATTCTCGGCCGTTTCGGCCTCGAGGACAGCACGGAGAACGCTCCACGCCCATTTCATGGACACACACTCGCAATCGTCAAAGTAAAGTTTGTTCTAGTCGGATTCGTGGGGCCTTTCCAACTCCTTCAACAGGTCGGCTTTGTCGCGTCGGTCGTGGGCCACGAGGTACTTGGACAGACAGGTTACTAGGTACCCTTCTTTGTCGCCTTGAACCTCAAATTGCAACCGTCCAAGCTTTTCCATTTAGGGTTTGGGGTCTTCCGACCGGGAGATGGCCAGCTTGAAGCCCTCGGCCAGTGTGCTGTGGTCGCCCGTCGTGGAGGCCACCAGCTCGACCAGTTCTGAGATCCGGAACTGATGGGGCTTCGATGGAGTCCTGAACATGTCCCACGCGGGTTTCCTCAGATGGCGGTTGGGCACAAACACGGGCAGCCTGACCCCATCGCCCGGCGGCAACAGGGCAATCCCATACTCTTTCAAGCCATCCCGGCTTGGGAGCCTCGGCGCCAGATCGCAGGCGGTCCGGGCCAGCAGCCATTTTAGATAGGGCCGCGTCGTGACGAGCTCTATGTTGCCCCTTTTTCGTATAATCTTGACCATCGCCACGGCGTGTCGCGCCAGGAGCATATTCTGATCTTTGGACTCGGGGTGGTGGTCCATGAGGATCAGCGACGAGAATAGGTCCAAGAGTCCCAGGGCCGTTGCCTCATCGAGCTGGGGAGCACTCCAGTCCTCGACCATGATTTCTAGGGCTGTTGACGTATCATCCATGGCATAGAACAGGGATAATGAGTCTGGCAACCCGTGCCACGAAGCGAGGACGAGGAAAAGGTCCCGAAAGTCCCAGATGTAGCCCATGTCAAGCATACTGTCGTATATCTTCGTCCAGTCAAACCCAAATTTGGGTCTTGATTTTCCTGCGTAAATAGCTTGGTTTAGAAGGGCCTTGAACGGGCCACTATGACGCGCACCGAACGCGAGGAGTTGAAGCTGGAAGGTGCCATTAGAAGTGAAAGAAGAGGAAGAAGTAAAAGAATAGGTAAGAAAAGAAACAAATAAAACAAACCAAGAAGGCGGGAGAGCTGGAAAGGAAGAGATATAACTTACCTCCGTTGAACCCATGAACGGTTCGTCGCGTAGGACCTCTAGCGTCCGAGTAAGCGTCCCCCGTGCTATTACGATATCATCAGGCGCAAAAGACCGCTGTGACAGCAGATCCAGCAACGCATAATTCACCACCAACTTCCCCGTCCTCCGTCTCTCCTCCACATCCGTACCCGTAGCCCCTTCTACCTGCGGCACAGACGGCGACGAAGAAAAGAACTCCAACTCCCGAAACGCGCGGTACTCGCCCGCATCCAGCAACATCTCAACATACTGCACCTGAATATACGGATGCAGCCGCACATGCTGCAGTGTGGACAAAGCAAAATGCCGCTTCGCCTGCACCACTAATCCATACCGCGCCAGCCGGCTGAACTCTTTGAGGTCGGCGTCCTCCCAGCTCGGCTCGATGTCCCACCCCATGTTCACATTTATGTCCCGGGCCTGTTGCTGTTGGGATGGGTCGAACACGAGGTTGACGTGGTTGGGGGGGCGGTCGTCATCGTTATCGCCATCGTTGTTGCCCTGTAGGTCAAAGTATTGGTCGTTGATGATGGCGATCTTGTCTGGAAGTCTTGGTTCGGGACTGTCGGGTCGATCGCGGCGGTGCGGTGGCCTTTGATGTTGCTGTTGACTCCAGGAAGAGGACTGTGGTTGGTCATATTGCTGTTGATCTTGTAAATCAGACATTTCCTCCTGAGCACTTCAACGGAAAGCTAGAGTGAGACTGGATGTAGAAATGAGAGTAGATACGTGCTGTGTTGATGGTGTGCTGCTAGATGAGAATGAGCACGAGTTCCTAGGGCCGGGGTATGTGTGTTGCTAAAGAAAAGGAAGAGTATGGAAGCACTTGCTTCGGGGTTCGCATTAAGCAAAAGTCAAGCTCCAAGGTACACACGTCCGACCCCTCGAGGCAGCCCGATCAAAGGCTCGGGATGGCCCAGCGCTTGCCGTCTCAAACCCCATGACAAGGCTCCAGCCGTCCTTGACTGATCAGTTGACATTTTCACGGATCCAGAAAACCAAAACTAAGCCTTGGTACGGAGAACACTACTTGAGTGGTGTGGTGTCCCGTCCTCCATGCTTCTCTCCAATAATTACCCGAGCGTGGGGGCTAAAAAGTTGTACGTTGAGGCCGTTGACTAAAAGGGTTTATACGCGCTGGGCCTGGCGGTTACGATGTGTGTCGTGGATGACGTAAGCCGTCTTTAATGCAATACCCCGGACACTTCCGTTCTCTGCTGAAGACACCTGAAGAGAATCCATCATAAAAGTCTAATACAAGACCCTAAAGTATACGAAAAATGAGTGATCAAGAAAGTGCAGAAAGTGAATGAGTGATTCAACAGCCCACGAATCTCAGCTCATGAATTCTCCCATGCTCATGGCCCTAGAAGTCATTCAAATGAATATGCATTTAGGAGGTATCACAGACCAGCCAGTGAGACCGGCGAGTGAGACCAGCTTCCGCAACAGCTCTAGCGAAACTCAATCCAAAAACATATAAATCTTGGATCTCCGAACAACACAATTCACGATCCATCCCAGCCCAACCTGGTAGATCCCAGGGTCAGAAGCATACATATCGACTTCTGCACCACACCGATCGTTTAGCCATTGTTCTCAACCCCGTGACTCGGCTTCGTCAAGTGACAGACTCTTGACGGCCACCATGGCCGATATCCTCTACGACCTCTTATCGCCGCCAGGCTCCTCATCCTCACCATCACGACCCGCACCCGACACAGCCGCCCTAGAATACCTCACCACACTATCTTCCCAACCCCTGTCATCACTCGAGTCCTCCGAACCCCAAACCCTCGCGCAGTCGTCGCACGGCCTGCTCCTCTCCCTGCAAAGCCTCTCCAAGAAATCTCACAAGCAAATCATCGAGTCCGCCTCCCACCATGCCACGCTACGCACCACCCTACCAGCGCTGGCAGCCAGCACGGCCGACCTGCGCCACGCCATCCCCAAGCTAGACAGCGAAGCGGTGCGCTTCTCAACGACATACAACAAAAGCAGCGAAAGCGAGGTACTCGCCCGCCGCAAGCAGGCGCTGCTGCTGTCGCGCAACGTCGAGCGGCTGGTGGACATGCTGGAGCTGCCGACGCTGCTGTCGTCGACCATCTCGACGGCGCCGGTCAATTACTCGTCGGCGCTGGACTTGAACGGGCACATCCGCCGGCTGCACTCGATCTACCCCAAGTCGCCGCTTGTGGAGTCCATCTCGACACAGGCGGACGAGACGATGCGCACGATGGCGGCTAATCTTATTCTCTCGCTCAAGGCGCCGGGGTTGAAGCTGGCTGCTTCGCTCCGGACGATTGGGTGGCTACGGCGGGTGCTTCCGGATCTTGAGCAGCAGCAACAATTATTACAACAGCAACAACAGCAAACATCGACCGCGGCATCGGGCACGGCGCAAACAACAGCCAACCCTGCCAAAACCCGAGAGTCTCAAGAGCGTATTCTAGGCGCGCTATTTCTAGTCTGCCGCCTCGCGACGCTTCTCACAACACTTGAGGCGCTCGAACCACTACGCGAGCTAGCGGACCAGGAAAAGGCACGACAGCGTGCTCTAGGCAGCGGGAACGCCTGGTCCGGCGGACAGCAGACAGAGAGGTACCTCAAACGGTACCTGGAGATCTTTCGCGAGCAGAGCTTCGCCATCGTGTCCATGTTCCGCAGCATCTTCCCGGCTGCTGCGACGGCCGTAACCACCACGGATGGGCCTGCGACACCCACCACTACGACGACAACAAACACAAACACAAACACAAACAAAAGCGAGGCCAACGACGACCCACTGGAACCCATGCCCTCGGCACTAGCTACATTCCCACTGTACCTAGTTGACATGCTCCTCGAGACGCTACGGCTGTATCTGCCTACGGTTAGGGACCAGGCAGCACGGGACAGCTTGCTGACACAGGTGCTGTACTGCGCGGGGAGTCTGGGCCGGTTGGGAGGGGATTTTGGGCTGTTCCTCGCGACGCTGGATGTCGGGCCCGAGGCGGAAGAGGAGTGGGTGGAGGTCGTGAAGCGGCATCGCGCGTTGGCGGGGAGGCTGGAGTCTATTGTTGGGGAGCAGAGGAGGGGGAGTTGATGTAGATGTATCTGTATTTACAGTACATGTAATACACAGGCACATGAACGCTGTAGAAGTGAAAAGGGTCAAACAAAAATTGAGAAAATATCCCGGGACATAAACAACGCATCAGATCACAAGGACGATGACTCCCATCTGTTCCCAAATATTTCCGTCCCTCAAGTAAGCCGGACTGCTCAATCCGTCCATAGTTGGCTGCCGCGATCACCCGGGGGCCGTTGAGATCGGGTCAACCCGGCCGGACGCAGCGGGACCCACTAACTGCCCTACCAAGCAGTAAAAAATAGCATGCCGTCATAGGCCGATCCCTGCACTGCAGTTTCCCACTGTCCCACTGTCCCGCAGCGACTTTGCAGTGACTCCTTGTTTCCAATTCCAGGCATTGACGACAAGAGCAACCAGAGAACGAACCAACCAACCCCTGCCGACTTTGCCGAACCCCCCTCTGTCAATTGAATATGGCTCGTTTCGTATAACTGGAAGCGGTCTTTGGACAATGGCCAGCCCGGACCTCAGACGCACAGCATTACATCCACACAAAATATCGCTAGACAGGAATGCTGAGAGGGCCTGACGTTTCGAGTGCGCCCGAGCCATAATCTGCGACGACGACTACGACTGCGAATACGGCGGCGGTCTCAACACAGACGACGGCGGTATCAACACAGACGACGGCGGTATCAACGCAGACACGTAGGCCAAACCCCAACGCCGCCATGTCCGATGGCTCCCGCACGGCGCTTTCGAAGTCGAGTACGTTCTCGAACCCAGCTCCTCTACCTCTACCACCCATACACAATCACAACTAACCCAAGATAAACATAACCAGCCTTCCACTTCGCCGCCGGCCTCGGTTCCGGCGTGCTCTCCGCCGTCCTCCTCCAGCCCATCGACCTCCTCAAGACCCGCGTTCAACAATCCGGTAGCCACTCCCTCGCGGCCGCCATAGCCGACATCCGCGCAGCTCCACGCTTACTGCCCGCCCTCTGGCGCGGCGCCGTGCCCTCGGCCCTACGCACCGGTTTCGGCTCAGCCATCTACTTCACCTCCCTCAACGCCATCCGCCAGTCTGCCGCGCGGTGGAACTCCGCTACACCCCTCCACGGACAAGCAGGAAAAAGCAGCGCAGCAGGGAGCTCCTCCCTCCCCAAACTCTCCAACACATCCAACCTCCTCGCCGGCGCCGTGGCCCGCTCCTTCGCCGGCCTCCTGCTTATGCCCCTGACGGTGCTCAAAGTCCGCTACGAAAGCACACTATACGCCTACACCTCCCTCTCCGCCGCAGCCCGCGACATCTTCGCCCGTGACGGGCTCCGCGGGTTTTTCGCGGGGTACGGCGCCACCGCTGTGCGCGATGCGCCGTATGCCGGGTTATACGTGCTGTTTTACGAGCAGGGGAAAAAGAGGCTGGCTGCTCTATTCCCCGCTACCACTCCCACTACCCCCACCACCAGCAACATCCAATCTAACCCCAACGAAAAAACCCCCATGGCCCTCACCCACGCAGCAAGCATCAACTTCGCCTCGGGCGTTCTCGCCGGCATCATCTGCTCCGTCCTCTCCAACCCCTTCGACGCCGTCAAGACGCGCATCCAATTGCAGCCGACACGCTACCGCAACATGGTACACGCTGCACGACGGATGGTCGGGGAAGAAGGGGCACGCGCGCTGTGGGATGGGCTGGCGCTGAGGATGAGTCGGAAGGCGGTGAGTTCGGCGTTGGCGTGGACTGTGTATGAGGAGTTGGTGAGGAGGATGGAGAGGGGGTTGGTGAGTCCGAGGGAGGGGAGGGAGGAACGGCAGGGGTTGTGAGGGTTTACTTACCTACGTTTGTGTGGGTTAGGTGGGTGGGCGGGTAGGTGTTGTCGGCACGCAGGTCAGTCGAGTGCAGGTGTATGCGACTTACGGGTTGATGATGATGCATTGCATGATAAGCATAACAGCATACAGCATACCAAGCATGATAAGCGGAGCTTCAGGGAAAATGGGCTCAAAAAATGGGTGATGATTGTACGGTTTCAGGGTTTAGTCTTGGATTGAGTGTACGATATTGATACTGTATGATACACTACCCGTTCCACTACCACATTGCTCACCATGACTATCACAATTCACCAATAGTATCATCGCTCGATAACCTTGAAGTTGAAGTCATTGACAAGAATGTAAAGATTAGTTTGACATCGGAGGTGTGCTCATACGCTCCTGGAGAGGACACAAATAAAGATGCCGCAACTGCTGAGGTAATACCTCGCGGCAGAGCGGTAGCTCGGAAATCACTGGTCGTAATCACTGGGAGGACATGGTCAGTCATTCACAAGCAACCGCACATTGGAATGACCAACCAGCTAAATAAAACGTCAAGAGTAGCAACACAGGCACAATCCAAATCTGCGTCAACCAAAACGTTGAGATCCAAACATCATAACCAAAACGTAAACTAAATCATAGCTAACTCAACAAACTAACTAACCCCCACACAGCACCACAGAACACAACACAAATAAATCATGGCTCGTCACTCTCATTCCTTCATGCCTACATAAACGTTTCCCTTGTTCCACCCGTTCGTCTTTCTTTGCTTTGACCCCCCTTGTTCATATAACCTTTCTGCCTGCCCCGATAACGTCCCCAATCCATCCAGAGTTCTGAAAAAGGGAATGAGAAAACGGGAAGCCGAGAAACCGAAAGAGAAAAAAAAGAAACGAAGAGGAGAGATCCGCATTTCGATCTTTAAAAATCTCGCCTAATAGTCATGAAAGACGAAGAGGAAGAAGAAAAAGAAGGGGGTATCCCTCACAACCCTCACACCCACAGCCTATACCAAACCACCCCAGAAACCCCAAACCCCAAACCCCGCCATATCTAGATATAAATTTACCGCGGCCGACCACCAGCAAGATACATTAACAGACCCGGAGACTTGCTACGATGGCGGCTCTTAGACTTGCGGCGGACAAACTCGTACTCGCCCGAGTGGCCGTGGTGGTGGTGGCGCGAATGGTGATGGTCGTCGACCTCGAGCATGACACGCTCCATTCTGCTGCGGCGCTGCCGAGTGTGCTCCCACCAGAGGGTTTGCTCCCACTCGGGCACCTCGCGCAGGATCACGACGTAGTTGGGGTCCTGTAGATTGCTTATGTTAGTTTCGGGTAAAAAGGGATGAAGGGACAGAGTGTAAAGAGGGGAAGGAAAAAGGACGTACGGCATCCCGTTGATATTTGACGTTGTAGTACTGCAGCGTCTCAAGGTCGAGATGGGCCAGGGTCATGCGCGTGTACACAGGCGCGCCAGGCGGCGCAGGTAGCGCCGGGCGGACCTCTTCCTCGCGCTTGATGCGCTCCTTGTTCATGACGGCTTGGATCTCCTTCTCATCCAGACCCGACGCAATCAGGCGCTCCTGCATCAACCGCTGGAACTCGCGCTCCTGGGCCTCCTTCTCCTCCTTCTCCTTGATCGCCCGCTCGGCTTCCTTAGCCTTGTACTCGGCGATGGCCTCTTCAGCCTCGCGCTTGCGGCGCTCTGCCTCCATCGCGGCCTTCTTCTCCTCCTCAAGCCGTTTCAGCTCAATCTCCCGGCGGATACGCTCCTCTTCCTCTTTGCGCTCCCGCTCGGCGTGGATCCGCTCGAGCTCCGCTAGGGCGGCCTTGGCCTTGGCTTCTTCCTTGGTTTGCTTGTCGCGGCTGGCTTCCTCCTCGGCGCGTATCCGGCGCTCGAGCTCGGCCTTTTGCTTTTGGTATTCGGTCTCGGCCTCGGACCGCTTGCGGCGATCCTCCTCCTCCCGGTCTCGGCGCATCCTAGCTAGCTCGTCGCTGTCCTTGATCAGTCGCTGCTGCTCCTCGCGCATGTGCTCGATCCGCAGCTCCTCCTCCCGGCGGTGGATGCTCGCAAGCTGCCGCTTGAGGGACTGCAGCTCATGCTCGTCGCGGAAGCGGTCTTGGCGGAGCGCCTCTTCTTCCGAGTGCTGGCGCCTTTCGATCTCGTCGCGGGCGCGCGCAAGCTCGAGCCGTTCGCCGGCAAGCCTCTCCATTTGGCGCTCGCCCTCGCGCTTCTGGGCCTCAAGCCGGAGGAGGCTGAGTTGCTGCTCGGCCGCTTCGAGCCGGATCCGGTCCCCCACGCCGCTGTAGTTGCTGTGGACGCTGGATGACCGGCTGCGATGGTAGTGGTGGCGGCTGTGGGATCGGTGCTTGCGACGGCGTCCGCCCCGGTACGACTCATCGTCCGAGGAGCTATCCGAATCATGTTCGTAGCGGCGGCGGTCGAGCACCGGTTGGTTGATGACCACGCTCTGGCCGGGTGCGGGGGCCTGGGCAGGGGCCGGAGGCGGTGGGGGGGCCGGCGCGACATGCATCACTCGGGCCGGGGGAGACCGGCGCTCCCTCGATCGGGACCGGACCTGCACCATCACATTCTCCTGGGTCGGGCGGGCGATTTCGTGGTAGTAGCCGACAGGCCCTCTGCGTGGCTCTCGCTGTGCTTCCCGGTAGCGATGGATGACCTCAGGCCCACGCCTATAATCCCGCTCTCGTTCTTCGCGTAGGTTCATTCGGATCTTGGTCTGGCTGAACTCCGAAGAGTCGTCGCTGTAGCTCGACATGTTGAAGACGGGGCAAGGGCCCTGGTTGTAGCGGGCGGGGATTCAGCGGTCTTTTCAATGGGGTTGGTGTGATCTGGGTCTCCTGGTCGTGCGCCCGTTGCTGGGGTCAGACGAGCAACGCAGCTGGTATCTCAATAGGGGGTAAAACAATGTTGTTGGTTGTTCAGTTGGTTGTCCACAAGTTGGTTGCGCGAGGAAATGCCCCAGGCCAAGTGTGAGAGAGGACGGCAGAAGGCGGGGAGGCAGGAAGAAAAGACAACAATAACTAGCTGAAGCGGCACAGGGAGGGAGGGTCAGGAGGGATTGCGAGCCGCCAACGGAGCGGGGGTGTGACCCACCATTTATTCCGGCCTCCAGGACAAGAAACTCGATGGGCACGATCTCTGCTGCTTGGATTGTCTAGCCCTCTGGCTCCTCCCGTCGGCCCCCACCTCCTCTGCGCCCCTTCATTCCCTCTTTTCTTTCCTCTCCCCCTTCCCAGGTCTTCCCTGCCCTGCCCTGCTCTCTGGGACTACGAAACCACGGCACAAGCGAAAGGCTGCATGCACCGTTCGGACGCCAGACAAATCAGGACGCACGGCGGCCTCCCCATGCCTGTACAGTACGCAAGGTGTGACCCTCGTTCTTGCTCCGCGCAGGTCTCGCAAGGTCTCCGGGACCAGCGCATGACGGCAGCCTGGCCCTGGTGTGCCACACGGAACACGTCCGGTGGAAGTACCGTTTCTCGGCTTGAAAGCAAAGCTGCAAGCTTTTTTCCCACAGTGGCCGGTTGTTGGTTGGTCCAAGACCGCTGGCCGGGGTGAGCCGTCCAAATTCGTCCCCGCTGGCATGGGGTGGAGGGGTAACGCAGGTGAGCGGCAAAGCTGTCCAGGGCTGAGGCTGTGCGGGAAGACGGGAGCGTTGTCGCTGGGTTGAGACGTTTCTTTTTTTTTTTGGTTCTTTGCGGATGGACATTTTAGTATCAAGAAATTACGCTAGCCGCGATGCCCATCGCTCGAGTTGAAAATGGGACCGAAAATAGCGAGTCATGAATCCCGTCTTTGCCTTCAGCCTTGTCACCATCCGAAGGGAACCGCTGGCCCGTGTTTGCTCGGCCGGTCAGGTCAGCAGCCGAACTCCGCGGCAACGAGCTCTATTCGGCTGCTGATTCATTCCATGACTTCTAGTTATTGTAAGTTATCGCCTTCCGCCAACAAAACTCGTCAGTGACAAACCCCCAACCACCTGACCTCCAACCTTCTCGAACCACTCGAAACGTTGTCCGTTCATGTGAGAAACGCCCCCGAAGCAAGCGTCATCGGGCGAGATGAGGGGCTGGGTGAACGGCTTGCCTTGGCGACCGATGACGGGGATCACCGGGGGGTCTGCCGGGTTGGTTCATTCGTCGGCGTGTGTGGACCGGCTCATCTTGAGAGGCTCCGTCGGGCAGCAGCACCGTTTCGCCAATCCCGTCTGGGCGGAAGCGCCGTGTCGTACATGCGCTCGGGTAGATCGCGCAGCACGTTGTTTCGGTGCATTGGGCCGGCCAGAAAACGGCCCAACAATTGAACAGAATGAAAGAAATCACTGGATGAGAGCAGCTGATGATAGCCCGTACTGCAAAAAAGAAGGCTTCGTGGAGGGTTGCAGAGCAAACGGCGCTTGTCGAAACTTTGCTTGGCGCGCCAAGAATGCTACCAATCTTGGAAAGAGTCATCCAGGCATCCGAATTTCTGCCCCACACCTTGCGGCTGCCCAGTTTTTTTTGTGCGGTTCGCGGGGCTCTGGCACGTGCACAGTGTTTTTACAGTGCGTCATCAGACGGGAATGTCGCCAGACGTTCCATCCCGCCTACCGTTTGGAAATAAATAGATTTGACTTCGCAGTAGCGCTGCTTCTTGAAGGGTAAGCCGCATCGACAAGACGTTGTTTCGTTGGTTGATCACCGACTTTCATGCTTCAGGGGAGCGACCAAGATCCCCTAAGTTAAACGCCGAGCAACGACAGCGGGCCAACCTCACCAACCTCATCAACCTCGAAACCTCCTCATGCAGTTGGCTCTGTTCTCCCGAATCCCGTCACCGAGGAGAAGATCACGAGCTCTGAACTCATTGACAACTCAAGTTTTTCATTGAGGGCTAAATAAGACAACCTCTAGTCTAACCCCCCGTACACTACCCACACATCACCCCTGACCAGCCCCCTTAAGCATCTTTTCAATGTGCTCTTGGCTGTTCTTCGCCGTCGTTTCTAGATAATGTAACCGCTTGCCCAACGCGTCTACCTCGGTGTCGATATCCTTGATTTGCGTCCCCAGTTTATTCTGGAGGGTCGAGACTGGGATGGCGACGAACCTTTTCCGTGGTCAGTCAACCTGATATTTAAAGTCTCAAGAAACAGAAACAGTCACATGGAACAGAAACAACCGTGGGGAGTATAGAGAGAAAATCACCAAAGCAAACCTACATCTTCCCAACCCCCTCATACACAGCCGTGTCGGACGGCAGCGAGCCAATCTCACTCCGCGTCAGCTGGGCCAAGCGCATCTCGCGCTGCTTGCTCGCCGCTTGCTGGCGCACGAGGCTGATCTGCTGCTGCGCGGCAATCGCTTGGGACTCAATCTCCCTCACCAGCTAAATTACGCGTTACATTTAACTGTTAGCCTTGGTTTGTTTTTGTGCCCCCCTCTCTGTGTGCCTGGATATAAAAAGGGGGGTAGATGGTTGATGCCCAAGCTGCGGCCTCGGTGTTCACGAACCTTTTGCAGAGCCTCGTTGGACAGCGACATTTTTTTGGTGTTCGAAAGTTGCCCTTTGTGATAACAAGGGAGAGGTAAAGTGCAATCGGGCGGGTGAGTAACGGCGGAGAAGAGACGTGGACGCTTTGTTATGGGTGAAAGGTCATGGACGATATCGCCGTCGTCTCCACATTCGCGTTGCCTTGCGGTGAGGTTGGTTTTAGAGGGGCAATGGTACAGTGTGTATTTGTGTTTGCACACCGTATCATGACAACTGGATGGTGCAGGCGGCCTTGGAAGTACACAAAAGGGGCAGATGACTGCATATGCGGACAAAAAAAGGGCGAGACAAGCCGAACTAGTAACAGGAGGCCTCGATAACGGTATTCCGCTTTGAAGCTCTTCTGAGTCACAACGAGTGGTACATTCCAAACCTCATTTTCAACAGTTGGGTGTCCGCCTTGGACCGCAATGCATTGAATAATGTTAATAATTTATTCTCTTAAAAATATATTTTCCCATGCCGTAGAACGCACCGCACCGCCTTGTATCACTCCTCTATATGTCCGATCGCCCCCGAATCGATCGTACCAGGTAACCTCAGTTTCAGACCACCGCAGCCACGAAACCTAACCGGGTTACCGGATCTTCTTCTGGCCCCTCGCCGCCTCAGGCTTGGGTACGACTCGTGGAACGGATCGCAAAGGCGCCCAGTCCAACACGAAATCGTCGCCGCCGTCTAGGCAGCGGTTCATCCAGACCCTCCAGACGATGAGGTGGTAGGCTACGTGGATTGGTTAGCAAAACAATTCTTTGGCTTTATGTTAAACTGCTGTTTCACATACCTCCTATTCTCATGTGAGCAAACCTTGAGTCAGACTCAAAAATTAAGGGGTGTGAATCAGAACTTACCCAGACCCGTCAGAATATGCCACCACCCATGGCCTTCCAGCACTACCGACCACGGTAGCAGAATCTGGTTCTTAGTCGCAGTCAAGTTATGACAAAAGATGTTGTCCATATTCCAGATAAAGAAACCGCCCAAAAACATGACAATGCCTAACCGGGGCGTACACACATACAACCCAACCGTTAGCAACAAGTCCTTTCAGGTTCGACAAAGACATAAAACGCCGGGAAACACGGGAACACCCGAGAGGGATGTGTGTGTGTAAGGTAAGACAAACCGGTCAAAGCTAACTTGTACATAGTCCGCATGCACCGTTGGCAAGCAGCGGGTTCCTGTTTCCTCAGAAGTTGCGGCCGCAGATCCCGCTCCATCACGTAAAACCCGCGGAAGATGGTACAGGCTGTTAGGAGGCCGTAGGCTACTTGGTGGAAGACGGGGTCTTTAGCGTAGAGGTAGTAGACCTAGACATGCTTGTTTAGCTTCTGGCCGGAATCTCTGAAACCTGTGGAGGTTACGGATAGAACATACTGTGATGAAAACGGCCAACCCGACCAAGCCCGCTGCAACGAGCGCCTGGACTTTGGCCGGCCGCTTGTACGAGAACGTGGCAAAGGCCATGATACACACGGTGTATATCATCGGCAGCTCATCGGCAAGCTGCATCTCATCTGGAGCCTTGGTGTCAGACAATTCTTTGTCAATGCGGCAGAGTACAAAGGAGAGGAACACGGCAGATGCTACACATGAACACAAAGAACGGGAAAACAACCCCGATATTAAAGAGACAGTGACAGAATAAACGAAGAAAGCTAAAAAGTATAACCAAAGCAGTAACCGCGGAAACTTACACTTAAGCGTGGTATGAAACGCCATTGACCCTACGCCTACGACCATGTACCCCAGAAAGGCGAGGATAAAGACCCTTGAGTGGCCGTACGCAAGCACATCTCGTAGCCCTTTGGCCCCAAGCCACATGAAAATTAGGTTTGTTAGGGTGTTGACAACTTCGGCGCAGTAGAAGGAGATGTTGTAGTCCTGTGCATTTTTTTTGGTGAGTTTGGGATTTTGACTTTTATGTAAATAAGTACATGGATAGACAACCCACCTCCTCGCACCAGTTGAGAGTTGAGGTTTGTTTACCCCAGAATCCGTCGCGTGCCTCCCGGTATGGGATTTGGAGTGCTGGTATTAGCGACATGATGCTGTGTTTTGCGGGCTCAGGCCTGGTCACTAAGTAATCCAATTATGCCGGTAGAGGGTGGTGGTGGAACAGTTCTCATAAGTTTAGGGAGTTCCAAGAAATGTTTAGATAGGTTTATGAATATCGTTGAAATGCGAGGACAGCACGTTTTAAAGGTTCTAGTTTGTAAACATAGGAAAATGAAGCTAAAAGTGAGGAACTTCGGATGAGCCGGAAGCAATTGGGGCAGCTATGGGATATATGGAATTAACATTGAAACAGCTAGGGTCCATGAACCTTAAAAAGCGCAGCCCGTCGCGCGTCATGAATCAGCAATCTGCAAATTAAGCCACGCTAGAAAGTGCAGTGTAATGCCCGAGTTTGGGAGGAGGCCAGGGCGAAAGCGCCCATGGGATGCAATGCCTCGCGGCTGTGGGGGCTGAGGATCTGAGACCTCCCGAGGTCATGCAAGAAGAGTGCAGCAGAATGGAGGGCTGGATTGGCGGGGTTATCGGGAAAGATAAAGGACTGAATTTATCATTGGACAGAAGGCTTGGCCCACTCTAGAGGCGTTGGTCTAGAAATTCTACTATAAAGTTTGTTTTTCGGCTTTTGGAAGACGGTTGAAGTCGTTCTTGGGTGACAATGGGCCAAGTTCCCACGCCGGTTGGGATGATGCAAGTGCTCGGGAATTGAGCGCCAAGCACCCGAGCGCCGAAGCTTCGGCCCCACTCTTGCACTACGTTCCCAGGCCTGGCCGGGCCTGACCGGCCCGCCAATCACCTGAAGACAGGGGGCAAGCGTCCACTGTGGCCGGCAGCTGCCTGACCTGGACAGTTGAGACGAGAGATCATTACGAGGCTTGGCTACGAGTGCAACAGAGGCGATGCCAAGAACGCGACGTTGGAAGAATTTCGATCCGAAGTTGCTGCAATGAGCATTCTCGCTTCGTAAACGCCCCGACTTAGTTCCAAGGCACAGAGACGACTCAAACGAGACACCTTGCCAGAGTTGCTCGGATTCTTACCGATGCGCCCCCGCCGAATCTTTTAAAAGTGGCAAACGAGAAGCAACGAAGGGAGGAACAAGGTTGAAACAACAAACCCCTGTCGGCCGCGCAACGGCGACACACGATTCCGAAGTCGTAACGTATTCGATGGATCAGATGTCACGAACGACGCCCGCCCGCACTCGCTCATCCTAACTACACACGCCCGCGCGAGCACCAGCTCCAACCACCGACTCCAACAACGGTTGATGGCCACATCCCGCCAGCGGTCTGCCGGATACTACCATTGTTCGTCCTGAAAGAATGGCGGCTCGATGGGGCTCGTTCCTTTCCCAGGCCGTGGCCGGCGTCGAGGCTCGGCTGGATAACATCCTGGCCGAGGACGAAGACGGCCAACCACTACAGCAGCAGAAGGAGTCGTCCTCCAAGCCGTCGACTCCCACGCCACCGGTCAAGCAGAGTCCTGGTATGTCGGGGTAGTAACCGCTGACGTCCCGCACTTGTGTGTTTCTGACAGCCTGGGCTGCTCGCAGGTCCCTCGAGAGCCGCCTCGACCACGCGCACCAATGACCGGCTTCAAGAACGGCTCGCCCGAGCCATGGCTGCCAAAGCCGCCGCTCGAAACTCTATGTCCGCTCAAGGGAGTCCACGACAGAGCTTCGACGCACCGAACCGCAGCTCGATCGACAGTATAGACCGCCCGAGCCCGAGCCCGACTTCGAAGGAATTTCCGAAGGATACACCGTCGCCTAGGGCGTCGCAAGATATTGCCAGGACCTCGCAGGACGGGGGATCGCAACCGGATGCGAAGGAGGACACGGCCGCCCGCGAGGCGCAAACTCGGGTATCGGGGGACGAATCGAATGGCGCGAGAGCCTCTTTAGATGAAGCACCGCCCAGGGCCCCCACGCCAACAGCAATACCAGACGCCAAAGCCCCAGTGGCCGAGCCACAAGACGAGACGAAGACGACCGCTGACGCCCCCGACACCACCGACAGGACGGCCGAAGTTGAAGAGAAGGAAAGCGAGAAGGCCCAGGATCCACAATCCCTACACCAAGAGGAGATCCACGGGTATGTGGAGCGCATCGATGCGCTGGAGGCCAAACTACAGTTCCTAGCAAGGGAAGCTTCAGACTCAGCAAGGCAAGCTGCGCTAGCAGCCCCAGCTGGGAGTCTCGAGAAGAAGCTGGCGGAAAAGGACCAACAGATCGCCCAGTTGATAGAGGAGGGCAAAAACCTCGCGAGCACAGATCACAGGCACCGCGCATTAGTAAAGAAACTACGCACGAATATCGCAGAGAACGAGAAGGACATCGGGGCCTTCCAGACGGCAAAGGCCAAATCGGACCGGGAACTCGAGGCGTTACGCAGCCGCGCGCGCCGAGCCGACGAACTCGAAAAGACACACCACGAGCTGCAGAAGCGATTCGACCAAACACAGAGGGAGCTCAACACCCACCGATCTGACGTCCGCTCCAAGGACAGCACCATCTCCGAGCTGCGCTCGCAACTCCGCAAAGCCACCGAGCAGGCCGACGCCATGACAGCCAAGGTGAACGACCAGGCGCGGGAGCAAGACAAGCGGAAGATTGCGGAGCTCGAAGAGGAACTAGCTGCTGTGAAAGTGGAAAAGAACCTAGTCGCCGACCGCGGTAAGGCGCAGGCCACAGAGCTGCGGGAGAAAGCGGACCGGGCTACCGAGCGGGCGCGCGCGTTGGAAATCGAGCTCAAGGGCGAGGTGCAGGCGCTGGAGGGGAAACTCGAGGCGATGCGCATGCGGGCCGAGGAGGCGTCGTCGGGCGTGGCGGGGGATTCGCAGGCGAAACTGCTGCGGCAGGTCGAGACGCTGCAGACGCAGTACTCGATTGCGAGCGAGAACTGGCAGGGGATTGAGACGTCGCTGCTGGCGCGGATTGGGGGCATGGAGAGGGAGAGGGATGAGGCGCTGCAGAGGGAGTCGGACATGCGGAGGAAGGCGAGGGAAGCTGTAAGTGCCCGATTCTTGGATATACGTCGCTGAGTTACATGGCTTGGTATGGGTAGTACTAACTTGCACAGGCTGTCCGCGCAAAACGCCAGGCGGAGGAACTGGAAGAGGCCAAAACCCAGATTCCCACCATCCAGGAAGACGTCAAGTCCTCCTACCAGAAGCAGCTCGATGCGCTCAAGAAGCGCGCCGAGGAAGCCGAAGCGGCTCTCGCCAAAGCCAGGGCCGAGTTCGAGCAGCAGAAACAATCGTGGGACGCCGAGAAGGAGGAACAGCGTCAACAACTCCGTGACGCCGCGCCTGAACGCCCGCGCTCCTGGCTCGAGGGTCTCCCGGGCAACTCGTTCCTCAAGCCCGACAGTCGCCCAGCCTCACCGCAACTCGCCACCCCACAACGGACCTTCAGCACCGACTTCCTCGGCATCTCCTCCCTCAGCAGCAAAGCCCGCAAGGTCTCGGGCAACCCATCAAGCGCCAGCGACGCCGGCGCCGCAGCCACTTTCGACCCGCGCTTCTCCCGCCGTCCATCCGCCCAGCACCCGCCTGTCCGGCCCACCATCGCCTCCCCACCCACGGGCAGCGGCGTGTTCAGTCCACTGAGTATCCTCAGCCCAACCTCCGAAGCAGCCCCGTCCGCCGGCCTCGGCCTCGGCGTGGGCTTGGGCTTGGTCCACAACGGTTCCGGTCCTACCACTACTACCACAACCACAGGCAACAACTCCAACCCCCAACAACAACAACCACCACCCCTCGACCTAAACGAAGTCCAACGCGGCGAAGACGCCTTCAGCCCCAGCCCCACCCTCGAACACCATCACCACCAACCCCCCCACCGCACCTCCTCCCCGCAACCCATCCTCCCACAAGACCTCATCTCCGTCTCCACCGTCGCCGCCGGCCCCTCCGTCCAACTCGTCGAGCGCATGAGCGCCGCCATCCGCCGCCTCGAAAGCGAAAAAGTCACCGCCCGCGAAGAACTGGCACGCATCGCGCGACAACGGGACGATGCCCGCGGGGAGATAGTCGCGCTAATGCGGGAAGTGGAGGCGCATAAGGCGGCGGTGCAGAAGGTGGAAGGGTTGGAGGGGGAGGTGGCGGAGGTGAAGGCAAGGTATGGCGCTGCGTTGGAGTTGTTGGGGGAGAAGAGTGAGGAGGTGGAGGAGTTGAGGGCGGATGTCGCGGATGTTAAGGCCATGTATCGGGATTTGGTGGAGAGGACTGTTAAATAGGGGTAGTATATCTTATTGCTATTTTTGTGGGTTATCTTGGGGTTTGTAACTTGGAAGGGGGAGGGAAGGGGGGGACATTGGGGGGGTTCATGACGTAGCGAGGGTATGATTTTGTGATTTTATACTTTGCATGAAAAACGCGGCGCGAAGCTAGGCAGGTGGTCGATACCATCATGTTGTAGCGCACCACAGCACACACATCAATGACACACTAGCTACCAAGTGTGGCTTGTGAAGTTTACCGAGTCTGGTACCCCGTTGGTTGATTTCCTATCCTGCCCGACAAGTGTGACGGCTAATCCCATATCGCCAAACGTGTTGGAACAAAGAGGAAACAGGACTTGATAGTATTTATCCTAACACCTTACTACACCAGACACAGGTGACCCCAACATGTGATCCCGACATGGTTAAAGATGGATGAGATGGATGATCACAGCTCGATACCCTCCTCCTCTGCCTTGCGCTCGATATAAGTTTTGATCTAGAACTATGTCAGCACGATTGGGTATATCTGGGTATCACCCCTCGCTAAGGTGTGTCCGGCTATGTAGGCAGGGAGTCGGGCGATGAGTAGCAACAGTTAAAGAAAAGGGGAGGAAAACGTACATCTTTCCCCGGCGCCAAATCCAGCGCCAAAAACCCATCAACATCCTTCTTATCCGTCTCCGCACCCGCCTTCAACAGCGCAACCGCCGCTTCACCTACACATTTCACAAACCGTTAGTCTCTACCCCTACTCTACTCCACTAAAGAGAAGAAACATACCATGCCCCTCAGCAACAGCATGATGCAGCGGTGTCTGTCCCGCCGAGTCGGCCGCGTTGAGCGGACTGCGGTGCTTGATGAGGAGGGTGATGAGAGGTACAGAGCCGACGGCTGCGGCGCGGTGCAGCGGGTACTGGCCACGGTTGTCGCGGACGCGGGTCGAGGCTGCCGGGGTGTGGGACTCAAGGAGTTTGCGGGCGAGGTCGAGGTTGGATTTGGAGGCTAGGAAGTGGAGGGCTGTCTGTGGGTGAGAGTTTAATAAGATAAAGTCTAATAAAGATTAAAGAAGATTAAAGAATAAAAGGTAGAAGGGTGGGTGTACATACTTGGCCATTGTTGTCTGGAGAGAGGTTAGTGATGTTCATTTTGAAAGATAATAGAAGTGGGAAAAGAAAGAAAGGGTCGTACTTGTCTGATTTACATCGGCGCCCCGGGCGAGCAGAATGTCAGCGACCTTGTCGGCGTCCTTAACACTTGCCGCGATCATGAACGGCGTCCAGCCGCTGTCGTCCTGTAGCACAGATGTCGTTAGTAAGACCATCCGGAAGAAGCGGAAAGAATAAAAAGAGAACAGGAGATAAATGTAAAAGAGAAAAGAAAGAAAGACCATACCTCTGCATCCGGGTCAAACCCCTTTTGGTTGATCAACAAGCTAACAATCTCGGGGTGGTTGTATGAGACTGCCCAATGAATAGGCAGGCGGCCGTCATCGTCCTTGAGTTGGGCTAGTTTTGGGTTGGCCTGTGTTCTTAGATCAGTAACCAAGAGCTATAGAGAAAGAAATAATGATCAAAATGATATAAACAATAAACTGACATTCAGAAGCGACTCAACCTCGGTGACTGGAAATAATCATGGTGAGCACGCGACCAGGTATTTTAACCTCAAAATTATAAATCGATACGACTCACTCCGGCCTTCACGCGCGGCCGCGTGGATGGCGTACTTGGATTCAGTCTTGTCGCCCATGGTGTTGTGCGGGTCCGAAAATGTGCTGTGAATCCGATTCCGGGCCTCCAAAGGGTGGGAGCAAACCCCGCGATAATTACAGTCTAGAAACTTTTCCAGTGTGCAGCTCGCTGAACGTCATGTAAGTGATGCCTTCCGGAATCGAAGGGTGCTAGGATTAACGAGCCGCAGCGATCTGGCAGGGTTTATTTCCAAAGCGGCCTTGCAACCCTGCTGCACCGTGTGGGTCTTGACATTGTCGCTTACTGTGAAACTGTGGCTGCAGCTCCCTGAGCCACAGGCCTGTTTTCACAAGTGGCGCATGCTTTCTTCCAAGTACAGAGTGGAGCCAATCCTGAACTTGGCATCAACCCATCAACGCGACGGACCAGGACAGGAAAAAAAAAGGCAAAACTGAGCAACCTCAAGACGAAGCCACCGATCCAAGAAAACCATCAATCCGACAGCATCACCAATCCCCAACCCAACCATGGCGACAGAAGTGGCCGCCGCCGCCGGCCCGGACGTATCGCGCCTCGAAGCCCTCGTCCGCGACAACGCGCGCAAGGCCAAATCCATCTACGCCAACACCTCCTCCGACCCATCAGCCGGCTCCCGCAAGCGCATCAAACTCGACCCAGGCCTGGCCTCCGAAGACCCCGACCTCACGAAATCAGCCCTCTCCCTGCGCCTCCACGCTGAGTATGCCGACGTCCAGACCCTGCCCGAGTCCATCGCGAAGAAGCTCCCTGCGGCCGGTGCTGCTGGCGCGCGGAGGAAGAAAGCTAAACCGGGAGCTGGAGCCGGGGAGGAGGCGCCGTCGAAGTCGGAGGAGCATGCGAGGAAGTTGATTGAGGGGATACCGACTACTGGCAGTGGACCTAGCGGTGGTGGTGGTAATTCCAACGCTCTCGTCCTCTCTCGCAACAAACCACCCTCCAACACCAACACCACCAAACCCCAAAACCGCAACGAACCCGCCAGCCTCTCCCTAGCCCGCCGCACAGACAGCATGCTCGCACAACCGCGACCCGACTGGCACGCGCCATGGAAACTGCAGCGCGTCATCAGCGGACACCTAGGGTGGGTGCGGGCGCTGGCGGTGGAGCCGAACAACCAGTGGTTTGCGTCGGGGGCCGGGGACCGGACGATTAAGATCTGGGATCTGGCGTCGGGCCGGTTGAGGTTGACGCTAACGGGGCATATTTCCACGGTGAGGGGATTGGCGGTGTCGCCGAGGCATCCGTATTTGTTTTCTTGTGGGGAGGATAAGATGGTGAAGTGTTGGGATTTGGAGACGAATAAGGTGGTGAGTATTTTCTTCCTTTCTTTTTTTCTATGAATAATTCTGCCTGAAGAAGTCTGCCTGGTATTGATATTAATGATTCTGATTTAGATCCGCCACTACCACGGCCACCTCTCAGGCGTCTACGCCCTCCAACTGCACCCGACTCTCGACGTCCTCGTCACCGGCGGCCGCGACGGCGTCGCCCGAGTCTGGGACATGCGCACCCGCAGCAACGTCCACGTCCTCTCCGGCCACACCGGCACCGTCGCCGACCTAGTCTGCCAAGAAGCCGACCCCCAAGTGATCACCGGCAGTCTCGACTCGACCGTCCGCCTCTGGGACCTAGCCGCAGGCAAAACCATGGGCGTGCTAACCCACCACAAAAAGGGCGTTCGCGCACTTGCGACACACCCGACGGAGTTTACCTTTGCGACGGGGAGTACGGGAAGCATCAAGCAGTGGAAGTGTCCCGAGGGGGCGTTTATGCAGAACTTTGAGGGGCAGAATGCGATTATCAATACGCTGGCGGTGAATGATCAGAATGTGTTTTTCTCGGGAGGGGATAATGGGTCGATGAGCTTTTGGGATTGGAAGTCGGGGTATCGGTTCCAGGCGCTGGATACTACGGCCCAGCCCGGGTCGTTGGATGCGGAGAGTGGGTTGATGAGCTCGGTGTTTGATAAGTCGGGGTCGAGGCTGATTTGTGGGGAGGCGGATAAGACGAGTAAGTTTTTTTGCTCCTTTTTTCGAACCCTTTTCTTTCTCTCTTTTCCCCCTTTCTATGTGTTATGAGCGCGTGCTAACAAAGTCACAGTCAAAATCTGGAAGGAGGACCCGAATGCCACACAGGAGACACACCCGCTGGAGTGGAAGCCGACGTTGTCGAGGAGGAAGTTTTAGATGCGGACGGAGGCTAGTAATAATGAATGTCGATGTACTACTAATACACATGAACCCAACCATAGAATGGAATCGGAATCGGAATCGGAATCCGGAAGCGAGAGATATCAACTTGGTCCATGTTTTACTATTATCTGTTTGTGTCTATGCCTCTATGTCTGGGTATCTATCTTTCCTTTTTCTTCCTCTACTTTATCCTCTCCAGTATTTCATCCCTACAAAATGACGCCCAACCCCTTAATCTCCGGATCATCCCGAAACGCCAACCGTACCTCCTCATCCCCCACCGCCAGCCGCATCTTGCTCGGCCGCTCCGCCTTGTGTGCCTCCAGATTGATAATCCCAGCCCCCGTCAAATCAACCGCTGCCGCGCTCAATCCAGCCGGCCGGATCATATGCGCGTTGGCCCCCCCGCTCGTGGTACTAGCTGGCCGGCCTCGCGGGAGAGTCATCAATCCTGCTCCATTCCCGGTCCCGGTCCCATTATCAATCCCGGTGGCGGTAACGGTAGAGATAGCATTAACAGCCTTAGCATCCAACACCCCCAACGCTCGACTCCCACTGTCTCTATCCCTTCCGCCTACGCGAGCGAGTTTGACAGCACGCTGCATCTCGTCAAGGACATCGCCAAATGTGCTTTCGGCGAGACCCGTGCGCTGGGTGCGCATCAGCAGTGCGGCGAGAAGCAGGCGGGCGGCGAAGGGCAGGGCGCGCAGGTATTGTTGGAGCGGGTTGCTGGTGGCTTCGGCGATGGCGCGGCGGATGGTTTCGATGGTGACGCGGCCGGTGGGTTTTTTGGAGGGTTTTTTGGGGGGTATGATGGATGATGGTTTTGAGGGGGTTGGGGGTTTGTTGGCGCCGCGGTGTTTTTTGCTGGGGGTGTCGGGGATGGGCAGGTCGTCGGTTTCGTTGTTGTTTTCGTTGAAATCCTCGGCAGCTTTGGCATCTGCCTCAGCCAGCTCGACGGCACGCCGACAGATATCCAACGCCCGACGCGCATCACCACTGACCGCAGCCACCTTGCGCGCGGCGAACTGCACCGCGTCCCCGTCGACAATATCCCCCGGCACGCCCTCCAGCCGGCTCTGCACGATACGCATCAGCTGCTCGTGATTATACCCGGGGAACGTGATACGCGTCAGCCCCAGCCTCGAACTGATCTTGTTGCTGAGCGTGCGCTCCGGTAAGTCCATGGTGTTGGCCACGGCCAGCACGATCAACCGGCTGTGCCGCAGCCCCGGCCAGTTGAAGAAGTTGTACATGACCCCCTGGTTCTTGGTCACCAGCTGGTCCAGCTCGTCCATCAGCACCACGCAGGGGACACGTCGTGGGGAAGGACGGCTGAACTCGCGCTCTAGGAGGTCGAGTGCCTGCGCGGGGCTGACGCGCTGCCCGCGGAGGGCTTCCCAAAGTAGGGAGTAGGACTGGTGCGGGTCGGTGATCTTCATGCCGTTGATCTCGACGAAGATGAAGTCGTCTAGCTCGTCGGCGCGGACAGCTGCGTCGAGGTGGGCAACTACTTCGCGTACTGTGGCGGTCTTGCCTGTGCCGGGGGTGCCGGAGATGTAGATGCAGGTGCCTGAGCCGTCGGTGATGGCGGCTTCGAGATGGGAGTACACGAGGCTGAACTCGGCTTCGCGGCAGGGGAGACTGGTCGGGACCGAGGCGACGTGGAGTTGGCTGCGGGCGAGTTGGTAAGGGGAGGCTAAGACGTGGTGTGGTGAAAGCACGCGCGTGGCTAGCGGGGTGAACTCGAGGTGTTTCTTGACGAGGATGCGGCGTTGCGAGGACGGGGTCACTAGCTTGCCGCCGCCGGGTGTCCTGCGCTTGCTGGTGGGTGTCACGGCGTCCTTGGTACGGGCTTTTTTCGGAGTACGGGGCGCGTTATCGCCACCGCCATCATCATCATCACCTCCTGCCTTGTGTTTGTAATCCTGGTCTGCCGGCTCGCTCTTGGCCGTCCGCCGCTTGCGCGTCTCCTTGGTGTTCTGCTGGACCATATCGTGCAGGCTGTCGAAATCATCCCATCCCTTGTAGATGTCCTCCCAGATGAACTCGTCCGTGTAGCTGCACGTCCGCGTGTTGCAGCCCCTACGGCAGACAAACACCTTGCCGTGCTCGCTCGACTTGCGCGGTACTCGGCCGGTTGGGTACTTGGCCATGAACTCGGCCTCGGACATGACGTGCGCCTTGCCGTTGATGCTGACCAGAGGGTTTACGTCGAATGCTGCTGTGATATACAGCTCGTTCTAAGCACAACCAACCGTCAGTCAGAAAACCATTTTGATACAGAAACCGCAAGTAAACAAACCACCCACCTCGAGAAAATCCGTCCTCTTCTTAGGATTCCGAATCTCATGCGCCGACGAAAACCACATAAAATTCGCCGCCTTCTCCCCATCCTCATCATCCTGAAACTCGCATATTATACCCACCCACGCCTCACCCGACCCCTCTGCCTTGAGCAGCATCGTGTCGCCCAGGTAACACTCGAAGGTGCCCATGCGCGCCCCAATGATCTGTACCTTGGGAGTCGCCGCTGCCGCTACCGTCCGCTTCCGTTTCCGCCCGGTCTCTTCCACGGGTTCTTCGCCTGTGACTTTTGGTTCTGGTGGTTCTCCGCTGCTGCCCTTCTCATAAATCCATTCCCACGGCAGGTCGTCGGTGCCGAGTTCGTCGTCTGAGTCGTCTCGCACGACGCCGGGCAGCTTGCGCGGTTTGCGAGTGCGTCCCGGTGTGCCGGCCATTTTGATTGCCTAAAAATCGTGTGTCTTCTTGTTGTTCTGCTTCAATGGCGGTTTCGGGTGCTGCTATCTTGTTTGAGTGGTTGGAATTGTTTTCCTTCGAAGCTTGGCTGTGATGTTATTGAGTGGAGACGGCGGCGGCGCTTGCTGGGACCCTGCAGGACGCGTGGGACGCGATTTCACGCGTTACCCCATTAAGATCCCTGCCCATAGCAACGCACCCTAACCCTGGGAGAGTAAACACAGAAAAGGGGCGTCCGCCATTCTGGCCAAAACCAACACATGCCGGCCTGAAGTCCAAACCCAGATTTACAGAAAGATTCAGAATTTGGTGGTAGAATCCAACCGGTTAGTCGTAAAACCTAGTGCTTCTTTAGTCGGGCAAGTTAATAAGCGGGCGTCTTTCTGCCTACTCTTTGTTTTAAATGGTTTTTTTAATTCTTTTCATTCTCTGTGTAATTTCCACATGCTGGTAAGAATCATGGGTTATGTATTATTCCGGATTCTCAGCTGGAATGGGTAATTCACTGCGCCCGACTGCCAGTGTGCCAGGCTCCTAATCTCAATGTTAGCCGATCGGTTCTAATTGTTGGTCTGCTTCGATTGAGCTTTTACATAGCAGAAGTGATTACATGCTTCTACAGAATTGCGTTCGAAAACATGCAGTGAATCTCCAGTGTACGGATGTTCTTTCGCAAAATAATGGGAGTATTACAAACAACAAAGACATATCCTTTCCGGGGCAATTGAACGGTGTACTGGTGCTTCTTGTGCCGGTCATGTCTCTACACGTTGCTTTGGGCGCTCTTCACTGGTGGCCGTCGGTTGTAAAGACCTGTCTTTGCCGTCTTCAGAATGACGCCTTCTTGTGGAAGCACCAGTATGTTCTTCTGTCCTAGAATGTATTGTCTATCGGCTCAGTAAGTCGTGTGATTAATATCGAGTATAGTCTTGTGCCTTGAAGATACAAAGTGGATGGTGATTAAATGGACTTGAACTGGTTATTCTCATAGGGCCAAGGACAAAGCCACATGTGGTTAGATTTCAATACATTTGAGCCCAGACATGCCTAAAGAAGCATTCTATGTTCTATCTAAGATGCTGAAGTGTGCAGTGGGCAAGAAACTCCTAGTAGTTCCGCTAGAATAAACGAAAAGGCAAGGAGTAGCTCTGAATTGGACATCAACTGGGATACAAATCGTCCCCTGGGAAGAACAAAGCATGAATTCCCTTTGTTACTGTTGAACTAGCTAAAGGATAATGGGACTCAGACACCGCTTAGTTGTAATCTTTGGTGTCCTGGGCGGCGCGTGGGTTTGTGTATGCGAAGTTGATATGCCCCAGTACTTTAGCACTCCGGATTCTACGTTATCACGTCCGGTGCGAGTATCGACACTACACTCGCCGTCGAAAATGATGTCTCGGCGCTGGGCGGTCGTCTTCCCCTTTAACGGCGACCGGACGCATTTAATTGTTCCTCACCCGAATCTTAATCTCCGGCTTTCGAGGCGAGAGATCTCGCATGACGTGAAGTTTTACAAGCCACAAACGGCCTCCTCCCCAGTTCCCCGCGTGTGCCTCGACCTTTAGGCACCCACATGTCTGCCCATACTTTGCACACCTTCCTCCCATCCTCAGACTTCCACTTGAACTCTCCAACTTCCGCCTGAACTCTCAGATTGGCGCCTGAATTCTCAACACCGTCACGGGACTGAATATTCTTCCTTTTACAAGGTCCGTGCGCCTGATTCAGGTACTTTCTTCCCGACTGCGTTTCCAAATTTCAATTCCTCTTTTTGCAAGCATCACAAACACGACCGTTTGTCCTGTTTGTTCGGCCGCACCATCCCGTAGGTTTACCTGCCCCCTCGGCTACATGCTGCCGACTAGTCGATACGGTATCACAGCTAATATTCTTTTCCAAGAGTTCGACCGTCCCTCGCCTTCGCTTTTTTTCGTGTTCTTTTTTTCCTTAAAAAAAGAACACCACGATGGCCAGAAACGGCCGCCGCGGTGGGGGGGCCAAGCCCCCCCAGAATCCGACGCCGCGGACTAGGTGCGCATTTCGCGACTATTTTTCGTCTTTGCGTTTGCTTTTCTGTTTCGACGTTTTATCTACCGTTGGCTTCTTTTCCCTGCGTTCTTCGCGTTGCTTTTTTGTCTGCCGCGACTGGTTTGGTCGACCCAAGGAGGGGCTCAAAGCTCCGACCGAGGGGAATGTCGCTTTTGGCCGAACAAATTTGCATTTTCGCGCGTTTTGCTTTTCTCTTCCTATCTTCTGTTCTTTTGCCTTTGTGTTGCTATCGACTGTATCTCTCAGCGTTTTCTGCTTCAGCAATTCTCTTCTACGAGGGCCGTATTCTGTCCAGACAAACGGGCCCGTTTGAAGACGAGTTTGCAACACAAGTTTTGTTTTGCTCTTCATTTCGCTGCTTTTATCCCACATACCTTATTCCCAACACGTAACTAACCAGCATCAACCAGGGCGACTGCGTTCTCCGGTCCCTTTCCCGCTCCTCCCTCCGGGCCTGATGCCCGCTCTCCCCACCTTCGTGGTCTCCCGACCACCACCACCAACACTCCGGCCGGCGTCAACCCGGTCAATCGCGGACCTGACCCCCGCCCCCAGCCCGAGTAAGTCCACAAAGAGATCTTTCAGGCCTTATCTCCTCCCCTACACCTGTGCCTTTCTCTCACGGCCTTTGTACTGCCCTCTTTGTGGCGTTTCCTCCCCTGTGCAGCGTTGCTTGCCCGGTGGCTGTGGTGTTTACCCTTGGTGGGAGGCTGTCGGCGCGCCGATAGCTATCCTAACCAAGACGGATACATTCCGGCGCCGACATCTGCACTTCCGGGTCCGGCGTGCATTGACGGCATGATGGTCGTGGACCCGCGTGGTCCTCGCTTTATGCTTGCCCTAGCCCTCACTGCCCAAGCAGAGCCACGCGGGAGAATTCTTGTTATTTCTCCGCCTCGTCGCTTCCTTCTCTTCCCTTCTCAATTTTCTTTCTTTTCTCAAACTCCCAGGAACTTCGGTTCCTGGGATGGCTTTGAGAACTTTGCATTTCTTGCGCTCGGCTTCCAGGTTCATGCTTTCTATTTTATATGGTTGGCCTTTGTAACTGATACACATTTCAATCTTTTCAGCAACGCTGCGCGCAAGGCAGCTGGTGCCGCGGCCCGGTAAGTCGCTCTTTCTCCATCTTCCCTGCGGAGCTCTGGATCTCCGGCTTCAATTTTGCATCGCTCTTTCTCTTCCCACCACACATTTTCACTAACTCCGGCGGCAGCAGCCGCCCAGGCGGTTCGCAGACCAAGGCCTCTGCGCAGCCGAACCCAAGCCTTTCTGTGCCGGTTCGATCCTCCGTTCATAGCGGAGGATTGATCACCTCACAGGGAGCCATGGACGACGCCGCCAGAAGAAAGGTGTTTACGTCGGGAGCGGACCAGTTGGTCCGCGTGGGCCCTGCGCCCAGGCTTTTTGTTTCGGTAATTGCCTTCTCTCTTTCACGAATTTATCCAAGGAAAACCGTCGTTTAATTAATCAATCGGTTCAATCGCGCAGGTGTGTGTGTCGTGGCCCGCTGCCAAGCGCGGCTTCAAGGACGTCGACCCCGCGGACGGGGACATCAAGAGACTCCTCTCGCACCTGGCGGGGGAGCACAAGGCCGTCATCCGGGCGGAGGAGACCGACTCGTCGGTCATGATCACCGTCAAGACGACCAACCGGCCAACGGCCCAAAAGATCATCAAGACCCTGCGGGGCACGCTCCTCTACCAGGCCGGCGAGGGTGATATGTGGCGCACCAAGCTGCTATTCAATCCTCCCGCCGATGGTGGTCGCCCTCTCGTCGCCGTCCTCGAGCCTGTCGACGGCACCACGGGCCGCAAGATCTTGACCGCCGCGCCCAAGCAGCTCGCCGAGTCGGTCGGTACTACTTCGCCCTCGGGCGAGTACAAGGAGGAGCTCGTCAAAGTCCTCGACGGCAAGGCCAACGTCATGCGACACACCACGGCTGGCATGAGAATGAAGGTCCAATTCGGGACCGTCATTCTGAACCAGTGGAGGAAGGACAAGACTGAGTACACCTTTGCCGAGTTGGAGACGCTCTTGCAGCGTGCCGGCCCCCGTGGCACCGCCCAGATGCAGAATCTGTAAGTTTCCCTTCGTTTCGCTTGGTTATAATTCACTAACGCCGCTTGTAGGGTGAGCGAGTCCTCCGCTCGGGCTCTCATCAAGTGGCTCACGCCCTCCAACCCCGAGCTGCCTGAGCTTTTGACCGGTTTCCTCAAGGACGGCGACCCGCAGCGTTCTTATTCCATCATGATGGACACCAAGAACTTGCACATTGAGGCCACGTTTGAGCCCGTCTATGGCCAAAAGAGTCTAGATAGAAACGGCAACAAAGGCTCAAAATATGCCCTCGGTCCGCTCAGCACGTACCCTTTGGAGAAGCAACTGGAGGCCGCTGAGATCATCACCGTGTGCCCAGACAGGTAAGCCGACCCAAGAGTTTGGACAATGTTCATCAATGCTGACGAAATGTAGCACTTACGACTGGACTCTGGAGATTCGCAAGACGGCGGTCGCTGAGAAAGACAACAAGACTTTGCCGCCTTTTACCGTGGGCGAGCTCCAGCGGCACATCAAGTTTACCGGCGAGTTCTTGGATCAAGGGTTTCCCAATTTCGGCATGGCTGATCACTTCCTCCGCCAACACGACGTCAAGAACATTCACGGAAAAACGTCTCTGAAGTACACGCTCGGTTTCAAGTACATCCTGGAAGTCAATCTGTTCCACCGCTGGGTGGCCAAGCAGCCGGGTCAAGGTGCCGGCGCCACCGCCACCACCACGACCGCTGCCGTTCTTCTGTACAGCGATGATTGGGAGTACCAGATGCGCGCTGAACCGTCCGGTAATCGTGACTGGAAGGATACCTTTGCCGAGCAGTTTCTGGAGTACTTCCCTGATGATCCGGCTCCTGGTGGCGATGCGGTCGATTCAAGAGGTCATTTCCTGCAGTGGGTCGACTTCATTCGCAAGGCCTTGGGCAGCGACGACAGCAAGAAAGATTAACTCTCCAGCGATGGTGCCTCAAAGACCGCAACGGTGGAAATGGAGTGGCCATGGGGTTAGGAAGGATTTTCTCGGGATGCTTTACAGTTCCCTTCTTCCATTCTTTGGTCGCGACGGGGGTACTATCAATTGGAAGGATTGGGTCCTTGCCTGTGTTATTACTTTTCCCTCTCAAGTTGACGCGGCAAGGTTGCGCAAGTTGTATGGGAGTTGACCAAGCGCGAAGCTTTTATTTGGATGTAATGATGGACGATTGTAACGAATATTATGAAGGATCGAAGGGTTACCTGATTGAGCTTCTCATGGAAGCACATTCGCTCGGAGGTTTACTTGACTGACTTTCTAATGAAAGCACATTAAGTCCGTATTTGGTTCTCAACTCGACGTGACACGTGATTTTATACATAGTCCATTTCTTCAACAAACGGCACATGATCTGATTCAGTATCCTGAAGGGGTGATTGCTGGAGGTGTGATCCCAGGAGGCATGACCAAGAGCTTTGGTTTTAATCGGTTTATCTAAGATGGATTGTGTATATCATGCGGCCGATGCCGCTTGCCCGGCTGATGGGCCTGCCCCTGCCCCTGCTCCTCCTTGTGCGATGACCTTTTGTCGCAGGACTGGAGGGTGGGGATGTTGGAGTTAGTAAGGTGTTGGTTTAGTGGTAAAAGCTGTGTAGGAGAAGAGATAGGAGATGTGGGGGGAACATGATGAGAAGGGAGATGGGAACTGGGAGATGATGAAAGGGGAGATGATAAGAAAAGGGGGTTTGAAGTGCGTTGAAGGAGTCAGCTTCCCCGCCAGCCGATTCGGAAGGTTGTGCAACAGATATTTCTAGAGCACGCCTCGTTGTAGTAAGAGAGTAGGCGTGGGAATGGGAGATGGAGGTTATGTGATGAGGGATGGTATAGTAGGTAGGGCGAGAAGGGGAAAGGAAAAGAAACCAAAAGAACATGAAAGCTGGAAATGTGTGGAGTAGAAGGGAGGAGGGAAGAGGGGGGTGGGAGTGAGAAAATAAATAAAAATTGACCTTCTTCTACCACACGCAGGTTGTTGGTCTTGGCCTGGACGATCCCCTCGAGCCCTTGAATATTGGCGGCGAGTTCTTTGACTTTGGCGTCGTAGAAGGTCGTGGCGGATTTTGTGTCCTTTTTTGAGAGAGGGTCTGTTGTTAGTGTGTGTGGCTAGGAATATGGGAGGCGGATGAGACAGATATACCTTTTCTACGTAGAAGCCCGTCCCTACATCGACAAGTACCCGGTCCGGATCGGCCAGGTTACCCTTGACATAGAGTGAGGATGTAAGCGGGACGAGGATGGATTTGGATTCTGTCGTTTATTAGTCACGCCTCATCCCAAACTCCATCCATATCATATCAATGATAGGACCCAACGAGCCACCACAACTCCCCAACTGAGTGACGCAAACACTAGGGGAAACGCACTATCGAAAGACGACGACCCCGACTGAACGACGCGCAGGCACTCCTTGAACTTGGCCTGGGCTGCGGCAAGCTGGGCGTATGAGTTGGAGAGGTGTTCGACTTCGCCGTCGAGCTGCTTCTTGACGGCGCTTAGTTGCTGGGCGGTGAGCGTGGCGAGGTCGACTGGGGGGTGTTAGCTTGGTCTCTTAAGTGAGATCATTTGATGGGAGAAGGATGTATGAGAGGTATGAAAGGTGGCTGTGGTGGGGTATTGCGCTGAGCTGCGTTGTAGCTCTGGATTTGTTTGACTGCCGCCATTGCGCGGGTCATCGCGGGGAAAATAAATGAAATAAACTGACCGCCTTCGCCTTGCTGTTGTTGACCACCACGACTGGCCATCTTCGAGGTTCCGATACTTGTCCTGGATAGTTCTGGTCCAGGGCTGCTAGGAGGGTAAATTCTAGGACTTTATTAAAACCTAGGGGTTCAACCAAAGAAACAGGCTGCTGCCCCGCCAAGAACGCCGTGGTGTGCAAGGTGGGGTTGTTTGCAGCGAGTGCGGGGGGTTTCCAGGGCATTTTTCGCTGTGGGCAGACGACAGCTTTGGTGGGGTTGTGCAGGAAGCGAGGGTACAGGTATGCATTTACGGAGGGTGTTGATGTGCTTCCCTGGGTCAGTCAGTGTGATCAAGAAGATTATGATGATGCAGTGAGGTTAGAAATAGCGCTAATGAGTAAAACGGAGCAATATTATATTTTGTTAAAGTTTTGTTTTTGCAAATGTACGTCTCATGAGGCTTTTGCTTGGGACAACGGCTGCAGAACAACCCGATAAATCTGGTGAGCCCCACACAGGACTTACTTTCTCACTCTCAAGTTCACAACCAAAAAGTTCTACAACGTAAGCAGGGATCTTTTTGGATCCAGTCCCAACTTTTATGTCACAATAGCTATAAAACCGCCCATCTCACGTTACCGCCGCTTCCACCTCCCTACTCATTCCCACTCCACGTCATCCATCAACCCGCCTTCAAAAACCAAGCTCAAAAAGACAAGAAAATGCCCCCCTCACTCCCCCCCAACATCCGCATCCACCACGATGTCACCACCTCCCGCAGCAGCGGCGGCAACCACCGCTCCCTCCTAGCCACAACCACCTTCCAACCCGGCGACCGCATCGCCACCTTCTCCGACCCCCTCCTCGCTCTTCCCGACGGCGCTACCATGCGCTCCGCATGTAACTACTGTCTCCGTCCTGCCTCTGTATCATCATCCTCTGGATCCTCATCATTGTCATCCTTCCAACCTAAGCCCTACCAGCCCCCTGAGAAGAATCACTTCCACCAGCCTTCGCCTTCAGCTTTAGCCTCGGCCTCCCAGAAGCAGGAGCAACAGAAACAGCAGCAGAAGGAGCTGAAAGCTTGCACAGCCTGCAAAGCAGCAGTCTACTGCAACCCCGTTTGTCAACGCGCCCACTGGAAAGCCGGCCACCGAGGCGAGTGTGCCATGTTTAAGCGAGTAAAGGAAAGTGCGGGGCAGGACTGGATACCGACGCCTGTGAGGGCTGTTGCGCTTGTTTTGATGGCTACGGCTGCTGCTGGGTCTGAGAAGGGGGAGGGGAAAGGGAAAGAGAAAGATGAGGAGAGGGCGAGGCGGTTTAGGGAGGCTTTTGGGTTTGATGAGAAAGGGGAAGGGTTAGAGGGGAATGTGGAGGGGTTTAAGAGGGATGCGGAAGGGTGGCGGGATGTGGAGATGATGGGTACGGCGGCGGTGGTGTATAGTGGGTTGAAGCCTGAGGAGGAGGTGGTGGAGAAGGCGAAGGAGGTTTTGTGTATGGTGAGTGCCCTAACGCTATATTCTGCTTCTTCTCCTAGGTTGGTTTGGCTTGGTTTGGTTTGAGACGGAAACTGACAAGACAGATCCAAACGAATGCGTTCAACCGGCTGGATCCGGACACGGGCACGGCAGGGATATTTTTGGATGCTGGGTTGGCAATGGTGAATCATTCGTGTGTGCCGAACGCGTTTATCGGGTTTGAGAAGCGGGCAGCGGTGTTGCGGGCGGAACGGCCAATCCAGGAGGGCGAGGAGATCACTATCTCGTATATTGGTATGTATTCTTACTTTCTCCCTCTCAATACGCTTCTCCATGCGGGAAACATCCGCTAACAGTACCAGACACCGCCCTCCCCAAAGCAGCCCGCTACGAAGCCCTCCGACAATACCACTTCCAATGCCACTGCCCGCGCTGCACCGACGACCTCGACGTCTACCAAGTCTGCCAAACCTCCCCCCCAGCCGTCATCCGCCTCAACACCTTCAGCCTCCAAACCGACCTCACCAAACTGCGCCACCCAGCCATCGACACCCCCCGCAAAGTCTCCCAATCCGAAATCGAAACCATCCACAAACAATGGCTCGCCCTCCCCCCCGCAGCAAGCGACGACGAAAAAGACCACCTCAAGCTCGCCCAAGCCCGCTGGGCCCTCTGCCAGCCTCTAATCCAAGCCAAAATGTGGGCCATCGAGCCTTTACCCACCACCATCCTCGAACTGGCCACGCGCTGGCAGACCAGCTACCACATGGTCGTCTACGCGCTGCCACTGATGTGTTTCCTCGCGCTCGAATGCGACCCCATCAAACTCGTCGCGCCCTTCCTGCGCTGGCGGGTAAAAGGTGTGCTAGCCATCGTCAAATTGCTCATGGTGACAGGGGAATTCACAGCCAGCGGGGAGCTCGCGAACCGGTGTACACATGAGGGGATTCTGGGCACGTTGGCGATGGCGGACCAGGTGAGTATGTGTGAGGCGCTGTTGCGGTTGGTGGTGTATCAGGGAGGGGTGGGGGCGTCGGAGGAGTGGGAGGTGATGAGGGAGGCGAGGGAGTTGTTGGCTGATTTGGAGACTTTGCGGGGGAGGGAGCAGGAGTCGAGGTTGGTGAGGTTGTGGGCGAGGGATTGGGAGGATGTGGAGGGGGGTGCGTTTGTGGAGGAGATGGTGTTGAGGCCGGTGAGGACGTTGGCGGGGTTTGCGGTGGAGGGGTTGGAGGCGATGGTGGGGGGGAAGAGCTTGGAGGGGTGATTGTTTTAAGAGATATAGATGGCTTGGGAATGTGAGAGAGAATATGGATGTTGGAGAAAACAACCGATCTCGGGTGTGGCATTCCAATGGAAAGCCTAAAAGGCAGTCTCATGGTCCATTTCCTATACTTAAAACGACTGAGAAAACCTGGGTGGTCACCCGCGCTACATAACAACAGGATCGTCTTGTAGTAGACAGATTTCCTTGTCATTTTGGAAGCATTTATCTGCCCAGGAATGACAGATACTCTGTAGTTGATGAATTCGATGTGGGCTATCAAGGTCCTCGCCCAAAGCGGCTAGCGCGGTGCCCCACCAAATATTTACGACCCCTAGTTTCGTCGCACAGTAACTTTTACACCATAATTACCGTACGAATAACTTTCTTACTTCAACCTTCCATCTCGTCCTCAATATCCTGTTGCGCTCAAGCAACAACCCCTCGTTCGACCCAATTGACGTTGTCCACCAACGCTCCGTCCAATCATGGGAAAGAACAGGAAAAAGGGCTCAACCCGCGGCGTCGCAGCCGCCATGGCGACATTCACGACGGACGCCAGCAACGAGGAACCGATAGTCCATCCCTCGAACGGTTCGACCTCAAGCCAATCCACAGGCAGCCTGAAGCGGTCCAGCCCGCACGACGACAACGAGGACGGCGACGGCAACGGCGAATGGCAGACCATTGAGCACGGCCGACCAGTCAAGAAGAAACACAAAAAGATCCCCGGCGCCAGGTCGAACCGCTACCCGGGCATCGACTTCTCGCAGCAGCACGCGCGGCTGCAGGCCAAGATCAACGTCTCCAACCTGCGCGATCTGATCCTGTACATCTTCGCCGACGGCCCGGCGCCGCAATGGGTCTCGGTCAAGCACCGGCCTGAGTTCCGCAAGATTGTCACGATCATGGTGCCGGGCTTGGAAGAGACTATGTTCCGGCCGGATGTCGATTTCGCGACGTATAATAATGATAATAGTAATAATACCGACAACAACAACAACCGGGAGGTGGCGCCGCCCGACGACTACTACCCGCGCGAGCTCACCAAGGAAGGGCTGCCCGAAGCGTTGCGGCCGTTTGCGGATATGTTCCCGCTGTTGTGGCCCGTCAGGGCGCCCGGCGACGACAAGTACGGGAAACTGCACTCGCCCGTGCAGGCCATGCTCACGGTGCCCGCGAAGGAGAAAAAAGCCGGCGTCAAGCCCGTGTCGGACCCGCACGGGTGGAAGGATGTGAGGACGCGGATCACCGAGTTTCTGGCCACGCCCGAAGAGCTGGTCGAGAACGGGTTTCCCAAGCACCCGGCCTTCCTGCGGGGCGGAGAGCGGGATTCGTTCCGCGATCCAGAGGGCTGGGTTCATACGCGGGTTGAGTCGTTAACGGATGGGGACGTTCCCGAGGCCGAGATCGAGCAGGGCAGCATCACGGCCGGCCGCCGGATCTTGGCGCTCGACTGCGAGATGTGCATGACGGGGGAGGCCGAGTATTCGCTCACCCGTATCAGCCTGGTCGCCTGGGACGGCGAGGTGGTGCTGGACGAGCTCGTCAAACCGGACAAGCCCATCATCAACTACGTCACGCAGTTCTCAGGCATCACCAAAGAGATGCTCGACCCCGTCACCACCACCCTCAAGGACATCCAAACCAAACTCCTCGACACCCTCGACCGCCACGCCATCCTCGTCGGCCACTCCCTTGACTCCGACCTCAAAGCCATGAAACTCGCCCACCCCTTCATCGTCGACACCTCCCTCCTCTTCCCCCACCCGCGCGGACCCCCTCTCAAATCTTCCCTCAAATTCCTCGCCCTCAAGTACCTCAACCGCGAAGTCCAAAAGGGCGACGGCACCATCCACGGCCACGACAGCATCGAAGACGCCAAGACCTGTCTCGACCTCGTCAAGAAAAAATGCGAAAAGGGCAAAGCCTGGGCGGCCGGCGAGAACCAAGGCGAGAACCTCTTCAAGCGTCTCGCCCGGGCAGGCACCGCCTACCGCGCCACCGCCGGTCCACAAGCCACAGGCGGTGTATCCAACGGCAAGACCAGCGCCGCCATCGACTGGGGCGACGCCACGCGCAGTGCGTGCAATGCAGCGACCGTCACCATCTCCTGCTCGTCTGACGCAGAGGTCGAAGCGGGTATCATCCGCGCCGTGCAGGGCGACCCAGACGGTCTGGAAGTACCTGGCGGGGGTGTCGATTTCGTCTGGGCCCGCATGCGCGAACTCGAAGCCCTCCAGGGCTGGTGGAATCGAAACAAACTCACTGACCCTTTGTCTTCGGGCGCACCACCACCCGTTGTGAACCCTAACCCTACCACACCACCCCCCGACTCCGACTCCCCAACCTCCCCCCCCTTATCATCATCATCCCCCCTCAACACCGCCCTCCAAACCCTCACAACCCGCCTCCAAAAAATCCACGCCGCCCTCCCCCCCTGCACAGCATTCATCCTCCTCAGCGGCACCGGTGATCCGCGGGAGATGAGTCGACTGCAGGCGGTGCAGCAACAGTTTCGGAAGGAGTATAATAGTCCTGATAGTAAATGGGATCGGTTGAGTGTGCAGTGGACTGACGTGGAGGAGCAGGCGTTGAGACGGGCGGTTAGGGTGGCGAGGGCGGGGGTGGGGTTTGTTGGTGTTAAATAGATTTCTTCTCTCATGACAGACTGGGGATTTTGGGGGGTACTAAGTGTATGTGTTATTCTAGCTCGATCGAGGGGTGGTGGATATTCTCTGTCGGTTATATATCAAGCGGAACGGACAATGTGATGGGATGGGATGGGATGTACTAGATCATGTACTGATATCACTGGTCTTTACCAGGATCACTGACAGATCAAGACCTCTGCGGTCACACACCTGGTTAGAGTAGACTAGACCCTGAGGCGGGAAGACGGAGTCAATCCTGCCATACATGAACAAGACACAAAATGTCAGTCCAGAGAAATACAACCACATCTTCTGACCGCTGACCATGCGAGCCTTCCTTATAAATGGCCCATCGCGTTGAACACACACATTCAATACATTACATAATACACCATCCGACACGATAGCACGCAGCACTTCACCCAACCATAGATAGCCCACAAACCAGACCATACCGCTCAAATCGTCAATTCCCATCTATCTATCCTACCCGCTTCGTGTGTTATATATATCTGCTCACTTTTCTTCTTTGAAGAAAGCATCTCGCGTGGTATAGGGATTTATTAGGGTGCCCCTCTCCTGTATCTGCATCTCCTGCGTCTGGATCTCCTGCGTCTGGATCTCCTGCAGTTGGATCTCCTGCAGTTGGATCTCCTGCAGTTGGATCTCCTGCATCTGATTTGCCTCCAGGCCCAGTGCTTCGGCTTTCCTCGTGGGCTTGATGGCTGACTTCTTGGGCTACTTTGACGCCTCTGATTCATTTCCGTAAGCGTGTCCAGCCGGGATGCAAGTTTTCGTATCGTTTTCTTCCTGATCTTCCACCAGGTCGAGGCTGTTGCTCGTTGGTGTTCGTCGGCCCAGAGCAAAAAGGAGAGGAGAAGGGGGAAAAAAAGAAAGAAAAACACATCAGAAAACCACCCTCCGTTCCCGGATCTTCCCATTCCCTTTCAAATGCCAGACCATATCCCCACTATCCCCCGTCCCATTTTTATGTGTCTCTCCTTCATCATCATCAAGTATCCCCTCTTCCATGCCCAGCGCCACGCCCACTGCCATGTTCGCTGCCACTGTTATTGCCATCATCGCCCGCCCTGAATCACCTCCCCCGTCACCTCCCCCGTCAAAAATCAAACTCCCCCCTAAACACCCCCGGATCCACACCAACCACCACCTTCTCCGCCAAATCCCGCCTACCCATCTGCGTAAACACCCTTCTTAGCGTATCATACAACGTCGTGCTCCTATTCTGCGTAGTCATCGCCTCAATCCGCGCATCCAACCCCTCCGCACCACCCTCCCCAGCACCACCACCAAGCAACTCACGCGCCTTCTCCCTTCCGCTAGTCTCCACACTCTTGTGCATATCCAGCGAAGCCAGCAAGTGACCCGCCGCCTCGGCGTGACAGCCAATATTAATACACGAGACGCCGAGGTTGTAGCGGGCGCGGACAAAGTTCGGGTGCATGGACAGCGCCTTCTCGTAGGCGGCGATGGCCTCCTCGGAGCGGCCCGAGTTGGCCAGCGTGGCGCCGAGGCGGTTCCAGAGCAGGTGGACTTGCTCCCGCTGGTTGGAGGTGCCGAGCTCGGAGGAGTGGAGGGCTGCTTGGAAGCAGTCGACTGCTTTGTCGTATTGCTCTGCGCCGTAGAAAAGGACGCCCAGGCCGACTTGCACGTCGGGGTCCATGTGGTCGCCGTCGGGGGCGAGGCGGGCCGCGGCGAGGAAGAGTTGTGTGATGCGCTGCTGGAGCTGGGCGCGGTCGGTGAAGCCCATCTCGGCGGCTGCGGAGAGTTCCGTCGGCGCGATGATGGCTGGGTATTTGACTGAGAGCCAGCGCTCGAGGGTGCGGTAGGCGGTGCTGTCGTAGCCTTCGTTGGTGTAGGACACCGCGAGCGCCATGAGCGCGGGGAGGTTGTTGGGGTCCAGCTTGAGCGCGTGCTCGAGCGCCCGGATCGCCGCCTCTTCCTTCTCGTTCTGCGCCTGCGCGCTGCCGAGGTACACCCACGCGTCGACGTGGTCTGGGTTCTTTTGCACGGCCGCTTCGAACGCGAGCGCCGCCATCGAGAGGTTGCCGCCCTCGTTCATGATCCGCACACCTTCGTCGAACGGGTTCGGCTGGTTCTGGAACAGGTTCTCCTCCTCGAACATGTAGTCCTGGATGACCGGGTCCGCGCCGTACCGGCCGCTAAGCCCCCAGTCATTGAGGTTGTCGTTGTTCATGTACGAGCTGTCAAACTTGGCAAAGCTCTCCTCCACGTCGTCCAGGTTCTTCAGCTCGTCCTGCTCCGCCTGGATGCCGCGCCATATCGATTCCAGGTCGCCGTAGCCCGTCTCCGAGTGCATCAGCTTCTCATCCATCTCGTTCAGCTCCGGCTCCATCGCCAGCGCCTCGTCCTTCGCCTCGGTCTGCTGCTTGTCCTGCAGCTCCATGTGTCGGAATTGCTCCTCCCACTTGGCCTCGTCTAACTCCACCACCTTTCCCTTGCCCTTGCCCTCCATCTCTTGCTGCGGCGGCTGCTGGTGTGCCATCTGCATCTGCGGCCCACCGTACATCGGCTGGAACATCGGGCGCTGCTGCATCATGTTGAAGCCCATGCCGCCGCCCATCATCATCGGCCGCTGTGCCTGTCCCATCATGCCGCTGCTGCTGGCCCCCGGTGCCGTCGACCCGTTCATCTGCTGGAACTTGGCGAACTCATCCGGGCTAAACTGTGTCCCTGCGGGCGCGTTGAAGGCGGCTTCCATCGCGGCCTGTGCGTCGGGAGGGGCCCAGCCAGGCCCCATTGGCGAGCCGGATCGAGCGCGTAGGTGGACGCCGTGGTTGTGGTCGAGATGCACTTGGCCCATCGGTCCTTGTTGTTCCATCGGCATCTCGGGCAGCCCCGCGGACTGGTGGAGGAAGCCATTCATCATCTGCCGGGGAGTTGTCAGCATGTTTTGTTCTTTGTTTTCGCCTCTAAGCAGAAAACATGTTTTGCTTCTGCATATTCTTTGAAGCCGGGTGTTTGGAACGCACCTCATCTTGGGGAGCATTGTGAGCAGCGCTCCGGAAACCACCGGCCGCTGCGTTGCCTCTGCCCACGAGCCGATCATGCTGCAAACTCTTGTCGTCCTGAACGTGTTTCGTAAACTGGCTGAGCGGGTTGCCCGCTGTCGAGCATTCGGCGCCTCCAAGGAAAGACATGGCGGATGACGGAGAAGGCTTGAAAAAAAGAAAGAAAAAGAAAACTAAGTTATCGAAGTAAGGAGTCGAAAGGTCGATGTCGCAAGGAAAAAACGAGTTACAACACTCGGACAAGGAGGGGTCTTCGGTGCGGCGGAGGAGGGGCTGACAAATAAACAAAGGCACCTGAAGTAAAAAGTAGAAAGAATTGAAGGATTGTGTGCCGGATACAGTGACTATAAACGAAGCCCACAAGTAGGAAAAGGTTGGGTTCAGATAAGGCAGCAGCCCGTCGATTCAGCTGCTGTCTGGATAAGGCGAAAATGCAGGAGCATGGACAGATCGGAATGGGTTGTTTGTGTTGGAGTTGGGAACCCGTTCGTTGTTGGCCGCCCTGGAATTGGAGGTTTGGTTGACGTCGGGCCGCCACTTGGGCACGTTGCCGAGGCTGCAGGGGCTTCTGCCCCCCATTTTCCGGGGCCGGCGGCCACTGGGGACACAGAAGCGCCCACTTAGCCGCCCCACCTTTGGACATGTGGACGGCTCACCTTGGTGGGTCGCCTCGTTCGGTCAACAACACAACCACCAGCCGACACACGACCTACAAGGGGAACCCTAGGGAAAGCGGGAAATCCTGAACCAGAAATGGAACCGAGGCGGCCGGATGGGAGATGTTCAGTTGATTCTACAGTTACAACAGCTATGCTTCTCGTGGTCAAAGGGGCTTAAAAAAAGGACGCCGGGAACGTCATTTTTACAAATTACACTGTACACATGCCCGGTCCCTCATCGTGATCCATACCCCGTACCCATATCCCATACCCCATCCCATACCCACAGCTGGTTGTATGGTTCCCATCGTACAAGCGTCCGTAAGTCGTCAAACACTCTGCGGCTATCACGTTCCCCAAGAGTTATTCTATCCCTTAAAATTCGTTGCCATAGTCGTTCCTGTCGTTGTCCTGGCGGTTGTCGAACGATTGCCTGCGGTTGTCTGATTGGTTGGGGCGGCGGTCCTGCCGGGCATAACCGTTCGCATAGTCGAAACGCAGGGTGCGGTCACCGAGCATGGTGCCCTGGAGCTTGTTCATGGCTTCCATAGCATCTTCCACCGTCTCGAAGTCGGCGTGGGCAAAGCCACGCGGCCAGCCTGTGGTACGGTCGACCGCCACACGCACATCCTTGACGTTAGTCATGTCCCGGAAGATACGGTTCAGCTCGACGTCGGTCGTCTCGTAGGGGATATTGCCGATGAAGAGCTGCTTGGTCGGCGAGTTCGTCGGCCCCCGGTTCGTCCTCAGGGGCCTGGTCGTGCTGGCATCCCGCGGGACGCAAGTGACGCGCCTGCCGTGCCAGAACGAGCCGTTGACCCCCTCGGCAGCCTCCTTCATTTGCTCCTCCGTCTCGAAGCTCACGAAGCCATAACTACGCAAAAAAGACGTCAGCGATCACGGCTAACTGAGCACCCTCAAATGAACTGCCGATGGGAAGCAAAAAAGGACGGAGAAAGAAATGATTTCAACTTACCCCTTGCTCAATCCACGCGGGTCGCGCGCGATGTGGGCCTGAGTAACCTTTCCATACTTCTCAAAGGCCTTCAGGATGTGTTCCTCAGTAAGCTCGAAAACAATGTTGCGGATGAAGCAGGTCTTGGCCGGATCTGTCGCGCCACTCGCCATTAGCATCCCGACTGCCCCTTCATAAAGCGCCAAAGAACAACGCCGCCGTTACTGCTCACCATTGATAAAGCTGTCCCTAACCGGGGGCGGGGTGCCAAACCGGGGGGTCTCCTGCGACGCCTCCTGAATATCTTCCCCAGTCTGGCCCAGGCTCTCCTACATACCAAACCAAACGTTAACAAATATCCCAAGCAGGCGTGTACAGTCAAACCTCACAAACGACTTCAACTACTCACCTCGCGGGCCTCAGCAGCCTCAACAGGCTCAGCAGCCTCAGCAGCCTCTTCTGCGGGGTACTTCTGCTCCTCGTTGGCCTGGCGCATGGTTTGCGAAAAGAAGCGGAGGGCCTGCGGCGAGGCGCACTTCACGGCGCTGCGTTGGACACTGGCGCGAGCGGTAAAGGGGCTAGTGCGAGCCGCCGTCGAGGCGGACCTCGAGGCCGAAAGGGCCGACCTCAGAGCGGCGCGGCGAAAGGACTGCCTACATTTTTTTGCATTGTGTCAGTAAGGTACACAGGGAAAATGACAATGGGCTAAGTTGGAAAAGAAAATAAACTAAGCCAAGGTGGTGAACGAACATTGTGACGATGTTTTCGAGTATCCTGGACAACAATTGAAAAGAGGGGGTATGCAGATGCTGTGATCTGGGTCGGTTCTCGCGAAAAGTGGTATTGCTCCAAAAAGTCGCCCACACAAATTGTTCATCGGGATGGCTCGCGGCTTTGGTTCTGAAATTTCCTGCAGAGGTCGCATGAGTGGCTTATCTTATCTCCCACCCCCCCCACTTCACGAGTCCCCACCAAAAAGTGAAAAACGCCGCACCGCGGCAACCCTGCAGCCCCTCCATTCCTGCCCCTCACATGTCCCAGATCCGTCGCGAATCCACAACAAATTGCCTCGGGCGTGTGGCTCAGTTGGTAGAGCGTTCGCTTAGCATGCTTCGACGTATGCGAAAGGTCCTGGGTTCGATTCCCAGCTCGTCCACACTCTTTAGGCGCCAATGGTCTAGTGGTTAGGATTCAACCCTTCCAAGGTTGAGGGGGGGGTTCGATTCCCTCTTGGCGCAAGTCCCTTTCGTGGGTGACTTGTACTTTTGTCTCTTATTGCTTGGTTGCTCCTTTTTTTGCTGCTACGATTTCTGTTCATATCGTGGGGAGTATCACCATATGGCGGGCAATATCCAAGTGTTTCTATTTTACTTGCTTCACCACACTCGAATTTCTCAGTGCCCGCTTCATATCTCCAAGTGAGAAGCATAGATATCAAATGTATTAACCTTCGACGTTGAGACAAACGTCGGGCTAAATTTTGACAAGCCCCTGGTTCCCTCAGGCGCCTTAAGAGTCGACGAGAATGGTAGTGATGTCCCGGGGAGAGCCCAGTTCGGTTGTTCCTTCCCACTGTAAGATTCTTCCTTAGCATAGGGACAACAGTGATCGGAAATACACCCTCCACGGCACCAATCAGAGTATGAACATTAAGAGGAATGTTTACCCGTCAAGTCTAATTTGTGTTTAGGGGGGGGAATACTGCATTTACCTCGTGATTGTTAGTAGCGGGCGAGGGGCAATCCCCTTAGCTTTGGGCATTCTTGATATTGTGGTATCTCATCCTTACAATCAAAAATAAGAGCCACATCCACCTGGCTCGCCAAGTTCTCCCAGTCTGGAGTTTTTAATGGCAGTTGACTTGAACATGTGATGTCAACTGTGTGTTCTTAACCACCTTCGAGGTTAACAAGGCGAAAACGTGAGACCGTTGGTCGTAGAGAGAAGAATAAAGCCGATATATATGGTTAGAATACTAGGTATGGAAGCCTAATTAACAGACCGTCAGCAAGGCAACTTTTCAACTTCGCCGTTACTCCATACCAATTACTTTTAAACAATACTTCCGACATGTATCCACCAACTTTCCCCCCAACTCTCTTCTATCTACATACCCCCCATGTTTTACTTGAAGCAGATAGAACAACAAACACAAGTGTAACATCCCTTTCACCACTTCGGCAAACATGTCCCCCCTCCCCATCCGAGTAACCGAGCCCGATATATCCGTTCTTCGAGGACACCAAGCCGGCCGGCCGATCGGCCGATCGGGCTCTTCGAAGCCCGCCGGATCGCCATGTGGCTCTTTAGACATCCGTCAAAAAGTGAGGTGTGTGTCCGATGTAACCATGGCCACGCGCCCCGATTTAGGGGCGGACAAGTTACAAGACACGAGGAGAGAGTGACGATGGCCTGTTGACTTACGCCCGAGAGAAAGAAAGCGTGACGGTGGTGTTGAACGTGTCATCTGTGGCCTGGGAGGTATGTCCGGTGTTTGTAACTTTGGTGTTTGTGCCTGATGATACCTGTGTAGGGAGATCCATGGTCATCTCGGGCGAGTTGTCTGATACTAAGGAACCTCTGACTGAGTCATGTGTGGTTTCGTATGTGCAAACCCTCAAGACACTGTAGACAACAAGAAGAAAGGAAAGGACCGGTAGAAGACATCGAAGGGGAAGAGACAAGGGGCGGATGCCGAACAGGTCAAGCCTAGTAGATGTGTCCTACCCTGAGTGAAACTCCACGGGGCAAGGCAAACCACCCACTGACAACCTCGAGGGGAAGAAAGTCTCTCCAAGGTCCTTTCCCGTGCTGCGGTGATACTCCTTCTGTAAACAAGCTACACAAAGAGCACGTAACACCGAGCCACGATAGGTCTGTCACTGCATGCTCGTGTCCCAGGAGATGCTCGTGGGTCTCTGGACACAATACGTGTACAAGTACCCATGTGCTGAAACCCAGCATGCGAATTTGGTCTGCGAAGAACGCCTCATTGACGCCAGTCGGTCCCAGCGCACTGGAATCAGGGGTTCATCAGAGGCGGAGAGGGCCAGGGGGGGTTCAACAGTCGTGATACCTTCCAGGTATGGTTGGTGACAAGGGTAGTTTTCGTGAACTAGCCTTTTCTAGAAGGATGCAAGTATGGCCGGTTCTGTTGGTGTCGCAAAGGCACAATGAGTTACTCGCCAGAGCCATCACCACAAAAAAGCAAGAAAACAGAGGTAGATGCAGGCCCGAGGGCGGCAAGCAACCGAAGGGGGAGGGTATCGTCAAAGCGGGCCAGCGGTAGACGAGCTGCGGGGAGTTAGATGCAAGGCACAGAACACGGAAAGTTAAATGCTTCTTCGCTGCGGTGTGAGTGGACTGTGGTGTAAGTGGGAAGCGCTTCAGCCGCATTTTTGACGACGCTGTCGTCAAAGGTTTGTCAAGGGTTTGCTAGTCCGACATCCTTGAGGACAATGCCTCCGACGGGGGTCGGGGAGGGCCTGCTGCAGACGCGTGGATGGGCGCCTGCCCACTCATAATCGCCGCCGAGGTGGCGGGCGCGTGGTCTTCACCCCGACTTGTCGTTCTCGAATGCAGAAAAGTGTAACACTTGGTTATGTACTTCTACTATGGAATGTTGTTCGTGATAGGATAAGAGCATGTTTTGTCCACCCATGCTCTTGCTTTGTGTAACGGTGCAGTACTCGTCAGGCGTTGAACACAAAGGAAAAGAAAGAAAAGGGTGACGCCATGATGAAGTTGTTTGTAGACGAGAAGACGGCAACTTTTGCCTGTGACGAGCTACTAGTACATATACAGTAACTAGATGGCCGGGGCCGTTGTCCACGGGGCCGGGCGCAATGACCGATTGTATTCGGCCGCGACCCCTGGCGTACCCGACACTCAGGATCTTTGACTCCTGGTACAATCTGGCTGGTGTCGAAGAGATGGCAAAACTCCAGTGCGACAAAGATAATTAGCGGCCGCTTCGGTCCCGTCATGGAGGCGTACGAATTCGAGTGCAGCATCGATCTGGTCCCCGAATCGGGGATACCCGCCCGAGGACACCAGAAAACATGCCATTAGGAGCCGCTGTCCGGCCGATGGGTTTGTGACGAGTTCTGGGGATGCGCGTAGCCGGCTGCCAGGGCAAACCATTGACAATGCCCGCGGGTTGGGGATTCAGCCGACCGCTTACACGCAAGGCCAAACATCTAGTGTACGAATAAGCCCGCACGGATGTCCTGCTAACGTTAAACGAAGTTGAGAACCGAAGGTGATGGATGTTCCCGATCGGCGACAGGCGTTAATTGCTCTTATCGTGTTTTTCCTCATCCAGAATCCTTTACATGTTCTGTGTAACACCACGCCGTGAAATTCGAGTTCGGTACCCAGCTCATCTAGAGTGTTGCCCCGCTAGAGCCACCGGGACAGGTAGCGTGGCGCGTTTGTGCGTTTCCTCGTGTTACACCTTTTCATCGGCAAAGGGGGGTTGTGATGTCGAGCCAACTCGACTGCAATGAGGTGTTCAGTGCCAACATCGAGCCCACCTCGACAGAGGAGAACCTGTTCTTCAAAGTAAGAGCTCTCGCGATCGCGAGTGGGCCATGGCCCGGATTACGCTCCGCCGAGTCGTCGGACCTCAGACAACAGCGGGGCGGAAGGGTATCTGGTTGGCGGCGGTGGTCTGGCGTGGTCTGTGCAAGTGGCGAGACAACGTTGCTTCTAGTTTCCAAATAAAAATCCCAGGCGCATCAGGCCACCGGCATTGGGTTGCTTCAAGGTTAATTGCATGCCCAGCGGCAGAACCACAGTTCGTTCGCGGCGGCTCGAATGCCTAGTGGGGCGCGGATGCTGCAGCGGGCTGCCGCTCCAATTACCCGACTCGGGAAACTGAAGAAAAAAAGAGGTCGTTAAATTCTGAGAAAATACATTCGCAACCTTCCCGTGCAGAAGAAAGAAAACTCTCTCGGCTCACAATGATCATTGTGAAATTTTTCTCAAATGCATGACCGTTTCCTTTTACTACTTGGGGAGTAGTCAGATGGTTCAGATAAGGAATATCGATCTACCATTTTGTTGTAGAATCTCGAGCCATCTGGAGTAGCGTCCGCTGGACTCGGAAAATCCCACGCTGCCTCAAGAAAGCTGCGAGACAAAGGAGTGGGGCGATCTGCCACGCTCCCTGAAGCCTTGGCTGCGCCGGTGATTCGATATTTCGCCGAAATTTGGGCAGTGGCATGGCATCTCGACGACACGTGCCTTGCCCGCGGACCTGCCAATCGTCTTCCGCAGCAGCAGAATGTGGAATGTGAGCGTGCTGAGTGGGGTCGGGATCTGTTGTCACTCGGCGCTAGCGCGGATTTTGCATCCCCGGATCGCTCACGCCCCGGCCCATGCGACGAGGCAGCATCGGAAAGAGGTACCGGGTACCTTGCGTCGCTGCTGTGAAGCCGGAGTGCTGAGTTACGATTTGCGGAAGGATTTCGCTTCGTGGGCAAAACACCGACCTTCCCAATCCCATTTCGGTGATGGCCATCCACGCCATCCCCGCGACCTTCGGTGTATTTTTGAAAAACCTCGCGACTCGTCAATTGATTTGCGTGATACCCCGCCTTGAGACTTGGGGGCTTGATCTGATCCTAAAATGCGGCCCCCAGAATTGACGGGTTGAGCAGTCTCATCTCGGACTTGCTTCGCTGCCTAGGCGAGAGACGCCGAGACGATGCCGGAGAGCTTCCGAGGTGGGCTTGGTGATGTGTCGTCCGGTAATGTATGTAAGTGAAATCGGCGACGAGAAACGTTATTGAATTGCCGTCGTTGCGCTTGATGCCTATCGTATCTCTTCTTGGGCAGTGTATTCCGGTGCGGAGGGTGCTTGAGATGGGCGAGTTACGAGGACAAGCCGAGGCCTCACTATTGAACGCCTCGCGGCGGCAAGCCCACCTGCGCTAGCCACCGAGTTACAAGGGGAGGAATATGGATTGTGCAAGATCGGTATCAGAACTAGAGAACGCTCTCTAGGTATCACAAACTGTACGGAAGGGGCGTCGGAACGTCAAGGCGTTCTTTCACAAGTCGCTTCCCGTCGCCGGTTAACGGACTACTATGTGGACTTTGCAGCAACCTAAGGTTAACAAGAGCAACAGGGAAAAGAAGAACAGGGAACGGGGGCTAAGTTGTTTCGGTTGCCACTTGCCAAATATCGGAGTTAACCACCGCTAGAAATTCGGTCGTTGATATTGAGGCAGGAATGACCAACTTGGACCTTCCCTGAAGAAAACTGCTCGAGTGAAGTGAGGGACAGGAAGGTACAAGCCACAACAACCAGGGGCATAGGAATAGAGGAGACAACTGGTACTCGCGCTTGTCATGATAGGAAGGAAATCGCTGGTAAAGATGGATTAGCCTTGGATAAGGCACTGTGCAGCATTTGACTGTGATGCATTGCGTCGAGGCCGGAGTGCCGCGGACCGGAAGCAATTTTCCCACCGAGTCTCGCGGCTGGGGCCTCTCAATGCAGATGAGACAAGCGCAGCCGCTGTCGGTCCTTCCCCTCCCCCGCATTCGAGATTATGGTTTCTAGGTGTTTTCAGCCGCCACTTACCAACGTTGGGTACTGTGAGGTATCACTTATTCTCCTTTTTAGACACAGCGCCACGGGGGACACTGGAAGACTCGTTCTCACAAACCGCTTTATTGAAATGCTTCACAAAGCATTATCGGCCGAGTTCGCATGTCGTTCCATGTGTAGCAGAGCACATACCAGGGTGGGCACTCTGAGTATCACAGACAGCGATCGATGCCGTCGGCTCGGATCGACACAGTGTAATCTCCTCAGCCATGCAAACTGTGAGATTCTGTCATGTTGGACCGTCCTGCTGAAGGCTGTTCGTCACACTCGCCAATTTACCATCATATCGCCTTCGCCACTTAGTACGAATAGGCTTTTGTGCAATGGGCAAAAGGGAAATCAAATGGGCAAGTATTCACGAGCTGCCCTCCAGGCTGTCTCGCGTTGAGCGCTTTCTACACTACAATTCCAACGAAATAAGCCGCACGCTCGTAATGTACCTCAGAGCCACTGCGGCCCGAGGATGCGCCAGTCGGGGAGACTTGATGGGGTCCTCGGCGGCTAATAAAGAAGCTGGACAGCCGCTGTCGCTTTGTATGGAGATCCTGCAGTAGCTCGTAGGCAGACGATGAAACCCCCTGCGTCGGTGGGCAAAACACGTTCGTTCGGATGCCCTTTCGCTAACGAGTTGGGCTTTTTTTATTGAGCGACGGTCCAACCGAACAGAGTGGCTCTAAAGTTTTGACCGGCCCAACAAGGCGACCATACGATGGCGATCAACGCCCGCTTGGCAGCTCGAGTGTCCAAAACCTCCCCCCCCCCACTCAAAAGCAGAAAGAGCGGCGGTGCTGCAGGGTGCCGCGAAAAGCGCTGTGGGCATCGATGGGACGGGACGATAAACAAACGGGCACTGGACAAGGGGAGTTCGGGCTTTGAGGTGTGTTGATGTCGAGATGGGATTGGCAGGGCCTTGCCCACACCTGGTTTGAAGAAAATTGATGTGCTGAGATGCCCTGTGCAGTGCTATCTTGGGCAAGCAGGGAGGAAAAAAGAAAAAAGAAACAAACAGCCAGAGTAAGAACAGAAAAGAGATCCGCCGGGTGGCGCAACAGGGGCTCTCGGTGAAAGCAAAGCCCATCCATCCTGGTATCGAATACCCAGGCACCTTGAAGGAAACTGGAAATACACTCCGGAGTATTCAGAGCAAAATGCGAGTCGTGGTAAAATGCGCGCCCAGCGAGGGCTTTGGCTTTGTGACTTGAGCTCCTGCCGTTTTCGGCCGGCGGCTCGAGCCCAAAGCGGTGGTGGCATGGCGGTACCCAGGTACCACAGTGCGGGACGAGGATGCAAACTGCGCTCGCAAGAGGTGGAGTGGTGGACTCGCACTCTCGAACCCGCCCTGGCGCCCGTGCTGTGTGGGACGTACCAGGAACCCAAAGCACGGAAGACACCATGTGGCTGAACGGGGGCCGGCTTGTGTGTGGGTCTGGTGGGACCATCAATTCCACCCTCGACGGCCAATGCGAAGCGAGTGTCGGCCCCCCTGGCACCCATCTGCACGCATGCCTGCCCCAGCTTTCGACCCTGTGCCGGGTGCTGACTGCCCTGAAAAAACGTGCTGGCCCGTCCACGCTTCAAGGGCCTGGTCGGGTTGGTCCTGTCCGCCGCAGCGCCGCCCACCTTTCCGCGCGCCCACCCACAACCCCCGTCCAAACCACAAACTCGAGATTGCGTCCGCCCACAACGAACCCAGACGTGGCTGGAGCTGGCCTGATCGATTGCAGACTTTCTCGACTTTCCCCCAAACCATCTGCCAAAGCCTTCGCTTTTGATCGCTCTTTCATTCTTTTGAGCCTGTCTTGCGCTATCACTGATCGAGTCGTCTTCGTTCTCTCACAGCATTCCGCGATTTCACACGGCCTGTTCTTGGTAGGACCTCAGCACACACACAACCCATTGGTCTCGGTTTTTTTGCTCTCACGGCATCTCACACCACCCACCACCCTCCAAAAGAGCCTCGAACTACCACCGAACAGCACACCACATCACGGTCTCGCGTCGTGCTCTCTTCACGCGCCGCTCTGCCCTAGATCGCAAGCAGAAGCGGTTTGTGATCGGGGCTTGCTGGAGCCTCTCGAAACCCGCCCAAGGCCCCGACTTTTGACGGGCTCGTTGGGCAGTTTCCACCTGGCGTCGGCCCACTTGATGCGATCATGGACCAGCAGCGACCAGCGTCCCAAAAGTATCCGGCCGGCCTGGCTGGCGTACTAAACTCACCAGAGGACAACCGTGACTCGGCTTACTTTTCGAGTACAGACGCCTCGAGTAAACGTATGCCGACTTAGCCAAGTTTTTTTCCCGTCGGCGCTCTCGCGATGTGGACGTGTGTACCGCGCACTGAACCAATTGGCTGACGCAAATCTTTGTTACAGATACTTCAGCTGCGTCTGGGATGGGCGTGCTTAGCCCCCCAAACTCGGGCTTCCAGCCCTCGCCCGTCGACAAGACGCCGTCACCGACGTCAACAGCGAACCATCTACTTCCGCAGCCACTTGTGTCTCCGACAACGAGCAATGGCAACATGAGCGTCGCGTCCATGGTCTCACCCTCGACCCCTGGGAGCGCCGATCCGCGTCGTTTCGACCGAACTCAGTCTATGGACTCGGCACCTAGCAGCGCCGGCTTCGCTACTGCCGACACCCCGGAGGCGCTCTCGAGGAGGGAGAGCGTGGACAGTAGGATTAACCAAGGTTTTCACGACATGCGGCTGGGCAACTCGCCATACGCGAGCCACAATCAGTCAAGCACATCGATCCATACAACCCTGCAGCAACAGAGGAATCCGCGACAAGGCCTCGATACCCTGTCCGTTCACCGCATCTCCAATGGCTACCAACCAAGCGCCGAGCGAAACCCCGACGGCCATCCTAAGACGATGAGGATTGCGCCCGCCATCACTGGGCCTGCCACGAGCCAAATCGCCCGCGCTGCGGAGCCGACCAAGGGCCAGGCGTGGGCTTTCCCCGAAGAAGAGATCCAGCGTGTGCCTTCAACAGCCGGCACCTCGCTAATCGACTCAAGGCGGAGCAGCATTGCAGAGTCATTCGCCAGTAGCCATTTGACGTCCGAGTCCCGACTTCCACCAGGACAGAGACGTTTGGAGGAGAACCTGAGCCCGTACCAAAGGCTATCCAACGCGTCGGGCGAGTATTCAACGGTGCATCATCACACGCTCCAACACAAGCAAGTCGGGGACTTGCGGAGTGAGGAAGTAGGAGGACATGCCGGCACGCAGCCATACAGCAGGACACCCGAACTGCGTGTGAGCCACAAACTAGCCGAACGGAAACGGCGTACGGAAATGAAAGAGCTGTTTGACCAACTCCGGGACTTGATGCCCCAAGAGAGGGGATCAAAGGCTTCCAAGTGGGAGATTCTTACGAAAGGTTCGTTTTTATCGATGTATCACGACTGATAACACACTAACCCCTCACAAGCCATCTCTGAACACCAACGCCAGAGCGACCTCATCAGGCAGCTCCAATCGGTGAACGCGTCGCAACAAAACGAAATCGAGATGCTCCGGCGCGAGATGGAGCGCATGCATGGGTCACAACCCGCGCGACCAGTAACGGACCCCTACGCCCAGGACCAGTATGGCCGGCCGCGGCCGCCAGAGCTGCCCCCTCTCCGGTCACTGCAATCGACCACGGGACAGCCCGCAGCACCGGAGTCCATGACAGGCGTGCAATACGAATCGTCATCACGAGTAAATGGTTTTCGACCTGCTGAGCCCACCAGGTTTTAAAAGGACCAGCGCGGCAAGCTCCACGCGATGAGCACGCATCGGCTCGGCCCGATCCGATCTGATCCGCCCCGGGAACAAGAGTTCAGGGTTAAGTGGTGGAAACGAAGGATAGGGCCGATGGGAACGGGATGAACCAGCCATGCCATTGTGTTGGAAAAGCACAGCCGCGGAGAGGGGTGTTCTCGGGCAAGCCCCGAGCGCCAAAACGCCACTGGACAGACAAACCTGTTTGCTGGCCTAATGTTTCACTGGCCGCCTCTGTGTACCCTCACTTTCAACGACGCCCGTGGCTACTATCATTTCGAAGGCAGGCGGCGCCTGAATGTGAACTTGACGACAACTACTGGACTCGAAAAAGCACAACCTTCACCTCACTAAACACGAACATGAAGCAAAACACCACAGCGACAGGCGCAAATCATTTGAAATTACTACCACGACGACTCTAAAACCATTCACGTATACCATATTATATATATACCCGGACCATTTGGCCTTTCCAAGCCATTTTCACGACGGCGTCACACCTTGCGTGGACTCTTTTTCTTTAAGCCTCTTATTCCGCTTCTACCTGTGTGTGGTCGGCTTTTTTTTACACCACGACCACCCACCAAACGACTGACTCAAACCCCCGACCAACTGGCTGTCATTTTCTTTTATTCTCGGTTATCGAGACTCGATGAACATGGCGGTTATGTTACACACTTGACCTAACCCATTGCAGGGTATCTTTTTTTACACTTTACTCTTCTTCGATGCGGTCATCAATTTATCTCTTCTGCCACCTCTAGTGTCGATTAACACCCAGCGCGTGGGCCTCCATTTCAACTGATGTCTTCTTCACTACGTTTTTTTTCCTTCGCCGGTCTTCCCTCCCCCCTCGGCTTTTAGGGCGGTGAGAATTTGGGATTGGGAAAGAGGGGGAGTTGATTGTGGGGCGATTGATGGTCGGGATGGTTCGGATGGATGGTACGGATCGTTCGGATCGGATAAGGATCGGATGGGTGGGTGAATGGATGAGATCGGATGGATGTATGTGGTGGACGTGTCGGGTTGTGTTGTTGGTGTTGTGCGTTTTATGTTTCTTTATTGTTGCGATCTGTGAAGAAAAAATTACCGACCATCATCCATCTTATACCGGTGAATTCCGAGATGCGGTTGATTCTCCCGTGATTTGGTAAATATAGGTTAACACAACACAGCGAACAACCCGCCCCCGGCCTAGATCGAAGCACACGTGCGTGCTCTACATTTCCACGCTGAAGGAAGCCGCGCCCTGCGCTAGGGGACTCGGCCGAGGGTGGATTCAGAGCATGGGACAGGTCGCTCCTGCCCTTTGTGTCAAGCACGGAATAAATCTTACCTACCCTTATCAAAGGACCCCTCTTCTGAGTCTACAATTTGAGTTCCTCGGACACAAAATATCTGTACCGACCTACCTGGTCTACTCCTCAGCAAACATCAACCTTCATCGGCCGCCTAGCAGCAACGACGGGCCGGTTCATCATGGACACGGTCAGCCATCTCCGGGCACACCGGCCCCGGCCCTCCCTCCTATCGCTTGCGGTTGACGACCTCGAGACGATCTGCAGCTATCTTTGCCCGCACTGCATCCGCGAGCGCATCCGCGAGCGCACCCCAAATCAGCTGGGCACCCCGGGAGCATAGGATTATCTCGATAGGATGCAGCTGGGCTCGCGCGTACATACGCGGGCGCTCTACAGCCTCAACCTGACCTGCCGGCTTCTACACACCGTGGCCGAACCGTATCTCTTTCATTGTCCCATCACGCCCATCACACAAGGGTCCATGAGGCTCAGCGATTTAATCTGCATATTCCGGCCCCAATTGGCGCGCCACATCGTCGACATCGACATCCCGTTTCCCCTGCCCCCTTATGTTCCGGCGACAGACGCCTGGTGGAGCTCGCTCCCGCTGCCAGTCGGCAGAGGATTTATGGAACGGAGCAGCCAGGAACCCCTAGAGACGCGGCAGTCGCAGCTGAAATCTAGACAGCTAGCCTTACACAGCTTGAAGCTCTACAAGCTCCTGCAAGGTACTCCCAGGCTGATGCGGGCACACATCTGCGTACCAGATTGTACCTTCGGCATGGCTGTGAATAGGTTAATGGAGCTTGATCGCAAGAACCCTGGTACCCCCTTTCTACAACTACCGTTGCGGGAGTTGTACATCAGTAACATCTTTAGCATGGATCACATCCTCGACAAACTCGTTCCGCTTTTCTAGATGATGCCGAACTTGGAGGTTCTTCACGTCGACAACAAACGGATCCCCGTCTGGGCAGGATCGTTGACGCCCTGGGCGGCCCAGAACGGGTACTCGGTCCCGCCCCTCCAGCACCTGACCGATCTCTGCCTCGGCGACATCCGCCTGTCGGAGAGCGACCTGGCCGTTCTACTGGCCGCGGTCGGCCCGAAGCTCACAAAATTTAGCATGCGGCGCACCTGGCTGCTCCTCGAAGCGGGATACACGTATCTCAGCTACTCTCACAACCTCGCTAGCGGCCTCGATTCGCAGTGTCCTTCGGCCCCTCCATCCCCCTTCACCATACAATTCAGCACCGTCCTCCGCGCCCTCTCCCGCTGGCGAACCACCCTCACCCACCTCTCCTTCACCGCAAACGAGCCACCCCCACAGCACACCATTCTGTGCCGGCGATTGTCAGATCTGCGCCCGGTTGACCTGAGCGAGCTTAGCGCCTTCACCGCGCTTCAGCAACTACATACGGAGGTATCTTTCTTCGCGGACCACGCGAGGCTGGGCCAAGACAAGAATCCCTTCACCAGCACCGTGCCAGAGTCAATCCGGCATCTCATTCTCCGGGGAACGAATCGTGATCTCGCCGTGGCTGTGTGTGCGTTCACAATGGCCATGGCGCAGGGTCGGTATACGGCGTTGGAGGAGATCTGGGTGATCTTTTCCAAGGAGAGTCACAAGCCAGATCTAGGCAAGGCGACTGCCTTTGAGCGTGTCGTCCAGCGTTGGCGGAGATTACGCAGGTTTGGGCCACGGCCGGTGATGTGGGAGGTGTTGCAGGAAGCCAGCCGGTTTCAAACTTGGGACAGACTGGCAGATTGGGTTTTGTTGTTTGGGGTGCGGCTCATCATTGCGGGAGACTACCAAGGTGGGGGTTCAGGATGGGAGGAATGGCCTGTGTTTCGTTATGGGGATAGTGACGTTGGTTAAATAACTAGGGTGGGTGGAATACTTGGAGTGCGCTGTTTGGGCACTGCTCTTTGGGAGGTGTTTATAGGTTGAAGGGGTCTAACAGACTAGAATTCTGACGATAGCAATACCCACCAGGACTCGGTAACTTTTCAATAACACCAAGATATGACAGTTTCCTCAGTTTACCCTTTTTCTTGTTAATACTTTGCTGCGTCTTCTTAACGGACTTAACATCTTACGAAACATACAGTTCAGTCCAGTTTAAGCCCCCTTGTTTTGTGAACTTAGTACACAGCAGACATTGGTCATATACCTTGGCGCGTATGTCCGGGTCCTGGGACGGCCGCCACCGACAACAAAGAAATTACAATTGGTTATGTAAAATTGATACGAAACCACACAGCCGGTGCTATGCTATACCTTGATCTACCCAACCTTTCGTACTTCCTCGTAAGCATTGAGCTGCCTTCACGACTTCGACCCATACATCGACAACTTGGCATCAAATGTGGTCGGGTTATGATCATATCTTGTATTTTCTAATAAATTGACGAGTACCTTCTTTGTCTTTTGTGTTTTGCTTCTGGAGAAAGAGAGACAATGACTTGGCGTGTCGAGTATTACTCGGGGTGTTCAGGCCCTTTGTCTCAGTCGGGGTCGCGAAGTTATATAGAATCACTATTCAACAGTAGCTCTGTGGGTATGTAGGTTGTTGCTCCGGCGTGTCGAGGGACAAGGAGGGAGGTATTTGAACAGCAGACATGTAAATAGCTGAACACTTGAGGGGTCGAGTCTGGCGCCTGGTGTCTATTTAAACACCATGCCTTGCCCTACTTGTTAGATTTAATGAATCTCTCGTCACATACTCTTGTCCCCTATTTGACATAGTGGTACGTACCAGATAACATAGAGACAGGACAACACGGTAATAGGCAACAACACAACACCGTCACCATGAGCGAGGCCAGCTACAGCACATTCACCACCTATGAACAGACAGAGTATGAGATCGAAAACATAGGTCTCAACTCCTTCCACCTCTTCACCCGGCCCATCTCCGGGGACCTCCCGATAGAAAGGACAGGCTGGACCCGCTTCGTCCAGCCCTCAAGGCGCACCCGCCGCCGTCGCGAACTCGTCCAACCGGTGCGCAACCTCTTCCTCCCCATCGACAGACGCACCCCGGCCGAGTTCAAGAAACAACCACTCCTCCGCTCAGAACAACTAGTCCGCTACGCCAACATACTCTCCAACGCCGCCGACATGCCGCGCCACATCACGGCCCGCGTTTGGCAGTACCTCCGCAACCGACGTGCTGGTGACGCCAACACAACACCCCGGTCGACTCTCCCCAAACCACCGCATCCAAACCCCCTTGAGGCGCTGCCCCGGTCGTTTCGCCATCATATTTGTCGTAATTCCACTCCGGTTCGTATCCCCCCGCCCATGATGATGACCCCGATTATGCCGCTCGGCTCACTGAACAACACCCCTGTGCCTTCCAGGTTTGGTTCCGGTTCTCGCGACGGATATTCTTTTACGGATACGAGCGTCGACGGCGACGTGGACGTGGACGTGGACGGGTCCGGAAATCGTCGTGATGTTGGTACGCCTACTCATACGCACTTTGCGGGTAGTGGGATGCATTTGCGGTCTGGACTGAATAATATGCGTCGGAGTAATGATATGCAAAAGGAGAACAAGCTGTTGTCGCAGGGTAAGGACAATAAAATAAAAAACAACAAAATCCAAAAAACGCAGTGGGATGGTGTTAAGGACAAGGGGAAGCGTAACTTGGACGACCGCATAATAGCTAAGGTCATCCCCTCCTCCTCCTCCAACAACAGCAACAGCACGATACGCTACGCTCGGCAGAATACGTACGCTCCGAGTAGCGCGTACAGCGGTCACCATCATCACGACCGCGACCACGGCCACGACCATAGAAGCATGGCTATGGTCAAAGATTGGGTTGACCGTACGAATGCATACGATAGATATGAAGAGAACCGCCACAACAACAACAACAACAACAACAACAACAACAACCACCACGAAAACAGCCCAGTCCTCGACCAGCGGTACATAGTCTGGTACAACGGGGACGGCTCCCTCGCTCATAGCCCTAGCCCCGACACCATGAGCCTCACGTCTGCTGGCGCGTACTCTAACCCGCTCACTGACGCTCCGAGCCCGATGTCTACGACCAGCGACCCCTATTATGACGGGGCTGGTGCTGTGACGAGGGTTGTTTCTTCTGATGATGAAGGCCGTGCTCTTGGTCCTGTGCGGAACGATGTCCACGTGCAACGGCAAGATCGACGTCAAATCCAACAACGGGAGCTCGCTGGTTTCCTTCTAGAACCTCCGGAGGCCTATAACAACACCAACAACCCCCTCGCTCTTGGCCCCGTTCGGAAATACGTCGACGGACAGCAGGAACAACATCAAAACCATCAACAGAAACCCCGAAGCGTCCTTAACCAGGGTTGGCAGCCCGCTGGGTTCCTCACAGAACAGCCAGCCGGTAACAACACCGACAACGCGCTTTCTCTTGGCCCTGTACGGCATGACGTTGACGCACAGCAACATCATCAACAACAACAACATCAAATCCAGCAACAGCAGCCCGTCGGGCTCCTCGCAGCAGCGCCGCTGGCTAGTAACAACCCCAACAACCCCTACAACCCCAATCCTGACAACAACCCTTACAACAGCAACCCCTACAACTCCCCACCCGCTTCCCCAGCCCGCTCAACCTTCCGCTTCCCAAGCAACAAGAACAACCACCCCCGAGACCCCCTTGCCAGCCCCTTCGCCCCCCCCCTCAACACCCAAAGCGTCTTCAACGGCCGCCCCTGGGGTCCCGACTCCCCCGGCTGGGTCCCCCCAGGCCAAGATTTCGCAGCACGCAGTGAACGCTGGCGCAAAGCAGTTCGGGAGGCAGAGGAGGAAGAAGAGGAGAGGAAGAGAAACACGAGATGGAATGTTCAGCCGGAGGTGAAGTATAGAGAGGATTGGAGGGAGGTTTTTGGGATTGCTGCTCCGAAGGAGGGGAGGACTTCAGCCGGGGGTGGGGGGAGTGATGGGGGTTCGGATGCGTCGACTGTTAAGGTGGGGGGTGGTGATACGGGGGGGATTTCGACGGAGGTTAGTGCGGCTGAGGGGTTGAATGAATTGTTTGGAGGGACGGAGACGGAGGAACAAAGGGGGTCAGCAGCAGGAGGGGGAGGAGGAGATGGAGAACTAGCAGTAGCAGTGCGAAGGGCAGGAGAACTAGTATCAGCAGCAAGAGGAGCCGTAGCAGGAGAAAAGGGGGAGGGCGAAAAAGCGGTACAGGTCCGGGACGCTAATACGGCCGAGAGCAGCGCGGTAACTGTTAGGCGGAGGGCGTCACAGGCACAGGTGCAGCTGCATTCGCCGCCTCACTCGCCGTCTCGATCGCCGCCTAGGACCCAGCTTCAGGTTCGGCCTAAGCTTCAGGTTGAGATTCGGCCTCAATCTCAAACTCAACTTCAGGAGCAGCCGCAATCGCAGCCTGACTCCCAGACGCAGCTTCAGGTTCGGCCGCAGCTTCAGGTCCAGTCGCAGGGGGGTATCCGAAGGTGTCTAGGCCAGCGTACATGGATCTGTAATTGATGAATGTTGATTTTGTTTGTTTGTGGTTGATATGTATGTGTTGTTGTACGTGTGTGTGGTATGATTTCGACGGCGGTACAGATTGCTGAGGGAGGAAATTGCTCTAGACTAATTAACAATCAGTAGATGATTAAATGCAAACAACTCTCCTGAAACCTGAGTATTTCTTGCGAAGTGAGTGAATCTGTAATTATGAGCATTGCGCGGCCATCCACGGAATCATTCCGTTCGACTACTACCAAATCAAAAGGTGAGGAAACAACACTGTAGAATCACGGAGCTCACGTACGGCTAAGTTACCTAAGCTACCTACACATGTACACGCGTCGGTACAAAACATGCGACCAGAATGGAATCAAACTAACCTGGTAACCGTTTGGTGATCGGCCGGGTCTCGATCTCGGAAGACTGTTGAAACATTGCAAAATGGACGACGTTGCGCGGCGTGTTTAGGCTCAATGACTTTTCCCAGGTAGATGGTATGTCGACTGCTCATCGTCAACCCACTCAGATATTGCGAATATGGGCTCACCATGCCCGCTATGACGCCTTTACACGACGCCGGCGGTTAGCCTCAGACAGATTCAACAGACTCGACAGAGTAAAACTCCCGTCTTCATCAACCGTGTCGGGTTTATGACGTGCGGTTGTTCCAACATGGAGCGCAAACCTCCGGAAGTGCGTTGTTGGGTGCTCGCATTCGGAAACTTACCGGAAGGAGGTATGCCAACTGAGGCAAGATTGACGGTCGTTCAACCGGGAACAATGCGGGCAGCTGACGCGGATCAGGAGGCCAGCCCTGGCCGATCCGCTTCCTTTCCCCTGAAAGAAAAAGACCCTGGAAGGATGTGCGATCTTCAGAATCCATCTTTTTTGCCCTCGGGATTTGTTGTTTCATCGGCTATCTCTTCCCATCGAAATGCTATGAATGTTTTGAAAACACTTGCAGAACCGTAGAAGCAGCCCTATTCTCCTCTACAAGCCCATATGAACATAGACCCACCTAACACCCACGCCAAACACAGCCAAGCAAAGCCAGGCAGGCCAAGCCGCGGGACAAAAGCTTGTTCTGCTCGGCACCTCTTTCCCGGGATGGACAAGCTTTGGGCGATCTCTTGGCCCTTCAGACCCACTCGTTGCAGGGGTAAGCACTCCCCTCCTTCCCCCCATCAAAAGATGCACACATTCCCAAGTTTCTCGAGCGCGGCTGTAATGCGAGGCAAGGGCAAGGCAATTTATTTGCATTTATCCAAGAACGACATGATACCAGCAGCCGGGGACAGAGCTCGAGTCCAATGGTGGCCTGGGCGAAGGGAACAACCCCGATTGCCCGATGCTTTCCCTTGTTTTCTGCAGGTCTTTCTCCCCGGGGCCCTGCAATAGCTTTCCATTATTACGAATTGCCAACACTTTTCCCCCGGACGCGGCCGGCACTTGCCCCGCAGAATGGCGCCCTGCAAGGTGGCGCACTGGAGCCGATGCGGGTAGTTTCTGGCTAAAAAGGAGCCGGACCAAATTCACCAACACATGGCCTCTAGTGTAGCCCCCCTCGAATATCACAACCAGTCAGCCATTCAACCACACAACGTCACGCAGATTACCCCAGAGACCAGTGCCTGGGACCCTGGGTAGCTCCTTGATGCGGAGACTCTTGCAGGTCGCTCATTGCCGGTCTGGGACTGGATCGTGTTCGACAGGAACAACGGGTAAGAGCCGATCACAGGCACCATGTCCGTCGGTCTCAGATCCGGGAGAAAGACCAAGTCTCGAAGGGGTCGTGGAAAGCGACTAGAGGGGGGGACCCATTGGTGCGCGTGTGCTTGAAGCGCCACAGAATCTTTCTAGATGAAATCCGGCCAGGTCGGATCGTCGTCTGTCGGGTTCTATTAATGCATATTATCCGGGAGCTGCGGGTCGAGGGTCTTGATCTTCTGAAAGAAAAAGTATAAAAGATATCAGATACCCTCATCTTTCCCACTCTCATTCCACCACCACCACAGTCCACACCTTAAGTTCACCCAAGACATCCACCACTTGACCACTCAAACCATCACCGTCATCATGGTCGGCCTTACCAACCTCGCCGTCGTCGCCACGGCCGTCACCGGCGCCCTCGCTGCCCCGTACGCCTCCGGCGACGCCCCGGACTTTGAGCTCGGCGGCAAGAACCTCGCCCGTCGCCAGGACTACAACCAGAACTACGTCACCAGCGGCAACGTCCAGTTCTCCCCTGCCAACGACGGCTACTCGGTCAACTTCTCCAACGCCGGTGACTTTGTCGTCGGCAAGGGCTGGACCACCGGCCAGACCCGGTATGCCTCTCCCGTGCTACCATTTTAGGGGGTATCCTCATCATGCTAACTTGACTTCCCCAACAGCAACATCACCTTCTCCGGCTCGACCAGCGGTTCCGCCGGCACCGTCCTCGTCTCCATCTACGGCTGGACCACCAACCCCCTGGTCGAGTACTACGTGCAGGAGTGGACCTCCAACGGCGCCGGTTCGGCCCAGGGCGAGAAGCTCGGCAGCTTCGAGTCTGACGGCGGCACCTACGAGATCTGGCGCCACCAGCAGGTCAACCAGCCCTCCATCACGGGCACCGCCACCTTCTGGCAGTACATCTCCAACCGCGTCTCCGGCCGCCTCGAGGGTGGTACCGTTACCCTGGCCAACCACTTCGCTGCTTGGCAGGCGGCGGGCCTTCAGCTGGGCCAGCACAACTACCAGGTGCTGGCTACTGAGGGCTGGGGCAATGCTGCTGGTTCGTCAAAGTACACTATCAGCGGTTAGATTTGAGACCGGCAGTATCTGAGTATTGAGTCTCTTGACTTGGTACTTGGTGAAAATCAAAGTTGTGCCGCCTCGCTGAGGCACAAGGTTTAAGGGGGTTCATGTATCTAGTTAGCAACCGAGTTTGTCCTGTACCTACCGTATCTAGCTCGAGAACTTCAGACAGGAACTGAGGTTGTTTTGTTCGTGTTGGATCTTGTATGCTTATGATCTTTCCGCGTGAATGCTCGAGTGTTCCTCCTTTTACCGTCAGCGGTTGTCGGTTATTAACCCTAACCCTACCCATCTCCCACCTTTACCCCTTTTTTTTGTGAAGGAGGATGAATAGCAGATCATAGGTTGCTACAACACGGAACTACGCAATACCCAGTCATCAATGTACTTGTCCTGTCGACCTTGATTTCATGCTGTATTAATTAGAGTCCATGTTGGAGAAATTATTTGCAGCTTTGGGCAATACTCTATCTCAAAGGGATTGTTGTAGGGAGACTGTCAACAAAGGGGTGGATCAAAGCTTAAAATGATGTCAAAGCGAGCTAGAATTATTGGGAGATCTAATTAGCCACTGGCGTTTATTGTGTTTTTACCAATATTAAGTGCCCGGGAGGTGGTTTTGATGGTTAGCATTGCCGGGTAATAGTTTAGATCTTATTTACTACGTCGTCTGGAAGCGAGGGTTCAATCCGCGCGCCTGATATTTCTCCGATCCCTTCTATCATACCCTAGAATCCCTGACGAGATGTTGGCTTCTATCTCTTAAAGTCAGTACGCAGTAACTTCACGTTCAGGATGTCAGTGCTACCGTCCCAGGGGAAAGTCGACACCTTCAAGGTTGGTTAACACCGGATTTCGTTCAGTGCCGTGGACTCGGTCGTTCGGCACTCCTTGGATAGTCTCCCACGTAATTATGCGGTTCCGTTCTGGCGTTGCCTGTCCCCATTCCACAAATATCTGAACTGTAAAATCACTGCAATCATCTAAATAATTTCGTTTCCCCTTTTCCCTTCTCATATGGCCCTCCAGCTAGTCCTCGCCTCGGCGGCTTTGCTCGACCGTGTCTGTTTGAATCACCGACTGACCAAGCAGGAGGCTGCTTTGTGTGAAATCAAGATGAGATGAAAGTCAGCCCTCATCCCGCCGCCAAAACCCACGTTCCTGCCCTCCCTCCTTGTTCAGGGTATATAACTTCCCGGCGCAGTACCAGTTTTCAACAACTTGGGAGTGATCTGGCGGCTAGTTCAATGGTTAACCGATCCTCGCTCTCTTAGGAGGTCCTTGGGTCAATTCCCAGGCACAGTCTCTCTTCACAGCTTCTTAGAGTAATCTTGGTACGCTAGATTCGAGTTTAAACGCGATGTAGGCCCTGTGTCGGGAATACTCCTGAGAGGCGAGACCTCGGGACGCCCTTGGAAAGATGTTAGATTACTCCCTCTCTAGCCGGCTAATCTTTTTTATCTTTTTCTCCTTTTTTCGTCTTTGTATTTTAGTAGTTCGTGTTGGGTTTTGCTTTTGGGTCTTTAACCAAGTCAATATTTGTGGGCGGTGATCAATAATGTGGTGTTTTCGCTCCTTCCCAAATCTCGTGAAGCCCTTCCGCGCGCGCCCACCACTGCATACTCGAGTTGTTCCACGACCCCAAAGAATCTTGAAAATTTTTCAGCCCAAATCTTGTGGTGTTTCCCTGTTTTTACTTCTTTTCCCCGGGTTTCTTCTGTTCTTCAAAACTTTCAACCATCGACAACGTGCAACGTAGTTTTCCACCTCAACACCAAAAAATCTTTGCATTCTCTCTCAACTTCTCCCACCCTCATTTCAGACATTTTTACTGATTCTCTCAAAATCTTATGTCATTTTCTTCAGACGAAACGAATTAAAACAAAAAAAACCACCACAATGACTACCGGGCACCAGAAAACGACCAAGAACGTTGAAGCACGCAGGCGCGAGCAGCAGCGCAAGGCCTGGAAAGCTGGGCGGAAAAGAAAACAACCTCCTGCACAATACCGTCTCAGAACTCACATGCCAAGGGCCGGCATGATTTATTACTCCGATAGTCCCATCATGAACAACACGCGCAAGGAATATGCGGTAGCCAAGCGCCTCAAACGGGTCATGCCGGACCCCAAAAGCCTCGACCGCCGGACCGTCGACGCAACCTTCGCGCAGATTTTCAAAGAGGCCAAGGCGGTCCTACAAAAAGCCAACACTGGTAACGACACCGTCACCGGGGCGTCCACAAACGACCCCATCGCCTTCATCATCCAGTTGAAGGCGAGCCCGGCTCTGAAGACCTGGACGAGCGATCTCTTCCCCAACCACTTCATCCCGCTTTTCCTCCTCCTGCGCGGTGCCCGCCAAAAGTGGCACAAAAGCCCACGCGCCCCCTTCAATGTCGAGGAGCACACCAAAACCGCCCGCGCCATCGATGAGTTCGAGGCGGTCAGCAAGTTCGTCTGGAACACGTCTTTTGTTGCCTTTTGGTTGATCCGTGCCGGCCTCATTGGCCCCCTCACGTGGCGGGAGACGAACAAGGACGAGGTGGAGAGTGGGGATGAGCAAGAGGAGAGGGGCCAGAACGGTAACAATGGCAATAGCGGGGACGATGACAACGTGTTCGTCGTCGGGCAGCAGACCGGCGACCCGGGCGGATCTGGACAAGATGAGAAGATGAACGACGACGACGTTTTGCGGGCTATGAACGATGCGTTCAAGCAATTTGGTATGGATTTTGCTGTTGGGGATTTGCAGGATGTCCTTGCGCGCTTGCGCATTCAAGAGGAGGGGACCGCCGCGGCCGCCGCTGACTCTGTCCCCGGTGATCAGGAGCAGCAGTCGGCCAACCCATCCCTCGAGGGGGAGGTGGTGGAAGAGGATCAGCCGGGCAACCCATCCCTCGACGAGGAGGTGGTGGTCGAGGAGGAGGATCGCGACGGGGACGTCCAGATGGCGGACGCTTAACGAGGTGGATAGCGAAGGAGGGGGGCGTTCGGCTGGGGGTTTGCAGTGGTTCGGTTCTTGCTTTGTGTGGCGGGGACTTTGGCGTTTTGGCGATGGGGGAGTCAATCGGGCCTATGTCCTCGGCGAAGGCATAGCAGGTGACACTTTGTTGGTAGACTGTAGATCACGACCTGGAATGTAGGGAGAGAAATGCTATTGTATTGTATTGTATCGTCCTGGGCGTCCCGTCTAAATCGATTGTATCGTTGTGCAAGTCGATGGAGTACATTCCGGACATGCAAGAGGAAAGTAGATCACTGCCATACCTCCCCTTACCTTCGTCAAAGCCACAACACTACCGTGCCCGCTTACCGTATACCTAAAACAAACACTTGTCGTGTTCTTACGATTCAGTTTTTACGTGTTTGCAGGTGATTCGGCGTAAGTTAATTATCGGAATTGTGCTCTTGACACTCTGGGTCACGTAGTTTTGTTGTGGTTGGATTGCGTTGTAGTTTTGGGCGATTGTTTAATACCCGCGGGCGGTATCCTAAAAGATAAAAACGATCAGCATGCAGACTCTTCTATCAAATTCTTGTCCCCAGAAAGGCCGTATTGGCGACGGTAGGCAGTCTCCACCGACAAACGTAATGATCGATAGGTCCACCGCGTAGGCACCGCGGCGCGCGTCTTCTTGTCGAAGACGTGTTTTCCCACTGATTGAATCTCCGGCGTTATCTTCTAAGCCTCCTCGATCGCAGGGCAGATGCGATGCTCGGCGTTGATATATCGAAGGAGATCTAACATATCTCCAATCATGGTGCCAACAGTCTGTGAAGTTGTGAACCGTTAGTCGATCGCTCCAGTTCCAATTTCCAAATTGCAAAAACACTCACGGTGTTGCAGTCGACATATGCACGGCTGCAGGAGTCACGTGGTCAATGTACATTCGTACTCTGTCGACCTAGACGTGTCGGTTTCACATCGGTGTTAATTCTTTGTACCTGCTATGTTAAGAAAACACCTCGGCAATGTCGTTGAGGTGATTAACGTTTTGAATCCGTCAAGCAACTTAGAATTCCCAACTACTTCAAATAACTAAACGAAAATATTGATTGGTCAGCTCAGAGTCATTCATTCTAAATCTGGAAACTAAAATGGCCGAAACCATCGCTTCGTCTTAAAACACATCTGCCCTATCTAATTCAAGGTGATGACGGCGGCGTCTGGCGGCGGCATGGTGCTTCCTTCCCCGGCCTTCGTCCCAATTAAGGCCAATTCATACCCTTTTGGTCCAAGATTTTAAAGAACTTAATAAGTGGGAACTCGGTTAGAAGGTTGGTCCTCCCTTCCATAATTGATTCTTGTCGACGGCACAGATGGCGTGGCCAGGTGGGGCACGGCATTCGCCGGGCCGGTGTGCAGGGAGTTGAGAGCTTCTCCACTGGACTTTTCGAAAGGTCTGTTGTTGATGTTGCCGTGCCGAGCGTGCTTACTTTGATCTTGAGACGGGTTGACATTGACTGTGTTCTTCTTGCGGGGCGGAGATGCACCTTCTCCTTCTTGGTGTGCCAGGGGCAGAAGCGATGTGACCGTACTATGGGCGATGCTGGGTGGTGAAGCGATGCCCGCGTGGACAAGCTTGGCAATGCCTCGGTAGTGTACAGCGGGATCCCATTCGGTGATGCGGATATGGAACGTGAGTCTCGTTCGCTGCCACAGTAGCATACATTCTGGGGCCACTTCACCAAGGTACCTCACAGCGAAGGTACTGTGCTAGGTTTGCTAGGGCTCTGGGATTTCTGTTGGCAACGCAACATGCGTCAAGCATGCGTCCGTTCAAGATGATAGTCCCCACCCTACACAGTCTGTATTACACAGCATCTGCCGGATTTCGGATTGGGGATGCGGATACGGGACCCACGGCACCGGGTTGGTGGAGAGGTGGGATGCAAACTGAAATGATCCTCATGGGGATATTATTAGCGTGTGTTGGGTTGACATCCACTTCCCGAACACGGTAGCGAGCGACTGGCCACGCGCTACCGGTAACTAAATTATTTCCGCAACGAGGAGATCGCAACGCAAGCACGACCTCGGCCAACCTACACTAGTGTTCACCTTCCGGGCCTGGGTTGTCCAGATCTCCAAACATGGAGATTCCTGAGTCGGTTATGACTCGAGTTTCGTTGAATCCGGGCCGCCGGGGCCCGTTGGGAGGTCGATCCGCCATGCCCGAAGAGGAAACCCGAGGTACGTACCCGGAAGATTTGGGAACTGGGGTAAACGGTGAAACGGCCTGGACTCAAAAAAAGGTCGGGAGCAGGAGGATTTAATGTTCTGACATCTCAAGGATGCCGCACAACGATGGCGGCCCTCCGCCCGCCGACTGGACGAGTCTGGGACGTAATTATGCTCCATAGTGTACACGTACCCCATCACTCGAGTGCGTCGTTCCACTTGCGATGCCCCCTTCGAGTAGCCCTCCGTGCCTCGTGCCATCACCCAACGTGCCGGCAACGCTCCCGAATCCGTGGCCACGGGCGGCGGGACCACCCCGCCGACGACCAACAATTGACGACCCGCGCGAGCCGACCTCCATGTGTGCGGTTCCAGTAGATGTCCATTAACAGAATGGCGGCCGACCACGCATTTTCCAGTGGACGGTCAACAAGACTCTCAGGCCCTTTGTCCCTGAAGCAACCCACATTTTTGCAACATACCCTCAAAAGGTCCACCTGCGCTAGCATGTTATCGTTACTACGTTACCTCGTTGCGTCTTGGTAGCGCGGTGAACCTCGGAGTTATGCATGGATGCCCGCCCATGTTGGCAGCCATGACGGCGCCCATCAAAGACAACATGGGGGATTTGGAATAGGTGAATAGGGGCCGGAAATGACGTTGCCTGAGCACTGACACAGTTGTGTATCTCCGTAAATATTTAAGCACTATTAAAGCTGGAAAAAACAGCGCAGCGCCGTGAGAACTTATTGTGGTCAACTTGGGATGCTGTTGCAGAATCTAGTTTAAACGAGGAATCAGTTCCCCGGAAATGGTCGGAGAGGGAAATGCAAGTTTCATGACGGGCACTTCATCGCGTGCGTGACGGCAAGGTGGTTGGATTGGTGCGATTAACAAAAGCGCGAGGTCGAAAGACGAAAACGGTCCTGCGAAAATTGTTCTCAGTCTGGGATTGGTTGAGATTCAAGAAACCCAGTCCGACCTGGACCTGGGCGCCCGAACATCTTGCGCAGTGAGCGTTCACCTGGCAGGTTGGCGCGCTGGGCAGTTTCTTTATCTCTGAGCTCCCAGATACCCTTCTGCACTTGCCTCCGCGGAAGGACCGCCCTGGACATCCATGGGCAGACCGCTCCCCCACCTACCTAACTCGGTCAAGCCTGCCATGTTCGCCATCGCATTTTTGCCCCACCTGCCCACTAACTTGTTCCTTCGTGCTGCAGGAACGATGCGCCAGCGGCCAGGCATCACTTTTTTCGGCCACTGCTCGGGGAAGTCACGACCAGAGCACGCACTGGAAGCTCGTCCCGTCTCCCACCTGCCCTGGGCCATGTGTTCACCCGCCCACTGCCGAGTCCCAAACTGTGTGCGTCAAACCCGGGCCATCTCCGTTTGCACCATCGCAACCCGGAACCAACCCCTAGCCAGTCACTATCATCACAGCGAGCACGAGCGCAGACATTGCCCTGGTCTTCTCTGACCAATTTGCTCGGTCTGGAACTGGGAAAATTTGGGAGACAACCAGGGGCCACGGTTCGTGCAGCCGCATGTTTCTGCATTACTTGCATCTTTTCGAGGCTCTGAATGCCATCACTCTGTAAAAAGTATGCGGGTTAAGGTTGGTACATGTCCCAAGCCGCGCAGTGAATCGGTGATGGATCGGGTTTGGTGTCTTCTGGGAACCGTTGCGGGCACCGCTCCCGCCAGCACGGGAGCGAGTGATTGGTGTCCAGACCTCTCACACACAACCTGGAACTCGACCGCACCCTGCCGGCCGCCAGGGCCCACGATGGATCTGCAACTTGGCGATTGGTTTCACCCGCGGTGAACCCGGACGGCGCAGGACTCGAACAAGGTCTCCCACAAAACAGTCTGGCCCAGCGAGCCCAGATACCCTTCAGCGGCCGGGCCAACTCTGGGGAGCCACGAGGTGGGATTCACTACCCCGTCTACGGGTTTCCTCCGATGCCCACTGCTAAACAATATGGGGTTCAGCCGGATGACACAGCAAAGTTTTGACTTTTAGGGCCCGACTCCAAAGGACCGCGGCATTCACGGCAATAACGGAGATTCTGTGTCGAGGGAAAGCGGCACAGCCAAGGACGGATTAGAGGAATGTTTTTCCCCGGGCGAAGGAAGCTAGTGTCGAAGAAAAAAAAAAGAACGGAGCACGACAGGCGTCATGGGCGGGCCGGGACTCAACCCGAACTCACCTATGAATGGTTTCAAGAAAGCGCCAGCGGCACAGCAGCGCCTCTCCCGCCCAGACCACCGACACAACGTGTCCCCCATCTGGTTACTCTGTCTTCCCACAGCAAGCTTAAACAGAATCCGCATTCAGGGACACCATGGGGTCCCCCACTCCCACCCGACCCTTCCATGTAGCGGCACGTCCGCGGCACATCATCGGTTTCGCCGTCTCTCCCTCCTCCCCTCCTAAAGTTCCCGTTTGGATTGCGGGTGTTGACAGGGGTCTGTGTTGTGCCCCCCTTGAACCTGGTCTATCTGCAGGACCAGACCATGGCCAGTGGAGCGCATCTTGCCCCCCCCCGAGCTAGGTTGTGGGAACCCCAAGGAGGTTGAGAAGGCGGAGAGAGATAGATACATAATAACCATTGCCCCGGATTCATGGCAAGGAAGAAAAGTCACCTCCGGACTCGACGACGTTGCACCCACAGGAAACGGAACCAACCCATCGGATCGATACGTGGATCTCTCGCCTTGAAGTCACCCCCTTGAGACGACGAACAGGCAGTCAATAAACAGCAGTTGTTCTCCATCATGACGGTCTCGTCCCCACGAACGCGGCCTGCTGACGGCCCCCTTCCACCCATGCCTCGCCGGCAGTCGTGCGACCGGTGCCACGAGCAGAAAGTCCGTTGTGTGACAGAAGGGTTGGATGGCGCTATCACGCTCGGAGGGGTCATTCACGAGAACGATGCGAAGTCGGACGGTCACGTCGTCTCATTGGTGCCGTGTGTTCGTTGCCGGAAGGCCGGCGCAGTTTGTGCCTACAGCCGTGAGTAACTCGGACTGAATGAACGTTGTGGAAGCTTCAGCAGGTTAACGACGTGTCTAGCACAACTACGCTCTGGCCGCCCAAGACGTCGACATGATCTAGCTGCGCCCCCGGCCAAGAAACGTGCCAGAAGGGCCTCGAAATCCTCCTCTACTGCTTCATCTCCCACATTATGCCAACCCTCTCCACCATCTTCACTTCGCCGAGCAGCGACTCTTCCCAACTCGCTCAGCAGCGTCGGGTTAGGCCAATTAGAACCATTAGAAGAGGCAGAGTGCCACTCTCAACAATCACCATCGTCGTTTCGACAAAGCACACCACTCCCTTCGCCCACGGTGGCCTCACCACCACTGTTCGAGCCGACAAGTCATCCCAACGCACTGCTTGGCACCCCTCCTCTCACAGAGCACTGGGAAACGACACCATATCGTGCCGACAGCACCCACCCGATGATGGGAGGTATGTGCCAGATGGCAACATTTGCAACAATCCCTAGCGTCCCGACTGCGCCCCTTTTCCCGGATTCCACAACCCACATGGTCCCGCCCACGGAACACGCCATGGATAGCTATACATGGGGCTTCCCAGCGACCTCAGATAATTTGCTCCAAGAGCTGGGGGACATCGACTTTCGCATTCACCAAGCCAGGCGCGGGCTACTATTACCACATTGCACGCCAGCACCGTGGTCGTCCCCCGGGGTGAACGAGGCATTTGATGCCGCTTGCTCTCTAGTCGATGTTGTGGACCGCTTCGCAGCCAAACGGCGAATGCCGTCCTCCGATGTCCACTTGGCGGGCATCGAAACCGCCTTGGAAACCTCAACGCGACTAATGATCCACTCCTGCCACGAAGCACTCTTGGGTATCTTCGAGCACCTGTCGGCATCGTTGCTTTCTCATCTTTCGCACCCCCAACACCAGCAAACACCCCCACGAACACCACCCCACGCCGCCGCGTTTCTCCCGCAACAGGGGAATCCGCAAGCGGCAATCGTGGCCAATTCGATCCGGCATCTTATCAGCCAGCTAGACCGCGCGATTTTGTCTCTTTCGGGGACGTACTACAACACACAACCACCACAACCACATCATCAATCTGAACATGAAACGCTCTCTATGGCGAACCTGATGGGCCACACATCACAAGTGTCTGGGATACCGGTCACGTATGGAGGAGGGGATGAGAGCTGGCTCGGGAATAACGTTACTGGGAATCCACTCTTCAACGAGATGGAGCAGAGACAGGCACGGGTTGGTGGGCAAATCAAGACGGTTGAGCGGTTGCTAAGGCAGCCGATCGTAGCATGAAGCAAGCATAATGACGAGAGATAATGGGAGCTAGGAAGAAATCGGGACTCGCATACAACGGTTGGATAGGTACATGTACATACATACATAGCGCAATGTTAATGATGACGCTTACGGATTTCTCAATGCTTGCTTTCTTGTTTTTGCGGTGATCTTGAGAGTTTCAAGTCTCCGGTGTCAGCGGGAAAGCTGGTGGATTCCGCGCAGCATGCAGCAGTCAGCCACACGGCCTGTGCTGACCCGTCTTGGAGAGTATGGGTTGCATTGCCTCCCGTCCAGATCTGCCTCGGAACGAAGCAAACCTAATCGGCCGGCGGGTCCTTCGAACATTCTGCGCAGCTTGGCGCAGCGCCGGATTTGCCGATGGATATCGAGACGGAACAAAGCACGCCAACGTTGACGTCTCGAGTACATACATCATACCTCATACATCATCAGCAGGACTCAACAAACCCCCCGAGGCCGACGAAAACAAGACAATACGCGTAGTTTTAGCCCCCCCCACTTCCCTGTTCTCAGGAGGTCGTAACTGCCTTTTTTGGAAAATCTCGGCTTTTTCCCGCGCGAGTCCGTGCCAAGACCGGGGTGCCACGCCCTTGCGTTTCGCTCTCCCCTCCATCTCAAATGGAAGGAAGAAGAGACAGATTCCTCAACCTGCAGCGGAGCCAGTCGGAGTACAATACCGACGGCTTACCCACCTCCAAAGGCTGAAGAAAAAAAAAGTTGTTCAACGGAACCCTCGGATTGTTTCTTCCCTTTCTGTGCATCGAAGCGAAACGGAAAAGAGAAAAGAGAAATAAAAACAATTCCATGAATGAACGCCGCCCGGTTATTCTTTTTCCCTCTTCCCCCTTGGCTGACTGAGACCTAACTCTGTCCGTCATTCGATCCTTGGTACCCCTTACCCAAGCCTAACCTGATTCCCTTCCCAGCACATCAACCGGTTAACCACGTTCTATCTGTCGTCCGATCTCTGTCCCTTTTCAAGCCTCGCACATAAAAAAGGACGACACAGCCCTCGGTAACCACAATCCAATCTCCCCCAACTCCTACTGTGTATGTAACTAACCCCCCCCCCCTGACGGCCGGCTCCGCCCGTTCCGCCTTACCTCACCTTCCTCAACTTGCCTTACCTCAGCCGCGCCAGGAAAGAAGTCAGGGGGCTTATGGCGCGAGTTCAGATCAAAAGGGTAAACGGTCAAACAGAGAAAAGGGGGGAGTGGGGGTGGGGGGATGGTGTGAACGGGTGTGGTGGTTCGTTGTGGTGGAGGGGCACACTGCTGCTGCTCCTGCTGCTGCTGCTTGCTGCATGGAGTTAAAAGATGCGCGCTGCAACTGCTCTCGCGTTGTCACCCACCCTTGAACGGCCACCTGCCTTAAGTGGGGGAGTGAACTCTGCGGGGCGGGAGCGGGGATGGGGTTCCGGAGAAAGAGCTTATCGAAAAAGAGGGTGTCAAAGCTCGGCGAGGCGAATAAGGGGATCTTTTTATCTGTGCTGTTTGTTGACTGGCTCGCATTTTCGGGTTGAATCGCGTTTTTATGCCCTCTTTTTTTTGAAAAGAGAAACGAACCCGCTCCTTTCGGGCATTTCTTCCCCCCTCTCCCCCCCTCATTCTTCGGGTCTTTTTTTTTACTTGTCTCCTTTTTTTCCTTCGTATCCTACTAATTTTTTGTCCGGTTCCGCGTTCCGCGCAACGCCACGCATGGTGGTTCGTTCCACTGCCGCTTCTCGATGCCGAATGATGCTGTCAGCAATCCTCCCATGCCTTCCTATTGCTCGCGGAAACCCGGCACACAAGGCGCGCGCGTGCGCGCACCGGAATGGGTATACAATCGGTTCATGTCAGGAATTTTTGGTGATGGATTTTTCGTGATGCCTGTCGCCGGTGTGCGGGAAACATGGTCGGCGATGAGGCGGCCCGCAGGTCGGCGAGGAGAGCGGGATGGAAAGTTGGTGCAGGGTAAGCAGTGAATAGCCGAGCTGCGGAAATCGAGCCGCTCCCGGCGTTCGGTTCTTTAATTTGTTTTCCTCGGTTTTTCTTGTCGATTTTCTTCTCGGTTTTTCCCTCGTCTAACGGTATTTGCGTGTTGTTGAGTTGCGTTGAGACAACGCAATCCAATCCCTGCTGATCGTGTCGTGCGATAACGTTAAACTCATTCTTATTAATAGAACGCGGCCGCGACAAGGATGACGGACGTTGAAGAAGGTTGGCCAAAGAGGTTCTCAGAAACCCTAACCCTAAAGCGTGTAACTCGGTTGCTCGGGCTATTCCTCGCGCCAAGTGATAAGTTCCGTCGCCAAGGAACGGGACAGGACATACGAATTGTCGACTACATGTCTATCAGTATCGTTCTATTATGTAAATGACCTCGTGCTCGCCTCCAAAAACCCGAAAGCAGCCCGGGCTATCGTTCACTCCGAATCACACCTCTCAGACCCGAAGCCACAGTTTTGAAACGTCAGACGTCTCTGATAGTTCGTCATGGTAATTACTTTTGTGTCCACGAAGCGAGCAGCGAGCTCTTGAAGTGGCCGACCTCGTTACACTACCTCGCGTAGTTTCCGAGATGCATCCGACATAAATTAACCAAAAACTCAGCAAGTCCGGCTCAGCGCTCCGATGCAGCGGAGTTAAATTTGATTTAACCCCGGCGAGGCCGAATGCCGGGCCCGAACGCCACGGGCCGGGCGGTTCGAACCTTGAAGTTTTGAACCAATGCCGAGACCTCGCACTGGTGACCATCTTTGGCTAGGTTGGTAATCGCCCGGACTTGATTTTTATGCTTGGCCGCGGACTTCGGATTGGTGAGAAGAAGTAACGTCACCATGTCCGAACTGGCTTTCGTCGGGTAGAAAAAGCTTGTTTGCGAGGTAGTGAGACATGCTGGGGTGGAGAGGTACGGAAACGTGGGAGAGGTCGTGGGGAGAGTGGGCAGCAACTAAGACGTTATTGGGTAGATTTCATATTTTCTTTCGACCTTCCAAGGAAGTTAACAGGAGAGAAGGATTAAGGCGAGTGTTACATTTCACTTCTAGTCTCAGGAGTGTACGCTACCGGCTTCAGTTACATGACTTATCACAAGTCACTGATTGGGGCGCAAAGAATTCAAAACACCACTTATACATTCTCCCACCGACTAAACTAAACTAGAGCACTCAGCACTACTTCGTACCCCCCGCGCATCTCACTCCCCCATCCTCCAGCTACCCCCACTCAAGAGTCAACATCCGTGGGCGGTCAGAACTACCCCCTTGGGCCTTTAGCTGCACCCGTTAGCACGGTTCGACAGGCACTGCGTAGCACAAGTGCCAGCCAAGTTAACATTCCGGGCCAGGCCCGAAACAGACCCGCCCGAGTTGCACTGGCCGATGACCTTGTTAGCGGCATCATACAGGTCGCCGTAAAGCAGGTTGCCGTCGACCTCAACCGACCAGCTGGCGCAGCACTGATTGTTGTTCTGGCCCTGGCACACAGCGCGCGGGCTGCGCGACACCGTGTTGCCGCCGTTGGCCTTGAGAGCCGACAGTAGCGCCTGGCATACGCCGTTGCTGGCTTTGTGGCTGCCAGAGCATTTCACGTCGTTGGTGCCGCAGTCGCGCTTGGTGTTGGCGTTGGCGTTGGCGAATTCGACGGCGGCCTTGGTCAGGCGGGTGTGGGGGTTAGCTGAGGACGGCTCCGGGGAGCCGTACCAGACTAGGTCGATGCCGTTGATGGTTTCGGTGCCGATGGGGACGAGGTCTTGGACGGAGTCGGTGGTGGTAGTGGTGGTGATGGGGCTGGCGAGAGCGCCGGAGACGTAGGCCAGGATGGCGAGAGCGGTGGTGCTGGTGAAACGCATTTCTAGGGGAGTTATTAGTTCTGGAAAATTAGACCAAGGGGGGGTGGCTATCAACTACTCACTGGATGATGAAAGCGGAAGCTCTGATTGAAGCGGGAGCTTGGGTGTTGGAGTGATGTTGGTGAAGTAGAAGACTTGTTAGAAGGCTGTCGATGCTGGAAGCTGAGGACTGAGTGCTATCTGTCTTCTGTTTCTCTCCCCTCAAACTGGCCGTTCACCTCTCCTTTATATTTTTCTCTACCCTCACAACATCGCCTTCCCCCAGACCTTCTGCATCATCTCCATCATCTTCATCGCGACTCGCGAGAATCTCAGGCCTCCCACAACCTATTCCAATTACTCAACACACCGTTACCCCGGCACCGCCAAATTGATTCAAAGCTGACTGGATCCCATGGTCCCAAAAGTGTGAATAGCGACAAATAGCTACAGATGCGGCAAGTTCAACCGCGATCCCCTCGGCCGTCGGCGTTCTCGCACTCCGCCAGGTGACCAGCACCGACTTTCTCTCTACGGCCGTAATCTCCGCGCGCGCAAGTAAGTAATCACGTCGATAACTGTCGGTTGAGCCTCGCGGTTGTCGAGGACAAATTTGGAGATTGATGACCAATGTCTCAGCCGGGTCAGCCTCTGCAGTCAGCGTGTGTGGACAGTGTGGTTGAACAAACGGAAAGAAAAAGGCTGCCTGGCGATGACGATGCAGGTGTCTACTGTTTCTACTGAATCTCACTTTCAGGACAAGACATGACAACACCGCCAATGAGAATGAGTTGTGGGTTTGTCTCCTACTCAGCCCTGTGGTTGTCTTACAATGAGTGGCTCACGCCGGGAATTGTAGGGGATCGGCAACGGTTATAACCTTTTTTCATCATCGAGATTCCAAAGCTTTATTCAGCTCCCTTGTCTTACCCTAGACCAATTGTTTGTAGAGGAGGCGACTGTGGTAATCTGTGATTCCAAAGGCAGACCGACCACTAAGTAGTTGGTCTGGATTGCTCGGACTTCGCGTGTTGTCGTCCTCCGCCCGAATGTTGTCATTGATTTCCTTTCTTCTTTTTCTTCGACATTCTCACGGTTCATTCTCTCATTTTTATTCCCCGATTTTCCATTTCCTCCCTAATTATATTTTTCTCCCTTTTTATTCACCCACCCTTGACTCCCCCCCGTTTGATGTGAGGAAACTCCTAACGCGAGCATAATTAACCCTAACCCCCTATCACCGAAGAGAAGAACGAGACAACGACAAAGGGTAACACTCTCTCGACTGCGTGCCCCATGAAACCTCAAGCTATGAGTGCAGTACCGTAATGTATGGCACAGGATGAGATAGATATTTTTAAGTCTTGGCAGCACTTCCACGCAATTGGCCACCACCCGCCATCTTCGACTAATTAATTACACCTTTCCCTCTTTGCCTTCCAACCTCTCTCATCCCTCCTCTCTTTAACACCCGTCTACATCCTCCTTTCCAGTTCCAAGCCCAAAATGAAGACACAACGAAGTCAGCAGCTCCAACCAGAGACAAGTCCATTCCATCACTGCTTACAGGAGCCATCTACACAGTATGGAATCCTCCATAGTAAGCCCATCGGCGAGTTTTCCCTGGCTCCGAGCGCCGGCCCCACTTCGGCCCGTTCCCGTTCCCGTTCTCGTTCCGCATTCCACATTTTCGGAGTCCAGACGGGGGTGGACCCACCTACCTAATACCTATCGTCGGGCCTGCACGCTTTTGCAGGGCCAAGAGTGATGCTTTGACCTGCAATAGAGCAAGTTGAAGTTCCGAGTAAGTAGACGACCGAAACAGATCAGGTCAATGCAGTGAAGTTGATTTACCATAATCCATATCCGTAGTACGGTTGTCACAGGACTTGGGTGAGTTTACGATTGAGTTGGATGCAATTGTAACTGATATGTTACCTATGCTATACTATGCCATGCCATGCTATGTATGCTATGCAATCTGATTCCCCTTTTCCAGCCCGATCAGGGCAAACAATCTATGGACACTCGCTTTGGATCTAGCCCAGCAACGCACTCCCTCCTCCAAGTCTCAGACCCTCGCTTTTTTAATTCTCTATGCTAAGGTACGCGACCAACTTCTCAGTCCCCGCTCCATGTGCTGGCTAGCCAGTATTAGCAGCCAGGCAATTAACCCCGAATGCCCCTCATAGCCTCTTGGTAGAGCTCCTCATACGGAATCTCCCCCCGGTTCGGCATAGTAACCTTGGTGACCTTCTCCGCCTTCTTAATCTTCTCCTCCAACTTTCGGGCCTCAGCCCCCTCACTATCCGCATCCTGCTGCAGTCGCCGGGCAGTCTGCTTCTTGCCGGCGGCGTCGGCCTCGGCGGCAGCCTTGGCCAGCTCGGCCTGGCGCGTGGCGTGGTTGCGCATGGCAATCTTGTCGTGGAAGATGGGCAGCTTGATCTTGGACTTGACGGGGGTGTGCTGGACGGAGTCACGCGGGATGAGCTGGTTGGCGTGGCGCTGGCTGGCGAGCAGGCCGCCGAGCACGAAGGCCTCCATGACAGTGCTCAGGCGCGAGGGGTCGATGCCGCCGAGGTCGCCGGGGGCCGCGCCGAAGATGCGGTGGCGGTGGGCGGCACGGTTGTAAGGGGGCATTTGGTTCTCGGGGGCCATGATGCCCAGGGAGCGCATGAAGTCGTCGCCCGTGGCGCCCATGGCAGCGCACAGGTCGTAAGCGAGCACCTTGATCTTGGGGGCGGCGGCGTGGAAGGGGAGACCGCCGGCGCGGCGGATCTCGGCGGCCTCGGGGGAGTTGGGCGCGAGGCCGAGGCGGGTGTTGAGGTACCAGTCGACGTTGAGATGGGGCAGGAAGGGCCAGTTGAAGGGGTCCCAGTAGAACTTGAACTCGAGGCGCATCCAGAGCCACTCGAGGTGGGCACCGATGGGGCCGATGTCGAAGAGCGAGGTCATGAAGGTGCCCGAGAGGCGGGAGGCCATGGCGAGGTTCTTGGAGTACCCATCCGAGGGCATCCTGTACGTGGCCAGGCAGTCATGGTAGTTCCGCGCCTGCGTCATGTGGAACTCGTTGTTGGTGACCTTGGGGGTCGGGGCAATCTTGACGACCGTCTTGGGTCGGTTGTTGGCGGTGGTGGCCCTGCCGCCGCGGCTGGCCGATGTCGTCGCGGGGGGCACGGTCTCGACGGAGACCTCGTAGCCGCCCTGCGAGACGCACTTGGCAAAGTTGCCGTCGTGGAAGTCGGCCTTCTTCTTCTGCTGGTAGAAGAACTCGCCAATGTCCTGCAGCGACGAGAGCATGAGGGCCGTGACCTCCTTTCCGCGGTTGGCCGCGAGGACCTGGGGGATCAGGGTGCTGGCGGGGGGCGCGCGGTTCCGGTTCCACGGGCCGCCGGCGAAGGTCGCGTTCTTGAGGCCGTAGTAGAAGTCGAAGGTGTGCTTCGACAGGTCCTCGACGCCCGGAGTGCCTTGGCCGACGGGGATGTGGCCCAGGTTGAGCAGCTGGAGGACGGTCCTCAGGAAGTTGACACGCTTCTCCGCAGGCTGGTGGTTCGCAACGAACCCGACCAGCTCGATGGCCCCCATGCGGTGCATCTCAGCCAGGAAGATGATGGCCAGGAGATCGTCATAGTCCTGCTCGACGTCGGTGAACACAAAGATCCGGGGCTTGTCAGCGTCCGAACGCGCTTTGACCAGATTCTGCAGGTTCTGGTAGATCTGGAAGTACTCCTTCTGGTTGCCCGTGTTCCTGAAGGGAATACCGTTGTTAGGAGGCGCAGGGGCAGCCTGGGCAGACGATGAGGGCTTGGGCCGCGATGGGATGCTGGACGAAGAAGCGGCCGTAGAAGCGGTCGCCGTGGTCCGGCGCGCCGAGTTACTGGTAGTGGTAGACGTGGTCGACGCGCTGGTGCTGTTGTTGTTGCTGTTGTTGCCTGCGGCGCTTGCTCTGGGGCGCCTCTGGACCGGCGGGGTGCCGTTTCCGGATTCAGTGTTGCCCTGTTGGGCCCTGCGAAGAGGGGCAGACATCGTGTTGGTTGGTTGGTTTGTTGGTACCTGTACCTTGAGTGTATCGAAGTGGGTTGGGGGAGCGCTGAGACGACGAAGAGATGTGGGAGCTGCTGATGGGTGGGGAAAGGGCTATGAGTTTACGAACTGAACAATGAAGCTTTTGAACGTTAGCTGAGTGAGGAAGGCGTGTGATAGAATGATTCGGAGATAGTAGCACAACACCCGGTTGGTCACGTCGTTAAATACCTATGTTGACCCCAGGGAGCCTGCCATGGTAATGATCCATATCGGCCACTATCATGGTCAACACCAAGACCCTAGACTAGCCTCAGCCGTCGACACAAGACCTGAAGGATTCCGTGAAACCGACGTGTAGCGCCGACGTGACTGCTGGTGAGACCGAGCTGTTTCAGTCCTTGTAGTTCCGAATGGAGCCAGCAGCCAGCAGCCAGAAGCTAGAAGCCAGCAACTCACAACCCGCAACCACCAGCCAGCAGCCGTGGGCCGAGGGTGATGGCCGACATGGCCGGCGTGGCCACGGGGGCACGGGGGCACAAGAACCGATGGATGGAACCTAGAAGCAGGGTCTGTTGCCTACTTGATACCGAGGAGGGCAAAACGTTGGGGGAAGGTACTGCAAACTGCTGGCCTAAAGGCCCATAGGCAGGTGTGTTGGCGCCACATGGCATATGGGTGAGACCGGCACTGGACAGCCACACTGGCTTCGTCTCGGCGGCCCGGTTGGCGTCGTCTCCGGGTGGACCGTGGTTGGCGGGTAGGCCGGATAGTCGGTGACCCGCAGCGTTGGGTGCTCGGCTGTGGAACACAATGACACAGTGGGATCCTCTCACTGAGGATTGTTCTAGGAAAGATAATCCAAGGCCAAAAGTTTAAATCCTTAGACCCCAAATAAGACGGAACCATATTGATGGGTAATGTGGGTTTGTGGCCGTTCTCGGGCAGAGGGAAGAGGTCTCGTTTCCCCGATCTCAGTTGCTATCTGCCCTGCCGCAGGCGGCAGATGAACTGAGCTGCTCACTAACAAGCCCTCGGCATCGCAACCAACATGAGACCAACATTGGCAAAGAATACCAAACGGCAGTGGATGGTCCCCACCTCCTGATCTTTTCTTCGGGCCCTCGGCATTTGTGCGGCGGCTGAAACGTGTGGTCTGTAGATGCCCGCGTACCGTGTGACGTGACCTACCGGCAGTTGCCGCAGTTCTAAGCGTGTCCAGCGACGTTGATACGCCCATTCGGTTACCGCATCCAACCAGGCCAGTGCAATTTGGCCAAGGCGTGGCACAGCTGTCAGCACGTCGCGCTTGTGTCCCCAGGGCTCGCTTACCTGCGCCATTCAGCATTTGATATATGTGCGCTAGTGAAGTTGGTCCGCACCACAACACACGCACCTCGCCTACCCCCGCGCCGCTTTCCCCGTCGATTCCAAATCGCGGGGACTCGAAGTCTTGCCTCGGTCCCGAAAAGATGCGCATGTTCGTTGATTCCATATTTCCATTGGCTGGCGGCAAATTCCAGGGGTTGGCTGCGGGTAAATTCCACTCACAAGCGACGACGCTCGCTCAACGCACGTGATCCACCAACAAACACCAACCGGCTTGCCGCCAGGCCACTCGCAACGGCGCGACTCCATAATCCTCGATGCTTCTAGTCAGCCTAGATTTGGCGCACTGCCTCGTTGAGAACTTGAGATTCGATCCTGTGAGGATGGCGGTTTACGCTTGGCGTTCTGCCCGGTGGAGCCTCCACATCAGACGCGGACTCAGCATCCGCTTGGCATCGACAGGCCCCGTCTCTCTCGAACGTAGATTTGCCTCTTTTCGGCAAACTCTACGCAGGGCCCGAATACTGTGTAGAAGCTGCGATTTGTTTTGGCAGCGGCCTACCGTCCTTCGGATTGGATACTTTGGGGGCCTAGCCTCTTAGGTACCGACCTACGTAGCGATTGCGAGCTACGGGTAATACTTGTTTCGCGAGATGTCAAATGGTTTCCACCGTTGGTATCCAGAAACAATCAAACCTCAGCCACAGCCATCGTCGAAACTATCTAACGATGCGCTTCATATCCAAAACACGGTCGCCTGCCCAGGCTGCGATTAAACCGGCAGTCGAAGCGGCATTTCAGTGGCGCAGTTCCCCGGCAATTGGCCGTTCCCGCAGGGCCGCAATGGTGGCATCGTCCGAACTCGAGAGCCCATACTTGCCCAGGCTGACAGGGACGTTGGAATGTTTGAAATTAGGCAACGCGCAGCTTCATCTCATATTAATCGCAGGTCGAGGTAACGAAAGGTGGCGTTTCGTGTAGCCGAAGGCTTTGTGGTAGGAATTGGGAGTCAATAAATGTTCCAGCATCCACCAACGAAGCCAGCAACAACGGCCAAGATACTGCTGCTGCTCTTTCCTTCTACATGTGTAGAAACTTGGCCAAATGCCTCGTCTAGCAGTCGCGACTCGCCACTTAACGTCCCCTCCCGACTCCTTCCCGTTAGACAACCAGCAGTTAACTTCCAAATTCGGGTTCAGGGTTTGACGCTAACCCAATTCACAGTGTGTCCCGGACACTCCTTCAAACTTGCTTTAGTTTCATAAAGGACAAGCTTCGTGATCAAAATAACCCCTAGCTTTCTCCCTTTTTTACTCGCCCTGTCAATCTCTAGGGCTTCAGCGCTCTTTTCTCTGCTTTTGGAAAAACCATAGCTGACAGGATCATACCCTCTAGGCCCTGGATGCGGCATGATTCCGCCTCCTGCACCCTGCCGTCGTCCCCCGTCCCCCGCATTGGGCATTGTGGCGGCTCCTGCTCGCCGGCACGGCACCTAACTAATCCGGGCCGAGACCCGGACAAGACTGGCAGCACGGCATGTGTAAGCATGACCGAAGCTTGGTCAGTTCAAGCCCTGCGAGAACTCACCTTAGATTAGCACGCATCGATCCTGCCACGGATTGACCAGATACAATCAAAGCCGAAAATAGAAGACACTATTTGGGGGCTCCCAAACCTTACTTCTTTTTCCTCCTGATAAGTGTCAGTTCCGGGATTGAAAACCACAGAAGCGTCAGTGGTTTAGTGGTAAAATCCATCGTTGCCATCGATGGGCCCCGCGTTCGATTCGCGGCTGACGCACTGTTTTTGCACTGTATCTATCTGATCCGCCCTCACTATCTATTTTTCTATTTTGTCTTTTGAGATCCCGTCTCCCAGTGGGCAGATATCCGAGCCACAGACCCTTCCATAACCTTCAACACCTCTCAATATTCAGCCTACCCCGATGGACAACGGTCTCCTTTTCACCAGCAAGCTCCATCGCTCCTCAGCTACACATCCTCAGATAACGATTTTTCTCTTATAATCCTGTCCATCATCGCCGAAACAAACAAATTCCGTCACCCGGGCCAACAACTCGTGATCCGCGTCATAACCAACGTACCCACCATCATCCATCCAGCGAACCCCATGCCCATCGCGCAACTTCTACGCTTTCTGGCCCTCCATGAGGCGGCCGAACGACAGCGGGCGGTGCACCCCACGAGTGCTTCCGGGAACGCGGTGGCGGACGGTGCTGCCGGTCTTGGGGTTTAGTTGATCGGGGATTGACCCGGGGATTTAGGCATGGCCTGGGGATTTGAAGGTGGGAATGGGGGCTGTGCGAGGCTTGATTGATTGTTGGAGTGGTGTAGGATGGGGATGGATTTGGAGTGGGATTTGGAGTGGGATCTGGGGGGGGAGATTGTTGATGGGTTTGTTGGTTGGGTTGGCTGTTGGGAGAGGGCTGGGTTTGTGGTTGAAATATTGAGGGAAAGATTGACTATTATAGGACTATGGTAAACACGAGCATGGTATGTATAGTCCTCCACTGGTTAGCGACGGAGTTAGGGTTGGCGGACGTGATGGAGTTATGGCGTAAAATCTTCGGTCGATGGTTTACAAAATCTCATGGCTTATTAGTTCTAAACACTTGAGGAGTTGAGGTCTTACCATTTGGTTCGGAAGCTGTTGTGTACTAGCCAAATCGCCCGTGCCTTAACCGTTTTCTTTTTACCCCTACAGGTTAGATGATATCCGCTCGGCTTACATAGCTCCCCTGTTGGTATTACCAATTTATATCGCCAGCTGTGTACGACAATTGGGGCATTCTCGACCCTCTTTCGAGCCTCTCCGTGGACTCTTCGCAAATCGAATATCCCGAGCGAATGAACGGGAGATTAAGAGTGGGCACGAAGTTTTTTAACGCACAATCTAATTCACGTCTAAATATTGTAAGCCTCTCTGGGCGGGGATAAATGCCGGAGACTGCTGACGAGTATCAGCTTCTGAAGGGGGTCGGGCCGAAAGTCGGCACTTTGAACGGGGGACCTATTCGCCGGTTTGAGATCGAAAGCATGGACAAGGGCCGGCGGATAAGCATTGTTAAATCCTTTCTTCAGGCCTAGGCGCCCGGCATTCCTTTAAGAGAAGCGGCTGCCGAGTCATATGGAGTTGGGATGAGACCGATTGGTGGTGATGTGGTCGTCATTCAAGGATTCAGGTTGCTGCTCTTGATGGCATGGCGATACGGATGCGGAGTTTCGCTCCATTATATATCCCCTCTTGTCCCTCTCATTTCTTTAAGATCTCTTCGAGATTGAGCAATCGCAAAGGGTTGTCCGCAGTGGTTTCAACTTTTGTCAGTCATGCATGATGTAATGCGGCGGGTCCGCCAAGCATCGGGCCGCCCACATCGTCCGAACAGATCGAGAACCAAGACGCAGATTGATGCACGGATCTCAACGGCTCGAAATGGTCCCTCATTCGGGTCTGCCCGCTCCCGCGGTCCTGAGCACAGATTTTGAGGCGTTCGGGCTTGTCGGGAGCCTTTGTAGTGTAAAACCTTTGGTGATGGGAACGCATCTTGCAGACAAGAAATCTAGCATCACGGGTGACACAGGGTGTTCTTTCCTTCAATGCTTTGCGGGGCAAGTCTTGCGACAGGCGCTGCCCAGCCAACGGGGTTTTTGAGCCAGTCACAGCGCATTTCTCAGGGGTGATCCCCAGTTTTCGGCTGCTCGCCCCACTTCAGCCGTCGCATGTCGCTGGGCCGTTGCAGACCTCAGCCACGACCAACAAAACGAATGAACGTCTTCCAGCCTCTCGAAATCCCCAGCCCGAACCTGAAGTGAGCCGAAACCCCGTACAAATTTGAATTGCAGCCCGTCGGCTGAGCTTGGCAGCACGCTTCTTAGTTCTCTTGGTTGCATCCATAATCGCATTGCCGTTGTTGCGACATCCACCGAACCCGATTCCGTCCCGGCTCTCACATTTCTGAACTGTAAACATCCCCAAAGCCCGCTCGACAACTCGCCCTTCTGCACCGTTGCTTTTTTCGGGCCTGCGATCAACACCGCTAAACAGGCAAACAAGACAGCGCCGTGCACTGGCGCTGTGGGAGCGGGGGGGATTTGTTCAATTTTGCGATCACGCCGCAGTTTGGCCGCGTGAGAGAGGGGAGGGCCCCCAACGAGGCAACAACAGGGGGGCGCAGGGCTCCAAATACGAATTTAGAAGGGGCCGACTCAGCGCCCTTTGTTCCCAACACGAAACACGCCATCTCGTCTGAACCGCCATCCACGTCCGTTCCGAACACTTTCCCCGCGCTTTGCTCCATCCGGCCTGCAAAGTTTCAATACAATTTTTGTGCGAACCGGGGAACGAGCACAAACAAAGGAAAGGAAAAAAAATACGACTTGCACAAGTGTGACTGCGGCAGCCCCCGCGTGTTCGAGACACTTTGCGACAGGTTTGGTGGGGCCCGCAGCGACGTCCTGCCGAACCTTGTGATCCTCGAGGAGCCGCACTGCGCCCGTCTCACCGTCGACTGGGCTCGATGGCGCAGCCACGATATTATTCTGAGGAAGACATGGCGGAACGCCAGCCTCTTGGCGCCTCTGCCGCCCCTTCTCCTCCCCGCCATTATCGCCAATACCAGCAGCCATACCAAGATCAACCCGAACCGTACGACCAGTACCACGCGCCTCCAGCGTCATCGTCGCAATACCAACAAAGACCCGTGCGCAATCGCTCGTCCGACAGAGCGCCCTCCCAACGACGCAACAGCCAGGAGTTTGCAAACAGCAACGGGAACGGCAACGGCGGACGAGGAGCAGGTTACGCATCATACAACAATAATACCTCGACCGGCCCTGTACCGATACCAAGTGGCGGCTACGGTGGCTCGGGATCTCCACAACGATCTGGACGGAACCGTGGATCACCCCAACGTGGATCAGACAGGCGGTCTTGGGGTCAAGGGACCTCGTATCCACCGCCAGCGCACGCAGGCCGCCCTTTTCCTCAGCACACCGTCACTTCAGGTTCGGATAATTACAGCTACGCGGCCGCAGGAGGCATGGCTGGCATCGCAATGAACAACGTGGCCGAGCACCACCAGCAACAACCGCAACCGGGCCACGAGCAACCCGCATCCGGCTCTGTGTACAGCGAGAGGAGCATGCGCGCACCAGGTGACTACTACCCGGGAGATAGGAGCTCCCGTTCCAGTTTTCATTCCAGTTTGCACGGGCTCAGCGCTGGGCCGGCCGGGTCAGGCTACGCAACACCAGGACAGCGAACACCCTCTAGGATAGGGGGAGAAATCTACACGGACGACCCGTACCAGAACCTTTCCCGCCACCAGGACTCTACTCTCGGCATGGTCAACCCGCACGATATTGCCGATGATGGCGACGATGGCCTCGAGTACGGACGTAAGGGACCCCGGACTAGCATGCTGAGTCTCGGATCCAGTCACCGAGGCACCGGCGTCGGCGTCGGCGCTGCTGCTGCTGCGGCAGGTGGTGTGGGAGCGGGTGCTGTGCTCGGGGGGTTGGGCAGTCGGAACGGAAGCGGGAATGTAGCTCATAACAGCCAGTACGCCCCCGTGAACGCTGGTTCTGCTTCGGCCTTCGGGGACGCGGCGTCGGCTGGGTCGGGCGGAGGTGGGATATACAACGGCTCTGGGGTACCTGTCGCGACGGGCGGGGAAAAGCCGTGGCAGGCAAACGCCACACCAAAAGGCCGCGGCAAGAAGTGGAAGATGTTCCTTATGATAGGCATCGCCGTCCTCATCATTGCCGGTGTTGTCTTGGGCATCGTCTTCGGTGTCGTGCTGAAGAGGGACGGCGGAGGCGCAGCAGGCGGCACCAACAGCGACGGCTCGTCCGGCGACACCTCGTCCGCCTCGGGTGATACACAAGCCAACGGCGATCTCAACATCAACTCGGCCGAGATCCAGGCCCTCATGAACAACCCGGACCTCCGCAAGGTCTTCCCGGGCATCGACTACACCCCAATCAACAGCCAGTACCCAGAGTGCAAGAAAAACCCGCCCTCCCAAAACAACGTCACGCGCGATCTCGCCGTGCTCTCCCAAATGACCAACGTCGTCCGCCTCTACGGCACCGACTGCAACCAAACCCAAATGCTGATCCACGCCGTCAACCAGCTCCAACTCCAAGACAAGATCAAAATCTGGCTCGGCGTCTGGCAAGACAACAACAAAGACACCAACGCCCGCCAACTCTCCCAGATGTGGGACATCCTCGACCAATACGGCGACAAATACTTCCGCGGCATCATCGTCGCCAACGAAATCCTCTTCCGCCAACAAATGACCATCACTGAGCTCGGCACCTTACTCGAATCCGTCCGCGACAAGCTCAAATCCAAGGGCATGTCCCTCCCCGTCGCCACCTCCGACCTCGGCGACGACTGGACCGCAGGTCTCGCCGCCCAAAGCGACGCCATCATGGCCAATATCCACCCTTTTTTCGCCGGCACCAAAGTCGCCGACGCCGCGGACTGGACGACCTACTTCTGGGGCAACAAAACCGAGACTTTCCTCAAAAAGGATAAATCCATGAACATCATCGCTGAGACCGGTTGGCCCAGCCAGGGCGGCACGGCGTGTGGAAACGACTGGGAGACGGATTGTCCGGATAAGGCGGTGGCCGGGATTGATGAGTTGAATGTGTTTATGGAGGACTGGGTGTGTGGGGCGTTGGAGACGGAGACGGAGTATTTCTGGTTTGAGGCGTTTGATGAGCCGTGGAAGTTTAGGTATAATACGGAGGGGAAACAGTGGGAGGATCATTGGGGGTTGATGACTGTTGATCGGAAATTGAAGGATGGGGTCAAGATTCCGGATTGTGGGGGGAAGAGGGTCAAGGATTGAGCGATGGTGAGAGTACATACAGGCTTGGATTGGGCTTGGATTCGACTTGGAAATGGGTTTTCTTGTCTTGTCTTGTCCTGTCTTGTCTATCTTTCTGTCTACCTGACTTGGATGCGCTTGAGGCGTAGGCCGGGTGGGTGGTGGTGTTGTTTAAGTATATGCCCTGCGAGTTCGATGTTGTTTGGTTGTTTTGCATTCACCGCTGCATTATGTCGGCTTTTGGTGTTTATATCATCTTTGCAAAGGGATGGATGAGGTAGTGAAGGATAGGCGAGAGACAGAGGGAGGGAGTGGACCACGGCGCACCCACTTACCTGTCTTGTCTGTTGAGGATGGAACACACTCTTGTGGTTGTAAATATCCTGTATGTGGGCGGCGAGCACGCGATCACGTTCGCGATGTTCGGGTTTACAAAGTATTTGGCATTGGGCATCGAGTAGCTTGCTTTGGCTGGACCTACTCACTACATATTGAATAGCGAGCAAACGTTTAAGGGCGACGCAGAGACACAGGATCGTTGTTCACGTTAGGTTTATTTGTTAGATACGGCTGGGTTTTGTGTGGTGTTTTTTCTTGTTCTGATGGGATGAAGTTAGGTTGGTTTGGGGATTGGGGACCAATGGGACATGTGTTGTTCGGATAGTTACTTGTTGTTAATGAAATGGAAATGCAAATGGACTCACTGCGGAGTTTCTGTTACTCATAAAACGTTTGTGTACTGTGGATGTGCCGTGCCATGTGGTCATCGTTGCTCCTAATGTTTGTTCTTCATGAGTTTGTGTGCACACTGGTAACGTTAAGGGCGTGCTGTTGGGATTTTGTTCTCCGGTGATACCTCATACACGTTGTGTGTTTAACCTGAGGTGTTTGTGAGATATAAAACTGGACTGTCGGTGGGTGTTGGCCTTGGTGTTTGTTGGCGAACCAATGATCAAGAGCAGTTTCTTTTTATCCTTTTCTTTTTCCAGCGCCGCCTGTGCTGCCTCCGCCTGGTTGCATCCCGTTTGCACAGTTTGTGTCCTTTTCGCATTGCCGAGCAACAAGCGACACTGATAGTCCTCGCTCCTCGAGTTCTGCTGTTATCAGCCATATAAGACTCCGTATTATAGGGCCAACACGCCTATATCGCATACCGGATGGGTTAACATTATGGGTTATTTGTGTCCTCAATTAACGTTCAATCTTCCATTTATTCCTCTCCCAATCAAGCCTTTTATCTCCGTTGCTCCGGCGGCTGGCCGTTTGAGGGATATAGTGCAGGAGTGCAGGAGGAGTAACCCGCAAGCAGCCCACCACCCCATTTTGACGCTTGATGTCACCGCAGCGCGTCTTATTCTGCCTGCATACACAGCCGAGACCGTTCTTGTGTGACGGTGGGTGGGTGAAACGCTCCCGTCCCGGGTATGGTAGCCGTGTCCTCATGCTTTTCTCCTGTTCCTTTTTCTTTTTGCGCGTCTTTTTTCTTCTGCTCTTGATTTGACCCTTTCATGGTGCGTTTGAAGCGAAGGAAAACGTCACAGCTTCAAGAGCCAGTACTTTCCTGTTCCACAAGGAATTTTATCGACTATCTCGCCCCCACGTATGCCGATGTCATCATCCCGAATGAAGTCGGACTTGTGCCGGACTTGTGCTGCGGCGGCTGGCCTTGTGCTTGCAGTTTTGTCAGCCTCTGACCACAGCAGTGGTTTCCTCCGAGCGCCTTGTCAGCCAAGCGAAAAGGCGACTGACTACAGGATATTGCGCCGTGTAATCACGTCAAACTGGCTGTTGTCACACATAGTTACCGCAGACGACAACCCAACCACACGTTTGTAATTTTGTCATCGGCTTGTTCCTTTCCTGCTGTGGCTGGTTGAAGTTGCGGCCCATTGGTTAGTTGTGCTTATTTCGGCGACCACAGCGAGAGTAGATAGAGCCTTTCCATGGCTTGCACCCTTCCACAGTCCAAACCACGGGATCCCATGACGTCCTGAGCGGTGTGAGCTGACGCTGAAAAAATGCAACGCCATCAAGGTACTCTCGCTCTCTCGTGTAGGAAAGGCAGCTGGGGTAAGAAATGGTCCACGGACCTGTGTTTCCGACCTCACCCGGCAGAAGGGACGAATAGATGTGGGCGACTGGGAAACGTTGGTTAAAGGGATCCCGAATCGCATCCCAACGTGGCCAACCGAGCGAATGAGAAGGAGCAAGGTATGAGCGGCAGGCAAAGAACGCGGCTCTCGGGGACTGCACGTCAGAGCGTCAGTGGGTTTTGGCCGGCGTCACCGCTGCCCTCGTCCCTGGATCCGGTGCTGACAGGGCAGGCCAGGCTCGGCCCGGGTGACCCTGGATTAGGTCATGTGGGCGGTTCGGCGGGCCGCGGGGTTGGTTCGTCCTTCTCCTCCCTTGGCGGATGGAGATAAGGGAATCCGTACACGGCAATCTGGCGCATTGGACGAGGGAGTCGGGGGTACCGTGTAATCACGCAAGATGAGCGGGATGTGGTGGCGGTAGTCAGGCGGGGGCTTTTTGTTCCTCTGCAGTGAGCTTGAGCGCTGTCCAGGACTGGAACTCACCAATAACGTTCAGGTTGAACGTCCACCTCGAGTCCGACGAAGACAAACCCCCATTGTTCGGCACCCCCACTGAAAGCAGACGAAACGCGCTTCGAGAAGGGCTCTCGGGCTCAAAGGGGATAGTCAAGGGGAAATTGGCGTGGACCATGCCGCTTCCGACCACTGGATGGCCCTCGTCGGACGGCATCTCGCAGGCCGTGAATCAGATGTCAAGGCGCTGCTTGGTGATGTGCGGCCGCTGCATGAGGCCCTGCACGTTTGCCATGCGGTGGTGGGGTGCATGCAGATTTTTTGCTGCCCAAAAAGGGTCTGGAGGAAGGGGGGCCAAATGGGGGGCATTCCCGTTGTGGCCCTTGTGGGAGAGCCGGAAAGCCTGGAATTGGGGGTGCGCTGGGGGCCACAAGCCCACAACCAACCGCGCCATGGCACCAATGGCTGCGTGTCAGCATGCCTGCAGGGAGTTGGTCTGGGACCGAGACGCTTCCATCTGTGAAAAGCCGCGGACCCGCGTTCCTTCTCTTTGGAACCCGGCACCTGGGAGGAATCCCGGCGAGGAAGGGAGGGCGGCCTTGGCTGATGATAGCCTGTTGTCGATTGAGAAGTTCCCGTCCCATTAAAAATCAGCTTGCCGGCCCTTTTTTTCTTTTTTCCGTTGGCAGTTGAACCATGTGGGTGAAGCGCATGCTGGGGAGCAAAGGATGTCGTGCAGAGTTCAACGGCCGCGATCCATCCCGCACCAGGGCGACCGAGTCTCGCGGCCACGTCGACCCTCTATCATCATCGCCTGGCTCGGGCTGAGATTGGCCAAATTATGGGCTTTCCCACTGCTCATTCGTGGAGACGACGCCTGCGGCATTCTCCCTTGGAGCATGGCCCCCTTTCTCGAGGTCTTCGACCATGATCGACAAAATCCTAAGACAATCAACACCGCCCATTCAATAAATTATCCCGGTCAAACTATTACCAACACAACGGATCAACGACGAGTTGAGAGCGGTGACGTTCACCAAACGACAGAAGTGGACCTCCTGAGCGACATCTCGGTGGCCCTCGAATGGAAACTGCTAGTTCCGCTGCTTTTGCCCGGAGCGGACGATCCTCAGCCAGAAGACGTCAGACCCATCGTTGAAGCCCGCTGTGCGGACAGTGAGACGGCATGTCTCGAGCAGGCCCATGATCTCATTGCGCAAACCATCACGGATGCGGGCGAGAAGGCGATAGCCGATCACGCCCGTCGAGCGCTCGGCTTAGAGGAGAAACGATTTTGGCAGAGCTCTTGGCTCGTGAAGAAGGCCAACTCGGCCGAGCCCCTCGACGATGAGAAGGCGCTCAAGGGGTATGTCTGGGTGAAGGTCGAGATATGCTCGCCCAAGATGTTGTTGAACGCTGCGGGCGCTGAGAGCCTGGGCCGGATGCAGAAGGTCCTCGGCGCGTTAAGTTCGAGTCATCGCCTCTTCGCCAACTGCTCCTGCGAGGTGCACATCCACCTTGGACAAATACATGGCCAGGCCTGGTCCTTGCCGACGTTGAAACGCCTCGGGTCGTTGTTGTGGCTAGCGGAACCGACACTGCGGAGTATTAGGGACCCGAAGTCGCCCAACTTCCACAACACGTACACCTGGGGCTTCGCCATGCGTCAGCATAGCCGGCTTGCCCACCGGGTTAAAGATGCCACAGCGGAGTACGTCGACGCTCCGAGATACATATCGGACCGGCAAATCAAAGCCGCAATCAGAGACCAGTTCACCGCGTCCACCACCGACCTAGCTGCTTTTGGGGAGATTTGGAAGGCCGAGTCACACCTCGAACTTGGCCAGCTATTATCGGGTGAAGAGAAGAAGTACCGTCGGTTGGGATTCAACTTCAGTGCATTCGGGCAAGAAGACGACCGGGCGAGGAGCAATCCGCGGACAATGGAGTTTCGGATGATGGAAGGCTCGGTTCAGACCGATCTGATTCTGGGATGGCTGGCCATTTGCGGCACTATTGCTGAGTGTGCTGTGGCCGCGGATGACCACCGGTTTGCCGCGGCCATGGGGCTGCTACTGCAAAGGTCGAGCAGCGCCGATAATGGGAAAGCCTCCGAGGCGGAAGAACGGAGGGCGACTCGGCTGGGGAAAGAATTCCGGGAGTTGATGGAGTCTTTGGCTGTCGCGGAGCAGCACTTTGTCGGATTTGAGAAGAAGGTCGAGCTGGACCACCTTTAGCATGTAGCGTTTATGGCTTGTTCTGTCATGGGTGGTGGCGTTGTGTGTTTTCCTCATAGGGCCGTGTAGAGCATCGATACCTTGGGTTGGGCATTTATTCATCGATTTAGCATTGCGCAATACGAAGTATTGAATTCACATTCGAACGTTCGAAGTTGCCTCCACCTCAGTCCATCTTAAGACGGGAGTCTTGGGCAACCGGTCCGAGCGTTTCTACTAGGAGGTCCTTCCCCACGTTCTCAGGTAGCTCTTTCCTTCATTCACTCAAGAGATATTCAACTTCCCACAGGATTCAAAGAAGTGAAAATTCAACGGAAACTGTCAATATTCGACACCGTTCCGAGTTAGCGCTTAGGCGTTTTGATGAGTGAAGGCGGGATTTTGGGGAGGCTGGATGCCCTCGTGCCACTCCCAGTCTCTCATGTCCTCAGAATCGATCCATCTCAGTTATGACATCACCACGTAATATGCCGTGTATGGGTAACACACCCGGGCACCCCCCTCACCATGCAATGCTACACCTCTGCATCTCATTGTCGCTTCTCTCATGCGGGCGGATAGGTGTCACTGGACAGCATTCAATTGCACATGTCAACCATATTATCTAGCCACTAGACACAATCAACATGACGACCACGACTAGGGCCGCATCAAAGAAGGAGGAAGACCCCTCCAGCGCTGCGCCTGCTTCTGAAGCCAAGCCGGGGTCAAAGCATAAGACTGAGGACGAGGAGGTCGTCAAGCCTCCTAGCCCGAAGAAGGCTAAGCAGGAGGATGAGAACCAAAACTTAGACACCGAGCAGGTGAAGGAAGAGACCAAGGACGAAGAAAAGAAACAAGAGAACGGCGCTCCAGAGGACCAGACCACCAAGCAGGAACCCCCCATCAAAGAACCTAAAGACTCAGCCGTTGAGCCCCAAGCTCACAAAGACACCCCGGCCAGCATCCTCGAGAAAGGCATTATCTACTTCTTCTACCGCGGCCGCGTCAACACCGACTCCCCCTCCTCCATCAACGACATCGCGCGGGCCTTCATCCTCCTCCGACCCATCGCGCACGACGCCAAACTCAGCTCAGGCCCCATCGGCGACGCCGGCAACTCACGCCTGCTCCTCGTCCCCAAAAAGACACTCCCGCGTTCCGGCCGCGACCGGTGGATCAGCTTTGTCGAGAAATCGCACGCCTCGTTTGCGCAGCTGCGTGACGATTTTTTGGCGTCGGCCGAGTACACGACCAAGACGGCCGGGGACCGCCACACGCCGGCGGCAACACCCGTTGGGGAAGGGGTGTATGCGCTCACGAGCACGGGCCGGCAGAGTCACTTGGTGTATGTGCTGACGCTTCCGGGGGAGTTGGGGGAGGTGCAGGAGGGGATGGGGTTGAAGGCGAGGGGAAGTTTTATTGTCAGTACGAAGAATCCGGAGTATGGGGGTCCGGGGCCGAAGGGGGCGGAGTATCCGAAGGAGTGAGTCCTGTCATATTACTGGGTTCGTTCGTGAGTTGTGTCAGGGGAAGAGTTAACAACAAGGACAGACTCCTCGAAGAATTCCGATCCCTACGCTGGTCGCCGACCCAGCCGAAGCATCTCGACTATGTCCACACCCAAATTTTGATGGTGGGTGAGTCGTCGGGAACGGAAAAGGCTCTGTCTCCGCAGAAAGAGGACCAGGAAGAGGGGAAGGCCGAGCCGGAAGAGGAGATAGAGGAGTTGGAGGAAGAGGATATCAAGAGGATGGAAGGGTTGAGCGAGGATGATTCAGGTCGTGTGTTTGCTGATTTGCAGGTGCATGCGGAGGATTATCCGAAGCTGAGGACTACTTTTTAATGAGAGGTATAAGTGAGTCCCTGCTGAGAAAAACTCACCACACTGTTGTCGTCTTTCTTTCTTCTTCTTTTTTTTGGGGTGGGGGGGGGGTTGAATAACGCACTGTAGGTTACACTTTGTACGGAGTAGAACGGGAATGGCCGAAAAGATCTAAGTTTCATCAGAAAAGATTGTTAGCATGGCTACTTGCGACACGCAAAGTAGAAATAATCCTAACGGTTGGACTGTTGCTCGAAATAAGGTCGTTCACCACGTCTACACGCACAACCGTTCCTCTCGCCTAGTTTCATGGTGTTACATTGTCGACCTCAACCGTTAGGGCTCCTCAGTGAATGGAAGTTTGGAAGCCGTCCATGGAAGGTCTACTTATTCAACGGTCGTTTCGATCGATCCCCTCACTCACGTGGTTGGATGGGTCGCGGCTGTGCCGCAGCATGACGCAAGAAATCCATCTCACTGGCGTTTCCGAATCTCAAATTCCACTGCCAACTGCCCAACCCAACCAACCCAACCTTATCGCTGCGCTGTGGGGCCCCAGACTAGGCATCATCATCCTTGTTTGGCGTTTACGGCACAACGCCACAAGAAGCAAGGGCTCATTATAACGGCCAGTCGGTTCGCTCCTTTGGGTCATATCAGTGGTTGATAAGTGGTTCTTGGGGATACACTAGTGACTAGCGCTAGGCGGGCTCGTAAGTTTGTCACGACTGTGCTTCTAAGTTTCTCACACTGCCGCTTGATCGCGGGCCATTCTATTTTCTAGCTTGTGAGGGCAACATTTCGCATTCCACTTGTGAGTCTCCGAGTTGCAGAGCTATGAATATTTCCAATTAGAAACCAATTGTTGTCTCATGCTGAGACTCGAGCGAAAAGTTGCCTGGAAATCGCCTGTTGCCTGCGAGGTGACTGAGTTTCTGAACGAGTAATTACTGAATGGCGACCTTAAGAAGTTGGCGTCCTTGACCCCTTGGTGGGGTTTGAAGGCGCATGTCTAGCGAATACTCAACAACCATCTTCCATGCTATCGTAACATAGCGTGGAGTCTTGCCGCGTGACGCTCTTAGGAAAAAATGTGAGCGCAGACTCGATTTACTAGTGTGTAACACGGGAGGTGGCACGGCTGGGGGAGGGTAGCGGGCCGGGTGTTCGTACTTCGGGGTTGTCCGGCAGTGGAGTCACTGGAGTAGCTAGGTAGGCAGAGATGGGGTTGAGTTGATGGGGTTGAGTTTAGGCCCTCCTGGCCTAGCTCCCAACATGATGTGTAGCAGCTGTGGCTCATGAAGGTGGAGTGAGGCTTTCCGGGATCTATACGAGGGGGGACTCTTTGGTGTCTATGATACACCCACACTACAACACCATGTTTGCGAAGGGCCGCATCGTAGATACGAGCGCACTTGAGCCTGTATTAAGTGAGGTCTGTAACCGAAAGCCTTGTATAAAACCATGGCCATAGCCTGTCTCGTCGATATCCATTATCCAGCACCAACTTCATCCTCTCAGACCTCAAGTCCTCAAGTCCTCAACTCAACCACCCCCCGGAAATCCAACCCCAAGTTTCCAACAAACAAACAACCCACAACCACCACCATGGGCGCGAAAATCGGAACCTGCAGCGTCTGCACCACCATCGTCGAGGAGTCCCTCCAGAACAGCAGCATTTACAACTACTCAAAGACCACACGCCGCGGCAAGACCGTCATCACCATCAACGTCGCCGGAGAACCAAAGACATGGCCCAAGGAGTCGCTGGTCGCCATGTGCTGGCGCCGACTGAGCTTGGATTTCCACTACCACAACAGCGTCCGCAGGGATGACGGCATGATTGCCTGCTCGAACTTTTAGAGAGGGGGGGGAATCCGTGGGAATAGGATGTGAGAGACGGATATGATGGGGGAAGGGGTGAGAAGTCGGGTGTTTGGGTAGGAATCAAACTGGGATAGATAGATAGACGGATAGAGGGTATGACGGGGCTGGGTGGGTGGATAGATTGACCCGGAGCCGAGCTTTAGGATAGAAAGGTTGCTTTTTCAAATTCGAGATTTGTTTGAACAGCGAGATCTGACTCGGAAAGGATAGATTTCGTGAAACATGTTATCTCTGGATCACAGTCGCATTTCCCGAGGATCATGGATGGCTACACCACCGGGTGGCGTAAATCAACCCCACAAGTACTTATAGGTCCGTCTCGGTTTCCCCTCGGAAACACATCTGTGGACGTCCTGAACGATTTCGCAACTTCTGTCATTGTGCGCCATACAAAATCCAAAATCTCAAATCAAACTATTATCAATTGCTCAACAATATATGCTTTTTATATCTTGAAAAGTTAATCGGAAAGATAAGGCTAGCATAGGCTTTCTAACGGTATATTTTGCTTTTCTATATCTCTTGTTTTGACCGAGTTCTAACTCGCTGGCCTAGAAAGCTTCGTGTTATTAGCTCTCCTTCAACCCTTGCGATAGCCTACCCTATGGGAACTTTATAACCACCGCCTTGAACTGCCTCAAAGTTGGAGAGGACCATTAGGCCACTAAGGAGATCCTCCGTTAGTATTTTACAGCCGATAATAAACCAATTGGTGGAGTATCTGGGCATTGAGGTTGAACACGGGCATCGAGATCGATTCGAGACTAACGCGGGCATCGCATTGGCCTTGCTTGATTCGATGGCCGTGTTGAGGCTTGGGCCGTTCGATGCCATCCTTGTAATGTGCTGGCCGTGTTGGTCTTGATGCCCTCCGTGTAATATAATGGTCGTATTACCCTTGTGTAGTTTGATGCTGGCTTATAGTATAATACCTACGATAGAATGCACCGCCACACCGCCCACTACTGGTCTGAGGTCCTGAGATAATTCGAGTCCAACGTTGTGCTGTCAACCTCCGGCACCTCTCCTACATTTTGATTTAGCTCCTGCTTCATCTGTTATCGAAGCTTCCCGGCTGGCACATCGGCTGGTCACTGGTGTTGGAGTTCGCTGTCCCATCCCTGATTTATGCTGGCGACAGTGGGATTTAGGGAATGAAGAAGAGCGGCAAGAAAGGGAGGCATGAGCAATAATTGCCAGTGTCCGGCGAATTTGCCGTATTTGTAAGTAGTCATGTAAGTGGATGCTTCACCTCTTCAAAAAGAATCACAAGATATTTCCGTCCCTTCACCCGTTGCTGTGCCCGTTTGATCCTGGTAACGCTAGTGCACGTCGGTACAATGTTGGATTACTTCAGGCATGTAAAGTAGAAATAATCCAGACAGTCAAATTGCTGCGTGAAATATCAAGGCCGCCCACCCCCTTTAAATACGTGCAATCCTTTCTCTCGTCTAGCTTCATAGTGTTACACGTCAACTTCATCCGTTAGGGTGCCTCGGTGAATGGAAGCCGTCTAGCGTCCAATTTTCAGAGTTCAGACGGTGAACATAACCCGTTGGTTGTCTCGTTGTTTGTCCATGCACTACACGTATTTGGATGGATCGCGGCTGTGCCGCGCCTTGACGCAAGAATACAGATTCCCACCGACGGGATCTTGAGGATCGCCAACTACCCAATCCAAACTGATCGCTGCGCCGCGGGGCCCCAGATTAGGTAGGCATCATCATCCTTGTTTGGCTTTTACGGCACAGGGAGCAAGGGCCCATTACAACGGCCAACTTCGCTCCTTTCGAGTTTCGATTAATTATGTCAGGGTGGATCTGTGGGAGCAGACGTAATACTAGCGCCGGGCTTGTAAATTTGTCAATTTGTCACGACTGTCACCTGTGCTTCTAGTTCTCATATTGCCCACATGAATTCTATTTTCTAACAGGTAATCAATGCGGGGAAGTTTTTGCTTCGCTTGCGTGTCTCCGACTTACAGCAGTGTAAGTCTCTCTAATAACTACAAGCTAGTAACGGTTGTTGTCTCACGCTGAGAGTCTGAGAGTCTGAGACTCGAGCGAAAAGGTGCCACCATGCCTAGCAATCGTTTGTTGCCTGCCAGGCGAACTTCTGGGCGGTTCCTAAATAGCGGCCTTGTAGCTGTAAGAATTTGAGTTTGGTGTCCTTGGTAGGTGGGGTAGAAGGAGTACGTTCAGCGAACACCGAATAGCTAATTAAACCACCTTCCGTGCCATTGTAACGTATCGTGGAGTGTCGTTGCGTGGCACGCCTAGAAAATATGCGGAACCAGCCGAGAGTCAGTTTAAAGTTCCCCAGTGGTAGTGTGTAACACGGGAGGTGGCACGGCTGGGGGGAGGGGGGTAAGTAGCGGGCCCGGTACCTACATACCGAGCTCGGGGTTGTCCGGCAGTAGGCCGGAGATCGGGTCGAGTTTAGGCCCTCCTGGCCTTCCTGGCCTACCTTAGCTCCCAACAGGACAGGTAGCAGCACCTAGTAGCCCATGAAAGCGCAATAAATCTCTTCTCGGATCTAGGTACCTATACGAGAGGAGACTGTTTAGCATTTCCGATAAGTACACCCACACTACAACACCACACTCGTCAAGGGTCACATCGTGGGCGCGAGCGCACTCGAGCGTGTATTAACTGTGGTCCCCAACTGAAAAAGGCTTATAACCATCGTCGTACCCTGTTTTGATTACTCCCCATTATCCAGCATCAACAACTTCATCCTCTCACCTCGACCTCAAGTCCTCAACCACCAACCCATCATGACTGGCCCACAAATCGGAGCCTGCAGCATCTGCCGCGATCTCGTCGAGGAGTCCCTCATAGACATCGGGATCCTCAACTACACCAAGAAGGTACGCAAAAACGGCAGCGGCAAGACTGTCTTCACCATCAACATTGCCGGCGGGCCTGCCACCTGGCCCACGAACTCGCTGGCGGCCATGTGCTGGCGCCAGCTGAGCTTGGACTTTCATTATCACCACCAGAAGCGCAAGGGAGACATGATTTGCTGCTCGAACTTTTAGGGCGGGGGATCTAGGTGTCGGGATACATTGGTTGGGATCTTGATAGGATGTGAGAGAGAGAGATGGGCGGTAATTTGGGGATGGGTGTGGGGTTGGGTGTTTGGGCTGGGTTCAAACTGGGATAGACGGATAGAGGGAAGACCGGGTGGGTAGATCCGGAGCCGAGCTTTGGGATAGAAAAGTTGCATTCTCAATTTCGAGGTTTGTTTGAACCAGCGAGATTCAGGGTCCGAAAGGGATAAATTTCGCGAAACATGCTGAGTTACGTGTGATGCTTGTGGTCTAACAGAACTTCTAATCATTTAGATGCTTGAAGTGGAAGTGAAGTCTACCTAAGGATGCGCCGTCAATGCTTCCCTGAATCCGTCTACCAGACCCCGTTTATTTGTCTTTGTTTCCTACTGTACCCGTATGCCATACATACCCAATATAATGCTTAGCACCAATGCCCAACATTCCTTCGTAAAACGAGCAGGAACAACAACTCGGATTCAACTCCCTAGTCCGTCTCCTCCACCGTCTCCTCCGCAGGCCACACCAACCACACCACCACAACCACCACCTTCAACACCGTCGCCGTCCACAACGCGCCCGCAACCCCCCACCCACTCCCCGCAAACCTCCCCCCCACAAACGCCCCCAACAACAACGACACCACCGCCGCGCCCCTCTGATTCCTCTCCACATTCCTCAACGCCACCAACCCGGCATCCGAAAACAAATCACAATACACACTGGTCAACACCACACTCGTCAACGCATTATACCGCAACGCCCGGCTCACCACCGCCTGCCCACACGCCTGGAACGCTACCAACCCAATGGGCGCCAGCACGAACCAGCCGATCTCCTCGGGGCTGCCCGGTGGGCCCGCGATGGTGACTAGCGCTGCGGCGACGGCAGTGAGAGCGGTTTGGATGCCGAAGGAGGTTGCCAGGACCCAGCGGCGGTGTGGGGAGAAACGCCGGTGGAAACGGCTGAAGAGGAAGGAGCCGAGACAGAAGGAGAGGACGGACACGCCGGATTTGATCCAGCGGGTGCTGGTTGTCGGGGAGGCGAGGCCAAGGCCGATGTAGACGGAGTTGCCTAGTTTTGTTAGTTAGTGTACTGTACTGCTCGTGATACGTTATAAAAGAAGAGAAAAAAAAGAGTAAAACATACCCGTCTGCATCGACACAAACGACCCCCACACCGAGATGGACGCGCTGTCGAGCAAACCCGTGATGAAATAGCATAGAATCAGGACGCAATCGGCCCAGTCCCGCGAGATGTGCACCGTCAGATGGCGTCCCCAGCGATGGAGCAATGGGCGCTTTTTGGCGGCCCCATCTGCACTTCCATTGGGATATCGGTGTTGTGAGGGCAAGAGAGGCGTGCGCTCCGGATCGGGATGCGGCTCACCGATGGCTGCCGCGTGGTGAGGCATGGTCAATTACTGGCCAATTTGAGACAGAAAACAGAAAAATGGAGGGAGTAAAGTCATCAATTCGTCGGTTTGGACGGATGTGAGACATCCGCCAAACGGGAAACCTGTGGTTTTCACTTATCTTATACTCCGGAGTTATCGCACCAAACGCGGTCGTATGATTGTACTGTACCCTTTTTTTTTTTTTTTTCGTCCCGCGGCAAAACTCCCTGCGAATCATGCCACTTTCACGCGCTAAACCGACCGGATTTGGCATTTACTGGGGACCTCAGGGGACCACGGCGGGACTAACCGGGCCATCGCTGCACCCGGCTCTCGGTGCCGACAGCCGGCTCACACTTTCTGCGGCCCGGGCGCGGACGGCGTCCGGACCCCTGCCAAGACGATCCGGCTTGGCAAAAGGCACCAATCCCGGGAGGAATGGATGAGGTCATGGCGAGGGCCGGCTGACGACTTGCCTTTTCCTTCTTCTCCCGATTGGTATGGTGTTACGGTTGGATTTGGGCAGTGTTACAGTTGACGCCAATGCCGACCTCGCCGACATATGTCCGGTCAGCAAGAGATGTTGGAGAAGAGGAGTGGCGATGCGGATCTCGGTGGCCGTGGTATGGTATGGTAACGCGGGGTGGGAATATAGCGGGGAGGGCGTATTGATACCGTTTTGGGTGAAATCATCGACTTACACGCAGTTTGGGGCAACGCGCCGAGAGCCGTTGGGACGGTACTGTGAAAGCTTAGTAACGGGTTCGAATGATGATATAATGGTCGACTTCATGCCCATATTATGAGACCAAATCGTTTGTTTCCTTTTCTCACCAGGCTTCTCATCCTCTCAAACCGAGACTGAACTCAGAATCTCACTCAGGACGCGCCTGTGTACTGTACTATACATACCGACCTACTTAATCACCAACTTGTTGCTGTATTACAGTAAAACTTACCCTTATATCACAATGCGCCTCACCCCCCTCCTCGCCCTCGGCGCATCCACCCTCCCCCACCTCACCAGCGCCGTCCCAGTCCAAGACAGCCCACGCCAACGTCTCCTGGACGGCAAGCCCCTACCAGCCCGGTACCGCAAGGCCAACAACAACCCCCCTTACACCCCCGGCCACCGAGACCCGTACGACAGCGCGGTCGATGCCATCGGCGAGGGGCTTGACCCGCTGCCGTACCGGAACGGCCTGGGTGCCTCGGTGCTGGGACCATGGAACCCGGACCGGGCGCGGCAGAATGCTGATTTGGTGCGCCCGCCGTCGACGGATCATGGGAATATGCCGAATTTGAGGTGGAGTTTTGTTGATTCGCATATTCGTATTGAGGTTTGTACTTTCGTCTCTGGTGATTATATCCTTTACCCCGGCAACCCGTGCTAATAGTACCCAGGAAGGAGGCTGGACGCGTCAAACCACCGAGCGCGAACTCCCCGCCAGCGTCGAGCTAGCCGGCGTCAACATGCGTCTCGACGAAGGCGCCATCCGCGAACTGCACTGGCACAAAGAAGCCGAATGGGCCTACGTAATCGACGGCAGCGTACGGGTAACCGCACTGGACTACGAAGGCGGCACCTTCATGGACGACCTCTCCAAAGGCGACCTCTGGTACTTCCCCTCCGGCGTCCCCCACTCCCTCCAAGGCCTCTCCCCCAACGGCACCGAATTCCTCCTCATCTTCGACTCCGGCTCCTTCTCCGAAGAATCCACCTTCATCCTGACCGACTGGCTCGCCCACACCCCGAAATCCGTCATCAGCAAAAACTTCCACCTGCCCCCCGAAATCTTCGCCCACATCCCCCCCTCCGAGCGCTACATCTTCACCGGGTCCCAACCAGGGTCTTTGTCAGACGAATTCCCCAAAGGCAAACACGTCAAAAAATCCAAACACAACTTCACCCACCACATGCTCGCCCAACAACCACTCAACACCACAGGAGGCCAAGTCCGCATCACCGACTCCCACAACTTCCCCATCTCCCAAACCATCGCCGCCGCCCACGTTCTCATCCAACCGGGAGCCCTCCGCGAAATGCACTGGCACCCCAACGCCGACGAGTGGACTCTTTTCCTCCGGGGACGAGCTCGCGTAACGGTGTTCGGCGCCGAAGGGTCAGCGCGGACATTTGATTACCAGGCTGGGGACGTCGGGATCGTGCCGAGGAATATGGGGCATTTTGTGGAGAATGTGGGCGATGAGGAGATTGAGATGTTGGAGATTTTTCGGGCGGATGAGTTTCGGGACTTTTCGCTGTTTCAGTGGCTGGGGGAGACGCCGAGGCGGATGGTGGTGGATACGTTGTTTAAGGGGGATAAGGAGGCGGGGGATAAGTTTTGGAGGGAGATTGAGGATGCCAGGAAGGATGAGGTGACGATGCCGCCGGGGAAGGAGGAAGAGGCGGCTAGGGCGGCTGCGGAGGCTATTGCGAAGGTGTTGGGGGATTTGTAAGGGGGTTCCATATCGTGTATTATCAGTGTGAGTGTGAGTTGGTGTTAATGTGAATCGGAAAATAGAACAAAGTAAAAAAAATAGTAGTAATTAGACGAGGAATCGTGCCACATCAACGCCGATACATACAGATATATACAATGAGACGTAGCAGAGACCGATATCCCCCCTGAACGCCGTAGCCCTATTTATCCCCCAGTCCCTTTCCCATATCCCATCCCATCTCTTCCCTAAGCTCTTACAGGTAATGCATCATCTGCTGCGGCGCCCCCGGCCGCTTCTTCTCAATCACCAAAATCGTCTCGATATACTTGCGATCCAGCGTCTCACTCTTCTTCCGCGCGGCCAACAACTGCGCCGTCTTGAGCACATTCTTGATCTGCCGCCCGTTCAGCTTCAGCTCCGCCAGCTCATGAATATCCTTATCCGTCAGCGAGCTCTTGATAGTCGACCCACGCAGGAAATTAGCCCAGATCGTGCGGCGCGACGCAGAGGTAAGATCCGGGTACTCGATGCTGACGTGGATACGCGACTGGAAGGCAGCGTCGATATCCTCGACGCGGTTGGTTGTCATGAACATGATGCCCTCGTAGTACTCGAGCGTGCGCAAGAAGATGGACACGATCTTGTTGCGCTCCAGTTCGTGCGTGCTGCGCGCCTCGAGGAACACGTCGCACTCGTCCAACAGCAGAATCGCGTTCCACCGCGCCACCAGCTCCAGGATCGACTTGAGCTCGCGCTCCACCTCCCACGGGTCCGACCCCAGGTCGCCTGAGCTGAGCATGTGCAGCGGCACCTTGAGGTTTTCGGCTACCGCCTCGGCCGTCAGCGTCTTGCCCACACCAGGCGGGCCCGACAACAGGCAGATGATGCCCTTGCCCTTGCCCTGGATGACGTCGTCAAACGTGCTTCCGGCGATCTGCGACTCCGAGAAGGACATGATAAGCTCCTTCTGGTCGGGGGGCAGCACCAGGCGGTCGAACGCTGTGCTGTTCCACACCACCTCGCTGACCTGCTCGACGAAGAAGTCGAGCCACTTCTTGAACTTGAGCGAGTACCCGCGCGTGCGGCACCGGCACAGCATCTGGTAGTACGGCGGCAGCACAAACTTCTCCTCCGCCAGCTTGAGCTCCTCCTTATGCTTGCTGAACTTGTCCAGATCGGTGGCGTTGAAGTCCTGCAGGTACCGCACACGCCACGGGCTGAAGCGGTTGAAGCTGTCGATGTCCACGATGATGCGCCCCGTGATCTGGCACTCCACCTCGTTGCCCTCGCGGTCCCAGGTGATCGCCTTGCCCTTGTACTCCTTGTAGTGGTGCCCGGCCAGCCCCTCGAACGTCGCGCCGCGCTTGATCAGGCGGGCGGCCACGGCGTCCCGCTCCTCGTGGAAGTGCATCGGGTAGATCTTGAGGCCGGTGATCTTCTTGGTGCCGATGAACTCGGGGATGTTGATGCCCTCCTGGTACCGGCCAAAGTCCTTGCCGCCGTAGTCGACGCAGTCGCACCGCACCTGCAGGAACTTGCCGCAGTTGTTCTGCATGTACTCGGTCTCGACCATCTCGAACGCGCTGAGCGGGCCCTGGTGCTGCGCGATCACCACGTTGCCGGGCTGGAAGATCATCCACAGGTCCTTAAAGCACACCACGCCGTTCTTGACGTAGTCTTGGAATGTCTTGACATCCTTGCCGATCTCGTATTCGAGGATGTCCACCAGCACCTTCATGTGCTCCTTGGTCTTTTCGTCCAGGTCCGGCTTGGCGTAGTACTTTTGGAACTCGTTCCTGTGGAAGTTAGCATAGCTGTTTTACCTTCAAATTCTAACCCCAAGAAAAAAACAAGGAAACAACATACCACCGGTGCACAAAAGGCTTAAACGGCGCCTCAAACTCCAGCCGGGTCAGCTCGCATGCCACGCCCGGGTAATCGGCCATAATCTCCGCCAGCGCAGCCCGGATCAACGGGCTCTGCACAATGATACTGTGGGCCTCGAGCTTCTTGCGGCTGTCGTTGCTCTTCTGGTTGCGCACCACGACTGCAAACTTGGCCGTCTCCTCGTTCTCGGCCGCCTCCTCCACGTCATCCGGATACTTGTCAACCCATGTCCAGTTCCCGTCGTCGTCGGACGCGCCCTTGTAGATGTTCTTGGCTTCGCTGAGTGACCCGACAGGCACCTTAGGCTTGTCTGCGTCGTCTTTCTTCTCGTCATCCTTCTTCTCGGTCGCGTCCTTCTTGTCGTCGTCGTCCTTCTTTTCGCTGTCCTTTTTCTCGTCGTCCTTCTTCTCCGTGTCCTTCTTCTCTTCCTCCTTTTTGGCGTCAGTGCTTAGTGTGGATGCGCTCGACCCGCCATCGACGAGCTTCCCCGATTTAGCGGCCCCCGCATCCTTCTTGGAGCGGGAGCTCAACGAAGGCCAGCAGCGAACCATTGTGTTCGAATTGGAATGTGCACAGGCCTTGAAAAGTATCAATGGGAAATTAAAGTAATGGGGGAAAGTGCAAATGGTTTGCCTCTTTCCAAAACTGCCTTGAGGAAATTCTCAAAAGAATAAAAGTTGGGAACCGGGTGTCTTTATACCGAAGACCAGTCACCATTTCACAGTAAGCAGCCCGGAATTCAGCCCCGAGAGCTCCAGCCCATCAATTGGCAACAACCTTGCCCCCCGTTTGTTTCTTTCTGGGGGACAAGATGCGGCGGCGAGAAGCTGCATGAGGTTGCAGGCATCCGGGGCGCTGCGGCCTGGAGAAGAGGCCACTCTCTGGTTGACAAAGGCCTAAGGTAGCCATTGAGCTTCAAGCTGAAGCCACGCAGTGGCTCCACTGCCGATTCGTCTCGTGACTCACTGGCCTTGATTGGCTTCCCCAGGCCTGCAAGGCCCTCCCTCCCAGCGGCAGCCCGCCACGACCGCTCTGAGAGAACGCCCAGGCTCGCCAGGCTTGAATCCTTCCAACGATGCAGTGGCAGAGTGGTTGCCTCGCGCTAACTTAGTGACCCCCGGAGCTGATTGCGTTGCGAACCACGCAACCGGCTAACGACGTTCTGAGCCGTCCTCACTCACATTTCGGTTCGTTTGTTGAAGGCAGTGGTTTGCTTTTACTCCACTTCTACTCCACGGCTTCTCACCGGGTGACGCTGGGCGTTCTTGAACACTACCAGGGTTGGGAATCTGCCCTTCCGTCGCAAGGACTGCTTTGCCGAGCTTGATAGCTCTCCATCTTCGCCATCAGTCATCCGGCGGCCGATGAGTCGGCTGGCCCGGGGCTGAGGGGCCGGCAGTAGAGACCCGAAGGCGAAATGATCGGAGCCATGGAGACACGAAGGAGCAAGAACTCGCTGATCACCGAGGAAAAACCACAAAACATCAACCCACAAGGCTGCTGACCTCAAAACGTCTCCATCAACCCCGCAGAGAGCACGGCAACTTCTCCTCTTTGCCTCCACACATCCGAATATCATGGACGCGGGCGCGGGCGGCCAGATCGGCCATCGATTGAAGGCGTGCGTGGAGCTCCAGGCAGCTGCGCCGCTTCCGGGCCCACCTTTTTCTTCCGGTCGCTTTTCTGACTTCTGAGCTTCTGAGTTGGGGTCAAACGTCAACTCCTCTCGCTATGGCCAAAAAACGCGGCACACTTAAATGGATAGCTCAAGGCAAATCCACTAACATTCGATCAAATCTTGGTACATTTTGATTGATTTACTCTTTTTTGTCTTTTTTCACTTTCTAGATTTATTCTTTTTTGTCCTCTTTTACTTTCTTTCGTTTATTCTTTTTGGTCTTTTTTCACTTTTGTAGCAAAGTAAGTTATCCAGGGACTCGGTCTGCTGCTTTTTTTGGCCATAGCGAGCTCCTCTCGGAGCTGGGCCGGACAAAACCGTCTCCTCTCTGCGTAACGAACTCTTGAAAAGCCTGACTCCAGTCAGCGTCGCCACGTCGTACCCGTCTCACTTGTTGACTTCGTTCCACTCAAAGCAGGCCTTCTCTGCCGCTTTGCATGCTGACGGCAGCGAGCGACCATCCAAAAACTCCGCCCCGCCCTCCTTGTCGTCTGCAGATTAGTAAAAAGGTAGAAAGGACAAGAGGCCGCCACCCAACTCAATCTAAGATATGGAGATGGGCGGGCGGGCGCGGCTTCAAAGGTGATCGGTCGGTTTGGGTGTGGAAAAGTGCAGAAAGGTGCGGTGGACCGCATCATGCAATGATCCGGGAGCCTGGCCTGGACCAAGGCGAAGTGCGATGGCGCGATAAGCCAACCCTTGTCGATCTTCTGCAGTCGTGAGGACAGCTCGCGTGGGTATCGGAGGCCGTTGAGGACGATGAGGACGAGCCGTCCGGCTGCCTGTTCTTGATATTTTCCCGGCAAAACTGGAGATATCTGGTTTTCGGGACGAGAGATTGATTTTCTCGTTGTGCCGTCGTTGCATGCTGATGACTTGAGGACGTGACCGGAGACTAACGTCAGGAAATTCACCATGGCTTCTTGCCCGCTTTGGTTTGGTCCCGAGAGACCCAGACGTTTGTCTCACTCAGGTCTGTCCCGTGGCCACGATGAGATTGCCCGAAGCCCGATCACCTCGCTGCTTTGAGGACAGAAGAAGGCGGGACAGTCAAGTCTTTAAGTAACCCCCAGAAACCCAGCAATCAGAGCCGGGAAGCCCTGGGAAAGGTGAGGAAGCCGGAGATAGTCGATATCGTGGGGGTAGGTGTGGGGCGGTTGTCGGTCAAGCTCCCGGCGCGCCCGGTGACTTTGCGGTGGGGCTGAAACTTGCATTCCCCCAAGGCCCGGGCCGTTCAAGAGACGAGCCACAAATCCCTGAGTTTTGATGTTATGGAACGCCCACCTACTAGTCCGGAATGGACCGAGATGCGCGAAAAGCTGCAGAGCGTGCCTCGCATCACCCTCGCATTCAAGAAAGGGAAGTCTGCATAAAAATGATACCACTTCACAGCAGACGGGTTGTATCTCTCCAATGCTACCTATGGAGCTTCTCATTCGATCAGGTATCAACTGCCTTGCCACTTCAGGCCGTGATCGAGTCGACGGACGAAAGGGTTATCATCGTGCGCGGGGATATCTTCGAGCGAGGCTTGGAGCGATGCATGCGGCATGCGAAGTCGAAGGTTGATCACCTTGACAATACCTGCAGAAGTCCCACATGACGTTATCTGAGGATGGCAACCAAGGAACCCCCCGCCAATAAATTCGGCACGCAGCGAACTGGCTGCTCATCAGACGAACACCACCTCCTCCCGTCCTCTCTTTCTGGGCGTCCATCGCCGGCACGCCGAGCCTCCGGACCACAGTTCAACTTTGATTCGAGCTAGCGGTAAGAGGCTAGCAGCCCTAGATGGAAAATCCCCAGCGGGAGCGGTGGAAACAGTGGAAAAGAACTCCGTCATGTTTCGGTCGTTCCCCACTTTCGCCAGGCGGAATGCGACAGCGGACCTTCGCGAGTCCCGGTTGCGGGTGCGTGGACTGTGGGGCGCCCGTTGAGCAACCAGGAAGGGTAAAACCCCACCTGCCCAGTGCCAGTCAACACGGTCTTGACGGTCTCGACGGCAGGTGCAAGCACAACCCGAGTCGCTTTGCTGCACTGAAGCACAGAATGCCACCCACGTTGGCCGGCGACACAGCGTCTCAGTTAGGGCTGGGCAGGATTTCTTTTAGATTTAGAGTATGTTTCACAAAAAGAGAAGAAGAGGGCAGCGGCAGATGCTGCAAACATTTAACTATATTTGAGGCCCTCTCTGTTCGAGCGAGGCATGACTTCACTGCCACTTCGATTCCCCCGTCACTTCACTCAGCGTCCTGACCACCTGCAGGCCCAACTGCCTGTTCCCGCTTCACTTTTGCCATCGCAAAACCCACCCGGACAGCCCGGCCGGCATCTCAATCCGAATGCATCCGGGTGCTTTAGTTTTCCCACTAGCACCTCAGGGTTCGTTCGCGCAGGACTTTCGTGTCAAGGAACCCACCTTGAAAAGGGAACCAACCAAACTCGAGACTCTGGTGTCAGGCCAAGAAGACCCCCATGTTGGGGTCGCGGCCAAGTCACTTTCCAAATCCACTCGCTGATCACACGGTTCATTAAAGGCGGGAAAAAAAATTGGAAACGTCCAGAGCGGGTTAGCAGGCCCAACGGAGCCATGGTCAAATTTGGCGAAAGAGCACCTTGGGTGTCACTGGGGCTTCTTTTAGAACGAACGGGTTCCCCGCTTCGAGGTTCCAAAACCCAACGCCACCCGTCTCGGTTTCACCATCCTGAAGATTCGAGAACTTTGTTCTTCGGCATTTAGCGACCTGGGCGGTTGATACCAGCCCCAACTAACGACAGCCCAACGAAACAAAACGAGAACCGATCTACTGTATCACGAAAGCCACAGATCAAACGTGAAGGATGACAGGCAGGACAGAGGCAAATATCGAGGTCGACGAGACGGTTAGTCAACCCAATGGCGAGCGAAGGATTGTAAAAAGGAAGGGGAAACCGGGGAGCTAGCTGACAGGGTCGGCATGTCCAGCACGTGGAAGACAACGATTCCACGCTCGGCGATGAGATGTATGGACACCCGACTTCCTACCAACTCGAGTCTCACTCTTTTGTGCGACCATGACTAGGTGCACACCATAAGTTTCGCTTGTCGGCTAATTCTAGCACCAACGCCACAGTTCGGCTTTCACCGCTTCGATCACCTCGAGCGTCCTGGACTATCCCGTCGAAAATGGACGCCGCTATCATGCGTTTCGGGCTGGCGGTACGCAACGGCATTGCCCGATTTATTTCACGGCTGGGCCTAACTAATAACCATCAGCATATTATTTACCCAACGATGAACTTGAGCAAGATCGCCTCGACCTATCCCATGCGCTCATGACAAAAGCCATCGGTGATGAGTTGTTTCTCGCGCCCATTGACACAGACAAGATCGACCGCGTCCTTGACATAGGGACCGGAACTGGAATTTGTATGGACTCAGACCACGAGCGACTTTGGAAGAACAGCATGGGCTAACGCGGGGATTTGGCAGGGAGCATGGCGATGGGGGATGAGTTCCCGAACATTTCAGAGGCATGCTTGTGACACCAACATGGGATGGACATGTCTCACGGCCAAGTCAACCTAACACACTGCCCTTTAGATTCTCGGAAACGATTTGAGCGCCATACAACCTCCATGGGTGCCACCAAACGTGCGCTTTGAGATTGACGACGTCGAATACCCATGGGTCTACGAGCGACCCTTTGACTTCATCTTCTGCCGCTACATGACCGGATCCATCCTCGACTGGCCCACGCTTGTCGGCCGAGTTTACGAGTGCGTCTCAACCGCAGCCAGGCCCTTACGTTAGTCCCCAACAAACTAACCCCCCACCCTCCTCACTTTAGAAACCTTGCCCCTGGAGCCTGGGCCGAATTCCAAGACTTCGACCTGCAGTACTATTCCGAAGACGGCTCCCTCACCCCCGAATCCTCCACCCTCCGCTGGATCAACACCTTCCTAGAAGCGTCACGCAAAGCCGGCCGCGAGCCATGCCCAGGCCCCAAACTCGAGGAATGGGCGCGCGACGCCGGGTTCACCAATATCGAGCACCGACGATTTCGCCTGCCCATCGGCCCGTGGGCGAAGGATCCGCATCTGAAGCAAGTCGGGATGTATAACATCTCGCAGATCATGACGGGGTTGGAGGCGTTTTCGCTACGGCTGTTCTGTGGTGTGTTGGGGTGGAAGGAGAATGAAGTGTTGGCGTTGTTGACGAAAGTGAGGAGTGAGTTGAAGGAGCCTAAGTTGCATGCACAGTTTGATTAGTGAGTGTTTCTTCTCTTTTCCGCCGCCCTAAATAAGGCCAGGGGAAGTATGGGTCTAGTGAAGTCGAGTTACTAACGCTACATAGCCACGTTGTCTACGGACAAAAAAAGAGCAAATAAAGAAAGAGGCTGAGGTTTTAGGCGCGGGCGCAGGCGGGGACGGTGACGGTGACGGCGTTTGAGATATCCGGGTTGCTCAGAAGATTGCCTTCACATCATCAGCATGCATTATAACTTGGTTCCGCGAAGCGTTGCGTTTTGCCCTCTTAAAAACAAGGCACCAGATACCCATCACTACCGAAAGCTTCATTCATTACTTTACTAAACCATGGTTCAACGATTCAGTTGGAGTTCCCATGACGGGGTATGTGACCGACGTCTAATCCTCAGTGCATCCATAACAATACAACACCAGCTCATCGGGCCCTTCCGATAAGACATTAGATGCAGAGCTTGTCGACGCCAGAGTAGTAGCCTCAAAGGTATGTAAATCTTAAACATGCCACCCAACCACGAAGTAATAATGACCACCTTGGAACATTGCCAACCACCACCGCTTTAGTAATAGCCCCTAGCCTTACGATAGCTCTGCGAATGGCCAGACCACCATGGCAAGTATGAGCTGTAGTCTAAACAGAACGGTCAGCACCCACGAGTAGACTTCATTTCCAGCCCGGCCAAACTCACCTCGTCGGCCACTGATCCCCAACTCCGAGGCCACATTAACATATCCATCACGATTTACCCGGCCGCCTCACCGGATCTTGCTCACCATGTCCTCATCCCCCTGCCACGCACTCCGACAATAAGAACACGTCACCTCCCGATTCCCCTGACTCCGCTTCGTCGCCGCCCACGCCTCAAACACCCCTTGTGCACTTTCTGCCCACACGCCGCCCGGCACCACACCACCGCATCCGCACCACGCTTGCCCTCCTCCATCTCACAGAAACAAATCGGACAATCCCCCTCCACCGCCTTCCGCTTCCCCGCCGCACTCGCCCCTTGCGTACTACCGCCGCTATGGCCTTGCGCCTGCGCCCACGCGCTCCCATCCCCAACAATCTCCGGTGCCCACCCGCAACACCTCCCTTACCTCCTCGCTCAGCAGCGCGAGCTGGTAGATCAGCGCGTACCGCGCGCGCAGCACGCGCTTCAGCACGTACACGATGTGCTTGCACTGGTGGCCGCCGCGGGCGTGGGGCAGGTGCAGGAGGGCTGGCGGCCGATGGTGATGGTGTAGATGTTGCCAGTGGAACCGGTTAGTTCGATGCTTTCGGCTATGAGCGAGGCGGGGGGGTCGACGGGGGTTTCGGGGATGG